CCCAACTGGGAATGGACGAAGAACTGGAAGTTCAAGCCACGGCCACCGCCTGCACCGTCCAAAAGGTCACCAAACAATCGTTGCATCAATGTACGATCCCTGAAGCGTTCAAACACGGTCGCCATGACGAAGTTCAACGGACCAAACGTTCGGCTAAAGAGGAGGATACGTCCAAGAAGGCGTTCCATCACCACCAAACCATGTTGGAGCCAGCGACCGTCATACCACGGGATGATCCGTCTACCACGAAGCGAGCTAAATTATCCACGCCGTCGCTGGTAGAATTCAAGCAATTTAAATGGTGTGGAAGCCCCGAAGTTGCGGCTGTTGGCAAGTCAACCAAGTCCCGACGGCATCATGTGATTCCGGACTTTGAAGAACCCTCCAAGGTGCTACTAAGCAACGGATTGACAAACCATCCGCCCTATCAACGTCGAGAAGGTTCATCCAGCAATATCAATATCCAGCATGTGGATACGGAGAGACAGCAAGGGCTCTCCTGTGCAAGCAGTTCCAAGAATGCTAACGACGTCAAGAACGATGGGGCTGACGTGCACACGATTCCCATGATCGACGACTACGAGGAATTGACCCTGGAGCAAGAGTTTATGAAGTACATCTTCTAATGACCACTGATTCATGGCTTTTCGTAGACACCTCGTCGTTCATCTCCATGGACACATTCGTCATGGCGATAGCAAATCACCATCTTTTAGGTGGATGTCTGCAGATGACGTACAGTACGCCACGTAGGATGGCATGTATACCTCCATGCCTCAGTATTGTCATGTGCTTCTTCATGAAGGAGGAAGAAGCCTCCTCGATTCCTTAGTATTGCCATGTCGACTGTCAAATGTTGTTTCAGTGTGTCGAGAGGAGCATTCATGGGATTTGCCGCCAAAATCGAGAGTGACGGTCTATCGTCGTTGAGGTGTTGATTGACTTATTTATGGAATTCGTGGGGAGATTGCCTACGATTTCATATTTGACCAATGAAAACACACCTGTACAATGATCCATCCTCATCACGAAACACTATTATTGACGATAGTCTTTGGCAATGCAGGCTGCATGATACAATTATGGAATACTAGTACCATAACGTTAGTCATGTACTACAATAGTATTTTCGACATCAATGTTGACTGTAAGCACCCATGCCGTCACCACGACCTTGCCCGCTTGAAAGGCATCAGCTATCGTCGGACCATGACGTCTGACCTCCGCCGAATTCCCCCGATGAACATCGTCTACAAATATTGACAAAATCACGATGTTCATCGTGCAAAATCAAGAATTTGGGATAAGAATCACTACAAGTACGGAAAAGATGCAATGAAATAGGGTTATTCAAAAAATTATGGCATGAAGTAAATAACGTTAGGGATAAAGGTAATAATGACAGGGATGAGAATCTTCTACTCCTGCCAACGAGACGCCGAGTGGTCTATGGATTGATGTTAGCACCTGTGAGTTTTATTAAGTTATCAAGAAGCTCGAGTTGAAGCGATACTACTTTTAGCGAGGTAGTAAACATGACCTGAGTGAGGTTGTAGTTTTAGAATTGTGCGGATAGGGGCATTTTTCGGATTGCATCAACTGAATCCTTCCTACACGTTGCGCGTGGCGTGCTACACGTTTCACATGCAACGTTAAAGATATGAATCTCACGCTATACATTCCATGGGCGAGGAGGTTCGAGCAATCGAGTTAACGTTACTATTCATTTGAAGGTGTTCGCTTCTACTAGTATAGCTAGCGAACAGCTATTGCGGTTCATATATTCGAATCAATTACCGCTAGGTAGTACTATGTAGTACTTATCTGCAATGCGACTCGGGTGTGTGATTGAAGTACTACAGGCTGCAGTGTAGAAATGTTGATGAAAACATTCAACCATTAAATTGTTTGCACCATGCCATTATGCATTGCTCGATAGTACAGTGTAAGAGGACTTCATGGTACCTGAACTTCAAAGTTATTACTCATACTCCAATCCTACGCATTATACAAGTACATTACTTGCTGCGCAAGGTCTACACACCTCGCTCAAAAATACCCACAATAGTATTTTGGAACAGACGAAGTATTAGGGACAAACGTCTTGATTTCATTATCGGAAATTGATTTTTATCATAATAATTGCACCAATAATGATACCACCATGCCGAAAAATTGCGCCAACCCGGAATGCAGTTTCAAATATTGGGTTGACACAAGTGGAACAACATGAGCAAGCGGCAGCAATCCATCATGTACGCGCAACACCGCCGTACGTCCTGTATCTGTATGTGCACATCTTTAGGTCCTTCTTTGGCGCCAAACCGGCGGAAAAGACTAGCGACGCGAAGGTCGTCGACGCGACCGAAGCACCCCCATCTGCCTGGACGCCGGCGCCGCATGGTGAAAGTGTCGCTCCGTCTAGTCCCTCGGACGATAGCCCGAACAAGTCGAAAACACCTCAAGTTGCGGAGATTGTTGTGAAGAAGACCCCTGCAACTGCGTCGGCGTCCAAAAAAGCCAAGAAGTCCAGTTCTCCTCCTCCTTCCCCTGAACCAAGTACCGTCCCATCGTACCTTCCATGTAGAAACCCAATCAAGTGACTTGTTTTGATATCCCTAATAGAGCGCAAGCGGCTTCGACGTACGATAGTCGAAGACGATTCGTCCGACGACGATGACATGTTCACGTACGCACGTCATTTCGACTTAGTGACGTGATCCCATTTGCATGGTCTGAACAACGCTCTACACAGGGAAAAGAAAGTTGCAGTTCCAAAGAAAGAGGCCGCACAAGCCAAAGACAGCGGGTACAGCGTACATGACTTCACGTAGAATCATCATTCTAGCGCTCATCGTACGGTGGTTTAGAATCGGTGGCCACGGTCTCGACGACATCGATGCACTTCCAGAGCAACCGTAAGTTGATTTACATCGAACGATGCTCGCAATGTAGTAACGACGGCATGACTGACCCGCCGCCATGCTTGTAGTGTGGAGACGGCGGCGACTGTTCCAACCAAGGAGGAACCCCATACCAAGCCCAGTCCATCAACGTACAGTACTACTTAGTACATTCCTGCCTGTCATATCTTCCGTTGATTTACAATACAATAGGCAGCATATGTTTATATTGTGATTTGAAGAGGGCATCATATATATATATATGAATTTTCTTTTTTATTATTTTTTATTTTTTATTTTAAAATATTTTTTTATTTTTTAAATATTATTTATAATTTTTAATATTATTTAATTATAATATAAAACGAGAAATGAGGGACTATATATATATATTTATATCGTGATTTCAATAGTCCGACAAAGATGACAGAGTCCACGGCAACCAACGACGACAATGATGCTGATACACAAAAAGACACTTCAAAACTTGGCTCGTTTTTCGAGGCCAATCAATCCATCAAAGCCAAAAAGTCGACCAAAAAGTCGACCAAAACTAGTAGTTCTATTCCCACCGACGGCTCGACCACGTACGTCAATCGTTCTGTATATAATTATTCAGTGGAGGAATGGATTCCACATATTGTCGATTTGATATATACAAAGTTGGGGACGGGGTGCAATCGAATCGACCAAATCGATCCACAATCGATCGGATTGGTTGAATTTCATTGAGAAGGTTTTGATTGGTTAATACTTTTGAGCTCATCTGAAGTAGCCAATCAAATCGATTTAAATTCCAACGAGAAACCACGCCACAACACAAAATTTCACTACACGAAAGCACAAAATATTGTCGATTTGATATATACAAATTTGGGGACGGGGTGCAATCGAATCGACCAAATCGATCCACAATCGATCTGATTGGTTGTTGAATTTCATGGAGAAGGTTTTGATTGGCTAATAATTTTGAGTTCTTCTGAAGGAGCCAATCAAATCGATTTAAATTCCAACGAGAAACCACAACACAATGAAATTTCACTCAAAAGTACAATAATACTTACATATATGTGGATTTTGACGTATAGACCCCACGACGACGACCATGGGCTGCTGCTGCTGTACAACCCAAAGGAGAAGAACCCAATGAAGCGCGGCGGGTGGACGGCGGGAGACCCCGTTCCATATGCCGCCTTGTCCAAGGTGTTTGCCGTGATCGAAGACGAATCCAGTCGGTACGATTTGTCAAAATATATGACACAATAGAGGAGCACAGAGTATTCTTGGGATATATATATATATATCTAACGTGTCACTTTGGTTGACAAACATGGTCAGTCTTGGTTGTGACAAGGGTCACGATGATTGTCAAGTTTGACGACGAATGCTGTTCTGGATTATGTTGGGATGTGGGTTCGCTTGATATATATTTATATATATCAAGCGAACCCACATCCCAACATAATCCACTTCGCTTGATATATATTTATATATATCAAGCGAACCCACATCCCAACATAATCCAGAACATATATTTATATATATCAAGCGAACCCACATCCCAACATAATCCAGAACAGCATTCGTCGTCAAACTATATAAATATATATTCCATTTCTCGTCATGATGGTATATAGATATATTTGCTACTTATGTAGACAGGTCGAATATCAACCACGACATGCCAGATTTGCGCCATACTATTAGCGTTTCGTGCTAATAGTATGGCGCAATGTTGTTTTGATCATATATTATTACCTGAATTCTCTCCTGCGACTGTCCAGCTTTGACGATACAATCTGGTCTGTCTCTAGGCTGATCATCCAAGACACATTGGCCGACTTCTTTCGCAGCGTCATCGAACTCACGCCGTCGGACCTGGTGTCGTGCATCTACTTGTGCGTGTGCACAGAACTCGCGCCCGCGTACGACAACGTCCAGATTGGCATTGGCGACGCCATCCTCATCAAGTCCATCGGCGAGGCCACTGGCACGACGCCCAAGTTTGTCAAGGATTTGTACCAGAAGCAGGGGGATTTGGGCAAAGTTGCGCAGGCGTCGCGATCCAAGCAGTCGACTTTGATGACGTTTCAGACCAAGCCCAAGCCGCTGGCCGTCGCCCACGTGTACAATGACATGGTGAAAATCGCGAAAATGAGCGGCAACAACTCCCAAGCCAGCAAGTGCTCGATCATCAAGTCGCTGCTGGTGCGATGTGACAAGCTATCGGACGAAGCCAAGTACGTGATCCGGGGACTGCAGGGAAAGCTACGAATTGGGCTCGCTGGGCAGTCTATCCTCATGAGTTTAACCCAAGCGTTCATGCACCCCAAGGAACAAGGCGACAAGGCGCTTCAAGCGGTACGTACATTGTTTGTGGATTGAATACTATATGGGTCGCTCTTTATCGGCCGTGGAGGTGGTCGTAAGTTCGTATACTTTTGTCTTTTCTAGTTCTAGGTCGTGTGGGATTGTTTCAAAGTGATTTGAATATTGTGAATTCGCTATAAACGTCCAAAATTCGCATGGTTTTCATTATTGAATATCACGGTGGAGTTGTGATTGGTTGAATATACTTGTCTTATCTGTAAGAGCGAATCAAATCTACTCAAAATTGGATATTAGCCACTATCGTGTCGATGATTTGTGATATTTTTCGATTCGGCGGCGACATATTCGATTTGAAAAGGTCTGGAAATTCGTACCGAATATACCACAATAGCGTTGAATCGTGAAAATAGTGCGATGTTGACGATGCTGTATGGTGGTGGTGTGACGACGCTACATTGAACCGTGTATCGATACAAGCTATTTTCTTCAATAGTTTATATTTGTTTTGACATGATATTCGTGTGCTACGTCGAGAATATATATTTTTTGTTTTCAATCGAATATTATGTTTTTGTGTGGACGATACAAATGATGTGAGTTGTGGTATTACATGTATGTACACTGTGAACAGTATATATCAAATATTCAACGCGATGTGCATGTGTGTCTATCTACTAGTTTTTTATCGAATATGAAAACGACAATCTACATATATATTATCAATCTGCACTCTCGTGTTGAGCCAACCACACACGATCATCCCGTCGTAGGAAGCACTCAAGCATGTAAAACGTGCGTTTTCGGAATTCCCCAACTACGAAGTGCTGGCATCGTCTCTCTTGACTGTGTTTACAAGAGAAAACGACCAAAAGGGAGTGTTTGCGTCGCAATTCGTCGAACTGGCCGAGTTCTGCCACCTGACTGCGGGCACGCCCGTGTCGCCCATGCTCGCGCGGCCGACCAAGTCGTACGCGATGGTGCTGGACCGGTTCCAGGCCATGCCGTTCACGTGCGAGTACAAGTACGACGGCGAGCGCGCGCAGATTCACATCCTGCCCAATGGCGACATTCGCATCTTTTCACGCAACTTTGAAAACTCGACCGAGAGGTTTCCCGATGTCAAACTTAGCATCGCCAATGTAAGCAATCTATTCATATACGGGGCATGTATATATATATATATATATTTGAGACGGATATGCGGTGATATGCAAAGGGATGTATGTGGTGTGATGTGTGATGTGTGATGTGTGTTGGGATGATATGTGTAGGCGGCGGCCAAGGCAAACGTGACCAGTTGCATCGTCGACGCAGAAGTCGTAGCCGTGGACAAGACAACCAATCAACGGCTGCCGTTCCAAGTGCTCAGCACCCGACCTCGCAAGGTACAGACGACGGTGTCTGTAGAGTTTACTTTGTTTCTTTGGTCGTGGGGTTTTTATCTTTATGAAATAGGACTCATTTCATTATAAAATGATTTTGCGTTGGGTTTGTCCAGCTGAACCACGTGCATGACGATGCTCCATCATCGCTTATATATCATATATATATATATATAGTTTTTCCAATCGTGAGTTTGGTCCGAACGTCTGTGTATTTGAATTTCAACCACGCGTGTCATGTATATATATATATGTTATCTTTTGAAATTGTTTTCTATTGTAATTTTCAATAATCCTTTATATATATACCCCGTGTACGGTCAAAAGCAATCGCGTTTGGTCATGTCGATGAATCGTAATGAATTTTGCAATTTGGTCCGATTTATTCTTCTTCTTCTATTGAAAAAAACCCAATGAGTTATATTTTTTGTCCTATATCTAATAATATCATACAATAGTCGTGAGGGTCAAACTTGGATTTAACACACAGTGTTGTACGTGTAGAACGTGGTCGTAAGTGAGATCAAGGTCGCCGTGTGCATTTACGCGTTCGACTTGCTCTTTTTAAATGGCAAGGTAATCCCGTCGTCGTCTTCCTTATCATAAAACAAACATTCCGTTGAATCATATTATTTTAAATACAGTCGTTCCTAAAAGAGCCGTTGCAAGCGCGTCGAGAAGCGCTCAAGGGCATGTTTCAAGTCACGCCGGGGTCGTTTGAGTTTGCCACGTCATTGGACGTGGCCAACACCAAGGACGACGACATGGAGTCGACGGTTGAAATCGTCCGCAACTTTCTCGAGGAAGCCGTGGCCGGCAACTGCGAAGGGCTCATGGTGAAAACGCTCTCGACCGAAGCAACGTACGAGCCCGCGAATCGATCGCACAAGTGGCTCAAAGTACGAAAAGTGACAAATAACTCGTTTTGTCCTATCTGGTTTTATATTGTCCCAATTACTCAACATGCATGTCTTTTATTGTGCTTTCGAGTGAAATTTCATTGTGTTGTGGTTTCTCGTTGGAATTTAAATCGATTTGATCGGCTACTTCAGATGAGCTCAAAATTATTAACCAATCAAAACCCATTTCTCAATGAAATTCAACCAATCCGATCGATTGTGGATCGGTTTGGTCGGCGCGATTCGATTGCACCCGCTCCCCAAATTTGTATCAAATCGTCAATAAACGGATCATTTTTTTTATTTTTTTTTGTAGCTCAAAAAGGACTACTTGGACGGCATCGGCGACTCGACCGACTTGGTGCCCGTGGGGGCGTTCTACGGTCGCGGCAAACGCACCGGTGTCTATGGCGCGTATCTGCTGGCGTGCTACGACCCCGAAACGGAAATGTATCAGTGCATTACCAAGGTATGAACTTTGACTACTTGTCACAACATGCGGAGAAGTGTCCAACACATTGATTTGGTTGGTTGGTACGAGGATTTGCTTATTTCTGAATACGTTTCGATATTGACAAAATGCTTTTCTATGTTTAATATCCGAGTTTCCGGAATGGTTGGTCCCAAACCACTGTAGTTTGTCCTTTTTACTAAAATGTAGACAGACTTTGGTGAATCAATTTAGAGTCACATTGTGCATTCGATTGATTCAAAGTTGGAGTGGGTAGTCCAATCGAATAGCGGCAAAAACCCAAATTAAATGCAGACGATCGACTAGCCAATGAAATTTCTTCAATACAAAATTTCATGTCCAAGGCGTTGGCACATTTGTCCTAGTTGAACTATGTATATTAATTTTCGTATTGTATACAATTGTGCGTCGAGTCGATTTCTCAAAATTTGGGTGAAAAGGACAATAGCTTATGCAATGTATGGTATGTGAATGTAAAGATGATTAAAAGCTGACCATATCACTGGGCCAAACAATGCTGATCCATGATTGGTTCGAGTTTCGAGTTTGTGCATTTTGATTGGCTAGGACATTCTAACATTCAATTATCAACTCCTTCGATTCTACGCCACATAATTTGGCACAAGATTTGACAACACGCAATGCCATTTGTGTAGTTTCTAAAGACGTTTGTATCTCAACATACAGAATACTTGCTAATGCATCCAATTTCAAAGTTTTTCTGTATTACCAACCATATATATATATTATCCATCTCGTGGTCCTTGGTTTCTGCGATACGGACGACGATAAGGACGACGATGGTCTAGTTGGGCACGGGATTGAGCGACGAAGTGCTGGGTTTGTTCTTCAATCAACTTAAAGATTGCACGATCGACCGCCCTCGAAACGACTATGCAATCAACGACCTAATCAAGCCCGACGTGTGGTTTGAGCCGACTCAAGTGTGGGAGATTCTCGGCGCCGATCTGTCGATTTCGCCAAAGTACACGGCCGCGATAGGCCTTGTATCGAAAGACAAGGGCATTTCATTGCGGTTTCCCCGGTACATTCGACTGCGTGATGACAAGACACCCGTGCAAGCCACGTCCGCGGCCCAAGTACGTACTAGTTTGTCTATACAAACAACTACACACATTTCATTTTGTACGAAGTCAACATATATATATATATATATATATATATGCCCCTCGGTTGAGTTAGTTTTGTGATGTTGTATCAAGGAATAGTTCGACCACACTCATGTTGCTTTGTACTTGATTTTATCGGGAACTCTAGATTGCCGACTTGTACAACGCGCAAGGACTCAACACGACCAACGACAAGGACGAGTTTGACGACGACGATGCGTTGTAACCTCGTGGTTATAAACATTTACAAAATCTAAACCATACTTGGCGTTGTGCGCTGCAGGGTTGGATTTCACGTTTGGCTGTATATATCCAGCTTGTATCATGTCCCCATTGCATGTACGACTAAATACTAATGCTAGAGCTAGCATTAGTCGTAGCCCAAGCCACGTCGTTCGACATATTTCACCCTGTCTCAAGGTGGACGTTGAACAACCATGCAGATTTTTATAATGAATGCAAAATACTCTGTCACAGATTTGGGGCATCAACGACGGTATTTCTCGTTCAATGAATCAATCGATTCAAAGGATAGACAGATCGCCCCCTGTCGTGTTTCGTTGCGGTCTCTTTGTCTGGGCCGCTGTCCATACTGTATACCCTCGCGCTTCTACTTCAGGTGGTGGGAATGGGGTTAACATATCGCTGTCATGTACACTGTGTACATCGTCACATAAAGTTGAGCGGCGATTTGTTTGGAACAAGTATTAATATATCGAGACAAAGCTATCACACAACAATCGCAAGTCGCACAATTGCCCTTGTTGTGTCACATTTGTTCACTTCCGTGATGGAGAGGACCGTGTCACATACTACTAACCACATGGTGTTGCATGGGTGATCAAAGTACAGTACGCAAGTCAGTACATAACGTGCCCGTTGGTGATCAGGAATGTCGTCTGATGATACAATAGCTAGTAGGAAATGTCGAATCGATTCAAGACGACGGCCGTGGGACGTGCCTGCTGATTTAACGTTATGGACATATTTCATGGTCCACGTCTCGATATCATACGGACACCCTAGTGCTAGCTGGTCCCCTCATACTAACTACGGCCTTGTAGGTTTCGTAGCACGAGCGTCGTTTCAGTATGAACGGTTACACGATCAGTTACACACTTCGACTTGTTCCACCACCGTCTTCGTTCGTGCACAGCTCGTCATGGACCTTGCATTAGACGTGGAAGGTGCTCAAGTGACGTCTGCGACGTCGTTTGACCCCAAGTTTCCGCCGTCCAACGTCCTCGATGGGTATGTTGTTACGCTGTCATGGCTAGCCTGACTTAACCTAACTATAGAGACACGGGCACAAAGTGGGCTACGTGTGGCCTGTATCCTCAAGAAATCATCGTTCAGCTCGCCACGACGTCTGTGATTTCCAAAGTTAAGACGTGGACCACCAATGGTACGACGACACAAGCATTCATCATGATTTGGTCAGCCATAGTTCTCGGCTAACTATGACAATGTTGCGTGTGGTTTGATGTTGCGTGTGGTTTGCTGTGCTACGACATATAGCTGTGCCGTGGTATATATATATTGCATGAAGAAGAAGCACATATCTGCTATGGCCAATGAAAATACCAATCTCACGGGACTTTATTGCATTCGTAGCCAAGCATGTCGTGGTCGAAGTGTGTGCCGGTCCGTTGCCTACAAAATGGGAAAAGGTTGTCGACACCAGTACGTACTGCATTGGTGTGTTTGTGGTCGCTACAGAGACAGTTGCACACGAACGATGAGAGGGCGTGTTGACACACTGGTGTGGTGGCTTGGGGTGTAGACATTGGCGAAAACGACGGCAACCTCCAAATCGAAACGCAGGCCGTGACCCGCGAAGACGCGTCGTTCGTCAAGGTCAAAGTGTTGTCTGGGTACAATGACTTTATCACGGTGCATCGCATTTCAGTCGAAGGCAAAGCGCCTCGAAAGTGACCAAACTACCCCATGACAATTAACAGTTAACACCAGTTTCGCATTATTTTGGCTTCATCGCTTGCAACCTTAACATACTACAGAGTAGGGCTAGCGAGTACGCTATTAGTTGGCTGTCGATGAATACGTATATCTACCGTAGCACTGTACCTATCCACCACCACTCCTATAAATGTACGCCCAAGCCTTCCCCACTGTTTCCACGACTGTAGTACGCACGGTGCATTGGGGCACTTGAAACGTCGTCGCCGGTCGCACTGATGAGATATCCTTGTGCTCATAGTTGGAGTGGCCATAGTTAAGTCCGCTAGCTTCTATTGCAGCTAGTACGCGGCCGAGGCCATTAAGTGCCCGCTGAGTGATTTTAACTTTACAGCGTAATATCAATATCATAGTTGGAGTGGTCGGGCACTTGGTGGCGACGCCGGCGGTCAGCTAGGAACTCAGCCCTTCCCGAGGGGTTGCGAGGTACAAGGCAGGTGGTGCTTCTCCGTGAGCAAGTTGCAACCGTCACAGGGAACTGTGTGCCGATATGTCCTCATATGAAGACATGTTGAGAAGAGTATTGTTGAGATATTTTAAATGGACGGCGAGTGGCTCAAGTCTATCACGTGATTGGCCTCGTCGTCAGTGATAGAAGCTGGATCGTGTGCGATGGTGGCAGACTCGAGCAATCGCGCTTCCACCGGCGCCGGTTGCGCCAAGATCGCTGCCAAGGCTTCCTCGGGGGAATCCAGTTCGCCTACGACATGCATCTTGTGCACGATTTCCTTGGCAATGGTCAGTTCCACCGCCATGGCCGCTTGTTGCTGTCGCTTCGCCGCGGAAAACGCGTCTCGACGGTCGTTCCATACCTGTCCATGCATCCTGTCAGATCAAGAGGAATTGTGAATCGAAAGGGGAGACCAAGTAAACCTTTTCGCGCTCCAACATGGCGGTCACTAGCGCTTTGGACGACCGGATGTCCCGTTGAATGTCCTTCACGGCTCGACTAATGTCCTGCGGTGTCTGATCGCCATATTCCCCCAGAGCCAGGCGCTCCAAGTGCCATCCATTCAAATGCCGCGCCTTGGGATGCGTCACTTGTACGATTTCCTTCAAGTCGTCTGCCAACGTTCGTTTCTACATGGAGGAGACACAACATGAGGGACATGGCCGTCGGCAGCGGCGTGCTAGTCTCCACGTCCACGATCATTCATCGATGCATAGCGTACGTCGAAGACACGAAGCAGGTCCTGAATGTACACTTTGGTGTTGTCTGTTCCACAGCAGAAACTCAGCACATTCCGAATGGCGTCCGCAGCTTCCACGGCAACTGCAGCATTGGTAGATGCTGCCATGTTTGTCAAAAATATTTTCTGAAGAATTACTACATAGTATCAATTTTGACCCTCGAAAAACTACTTTCTCGTCAAAATATTACTATATTATTCTGTACTTTCTTCATGATTCTTCATGATCTATTACTATACTAGTAGTACTATAGGATTCCCTATAGTATTCTCCAATTTTACAGTTAGGTCAAAATAGTGTATAAATGCAAGTGGGGGGTCCTACTTAAACTGCTTATCTTGAAATTGGTATAGGATACAAAACCTCCATACTTTTGGTTTTGGATACCCCGACCCAGGAGATTTCCAGCCCCAGAGCACGAAGAAACAACCCCGCCCCCGACGCGCGAACGTAGCAGAACGAGATGGGGCTTGAATCAACCATGATCGTCGTGGACACGTCCGAATGGATGCGAAATGGAGACTACATCCCTTCGCGTGTGGAAGCGCAGGGAGATGCTGTGAACCTGTTGGTGACGTTCAAAACGAACGCAAACCCTGAGAGCACGGTCGGGATCTTGGCCATGTCGTCTACAGTGAACGTGCACAGCAAGACCGTGTCGCTGCTCGCGAGTCCCACCGACAATGTGGGCAAGCTCTTGAACGTCGTGCACGAGATCACCCCGACGTCCATCGGCGGGTCAATCCAATTCGCTGAAGCGATTCAAGTCGCGCAACTCGCATTGAAGCATCGCCGCAACAAGAAAGGCAGCGCTCGCATTGTCATCTTCCTAGGGTCCCCGATCGACGAGGACGACAAGTCTCTCGTCAAGGTCGGCAAGCTCCTCAAGAAGAACAACATTGGTGTCGATGTCGTGTCCATGGGCGACGTCGACTTAAACGCGGCCAAGCTCCAAGTGTTTATCGATGCCGCCAACAGCAATCAGAATAGCCACCTCATCACGGTACCGCCGGGCGTCTTGCCGTCAGACGTACTAGTTTCGAGCCCAGTGTTCCACGGCGACGATGGCGGCAGTGGCCACGTCGGCGGCGGTGCGTCTGGCGGGAACGACTTTGCAGAATACGGCGGAGTTGACCCCAACATGGATCCCGATCTCGCACTGGTACGTTGATCTCTTGTCCATAATTCTTACCATCAACTCATGCCAACATGTATACTAGGCACTCCGCGTCTCCATGGAAGAAGAGCGAGCGCGGCAAGAAGCCGCGGCGAAGCGAGCGGCCGCCGAAGAAGGCGAGAAAGCCGCCACTTCTGCAGACGTGACGACCCCTCCACCCGCCGCTCCAGTCACCGCCGTCGATACTCCAGCTACGGTCGTTACACCTACGCCCCCCGTTTCTGTACGTCTCCATGTTATCAAGTCTACTTGTATCTGACCAGCTTACTTGCCAATCCTGTCGTGGAAAATTGGAATTGGAGTATGTTGTGAGCTACGAGCTTCCAGATGGCCTGGATATGTGACGATGTTTTGCTTGTTTGGGGTAGGCTCCAGCGGCGGTGCCAACGACCCCAGCCACAGCAGCCAGTGCCGCGAGCCCCGCGCCGCCTGCGCCGGCGTCTGCGTCGCCCTTCATGGACCCAGCGTTTGTGAGTCAGCTGCTGGGAGGTCTGCCTGGTGTCGACCCAAACGATCCCAAGATCAAAGAAGCCATGGAGAAACTCACCAAGAAGCAAGACGAGTCCAAGGACAAGTAGTAGTGCGTGTAATCACGACCTATCAATAACTGGAACACAGTATGTCCCAACCACCATACTATATGCACAGAGTACGAATTATGGCTTCAAGCATATTCGACAGTACCAGTATCAGCTATTAGGACGATATGGTCGTTCAGAGTGATCATGTAGAAGGAGGATATGTACAAAGAATCTCTCAATAGCGTTACTGTTTGAGAGCCAACTGGGCATTCCGGCTTAGCATCTCCATGACGTAGCACATATGTACGTACTTCATGGGATAGTGGGGGAGGACATCTCGACATTGCACAAATTTAAGCATGTTGGCTTTGGCCAGAATAGCTAAAAATCTAACACAAATGAATTTTTCAAATATCAACGATCAAGTCCAATTTCAGTGAAAAGGCAGGCAATACGAATCACAGTAGTATTGTACATTTGATATGATTACAGTGTAGAGCAGATCGCCACCGTATTTAGTAGTACTACTACCTCTGTCCCACTTATATTTATTGGTCCCAGTGTACCAGTTACGTACAATTGATATAACATTATACAGTTTATGACAAACTATACTGTACCACGTATGTGAACCGAAACCTTTATCTATGGATAATTCAACACTCAGATCAGATATTATTTATCAAAACATATAATTCATGAGTACGGTGAAAATTGATCATCATTCCTCATTTCATTCAGGATATCTTCCACAAAGTTAGGACAAACAACCGCCTGAATTCATATTCAGATTGCTCTACGAATAGCTATTTAAAAGTATGCATATATCAACTACAAAGGTTTGAATTGATTGAAATATTCCCATTAAATCCTGAAAAACTGGTCTGGAGCAATATAGTAGTAGTTCGCTTACATGTAGTACTACTGTAGTACTAGAGTATGGTGCACGTGTTAATGCCTACTAGTACAACATGTAGAACACAACCCTACTGTCTTGGTGTTTATAGTGTACCAGGACTACGTAGTATCACCGGCGGTACAATAGTAGTTGGTGGTTGATGGCAGCGGAATGTTGGAGCCCAGAGATCGAGGTCGTGGTCGCACTGGTGGTGCCATAACCTGTGCCCGTCCATGTATACTACTACTTGACGAACGCACGGGACGAGGGCATGATGATGCTGTCGGATGCACTGACGACACGCGGGGACGCGCAGCCGCCGGCGTCTGTTTGAGTTGCTGTCGCTGGCGAAGGGACTGCACCTAAATGAGCACCAGGATGAGATGAGGCAGGGGTCAGGAAGATGCAACATGGAAGGACAATCATGTGGATGTGAATCGTACGGTGGCGTCGGCGGTGCCTTTGGCTCGTTCCAGGACATCTACTTGGCGGGTTAACTTGGTCACGAGGGTGTGTACGTTGGAGAGCTGTTTCTGCAGCGCGTCAGTTTGGCGGCGGAGATGGGTCATGTCGTTCGATTTGACAGTCAAGAGCTGCGCGAGGCGGTCCCGATCTCGACGGACGACCCGCGCCTGGTCGGCGGCGACTTCCAAGACTAGGCACTTGTCCGTGACGGCGCGAAGTTGGGCTTTATGCTTTTCGTATGAACACGTCATCTGGATTCGATGAGGTTTGATCAAGGGTGCGTTGAATGTTCGCTCCATACCTTTTGAAGGCGATGAACCATGCACACCATGACTTGCTGGGTCACAGCTTCAGGCAATGACGCAAGCAGCCATGCTAACGAAGGAAACAATGACATGATGGTTCGATGATTGACGGGGAGGGTGATGTGGAGGTGTACCCTGTGACGCAGGTTGGGAGTACAGACCGTTGATGCATGTGGCGTGGAGGTTGGCAAGGATAAACTTGATGCATCTACGTCGAAACGTGAGAAGGGCAGAAAATGTGCCATGTCGTTGCTCTCAGCCATACAGGGCAGACAGCGGAGGAATCGCCTTGTTCGTCGTCGGTGCCCCCACGTCGTTCGTCCCCATCACGGCGTCGTCGGTCGAGGAGACGAGCATGCGGCAGCGTGTCATGTGGATGGGAAGTGACGCCGATCCATACTCGCAATTGCAGTGAGGACATCGCTGCAGCACTAACCGAGAGGCCCGGCGGTCCACCCCCGCCGCTGTGTCTTCGCTATTCGCTGGAATCGACCACATACTGTAACTTGTAGCAATAGAATTTCGCGAACGAACAATCGGCCGAAAAAATCATTTCAATTTGAATCACTGGACCATACAATCCCCAAGTGTATTTTATATATTCCACCCCATTAAATATACAGTATCAGAGGTCTCGTACAAACCTCTGAATTTTCATGCTGTGGGTATAAAAAATCAAGTGCAATAAAATACACCAACTCGTTGAACCGTACAAACAGCCTGTTGTTGGAGGCTAATTTTATTATTTTTGTCAAAAACAAAAACACAGCAATATTATATTACACCAGCGTTCTACTTTTTGCGGTTCAAGTCCATGTGGCTCTTGACGAGTTCGTTCGTCGCGAGCGCGGCCAGGAGCGACAACTCCCCAGCCATGACCCCCGCGGCAATCGCACAAGCGAGGCGGCGGGCGCCAGACTCCCCTTGTTCGTGCGTCTGATGCGGCGCGCATCCCATGAGTCCCAGGCACGCTTGCTGCGGGGCCAAGTGCGTCCCACCGCCGACGGTGCCCACCTAGACTCACAGTCAATCTCATTCGGCATCGTCTTGCATTGATGTCAGTTGAGATTGTCTACCTCCATCGAGGGCATGGTGACACTCATGTACAAGTCTCCGTCCGCGGTCTTTTCCATGTTTGTCATGCAGCTGGACGACTCGACATTCTGCGCAGGGTCTTGACCTGTGGCGAGGTAGATGGCCGTGAGGATGTTGGCTGCATGCGCGTTGAACCCGCCAAGGGACCCAGCCATGGCGCTACCGACAAAGTTCTTTTGGATGTTTAAGTCCACCAACGCATCAACCGTCGTCTTCAACACGGACTCCACCACACTCGCCTTGACGACTGCGTCGGCAACCACCGACTTGCCGCGGCCATCGATCCAGTTGATCGCGGCACTCTTTTTGTCGGTGCACACGTTGCCAGAGATCGCCACCAGCTCCATCGATGGAAACAACGACTACAATGGACACCATGACAACGCATCGTGAGTACATTTGTGATAAACACTGCTTGGACGGATACAAATATACAAGGCTTCGTAGCTCAATGAAGCGTACAAGCACTCGCCACAGTACCACATACCAACCCAATTCACACCCAATAGGTAAATTCAACATTGCAGAACGCACTTGGACGTTCAAGATGAAAAAGCAAATGGGAAACCGGACATTTTAGATGAGTTTTTGGTAGGAATAAATGAAATCAAATCCCATGAAACGGAATAATATGATGCGTTTCGTGGTTTGAATAAATGAAATAAATGAAAAACGCAAACACTATACGACATATGCATTGTCCTACGCACATTAGAATATATATATATATATATATATATATAGCAGGTACACCCTTCACTTCTTCTACGTTGGACAGATTTGATATGGAGGCATTATCGTTCGTACCTTGAGGAACGCAAGCACGGCCAGTGTGCCTTTGGACACCATGTTCATGCCCATGGCGTTGCCAGCATTGCAAGACAGTCGGACGTAGCAATTGCGTCCCGACTGGATCGTCTTGACGCTGGTCATGCGGCCGTAGCGCGTTGTCGAGTTGAATTCGGCGGCCAACGCGTCAAAGTTGACCTTGTCGTCTAAGAAAGCCTTGAGAGCCGCCGCTTCCGCCGCGCGCTCAAAGCGGACACATGGCGCGCGAGTGATGGCGTCGGCCAAAATGATCGCGTCCACGCCTCGAGGATCCATGCTCAACACTTTGCACCCGCGGTTCGTGCTGGCAATCAGACAGCCTTCGGTCGTGGCCATGGGCAAGTACACCATGTCGCCGTTCACGCGGATGGGGCCGGCCAAGCCCACGGGCATCGGCACGTAGCCCACGACAACTTCACAGTTGCTTCCGTAGATCTACACGATGCACACCCCAATAAGTATGAAAAAACTGGATATCATGATGATGATGGGGATTGGTACGTGTGAAAGAAATCAAGCCTACCTTGCCGTAGTCGTAGCCATGGATGGGAAGGTGCGTGAAATCGAGTTGACTTTGGGCTTCAAAGTAATGGCGGCGAAGGCGGACAGCACGTTCGTAGTCCTGGAGGGTCTTTTCCAAATCGTGCAAGGCAAGGAGAGGACGGCCAGTGACGGGGTTCTTTGTCGTGAGTTTCTGGTAAATGGCTTCGTCATCGGCATCCAGGGTCGATAATGGAGGAGTCAGGAGAGATGCCGGAGCTTTCGCAGGAGCAATTGGCTGCATGGGGGGTTGACAAGAGGTGGCGATAGCAGGAGATGCGTTCGCCTTTTTCGGTTGCTTCCATTTCGAGTCGTCGAGGTCTTTTTCGTCCTCAGACGAGTCTTCGTGCACTTGGTTTGAAACAAACCCGACGGCAAAAAACGCGAAAAAGTACGTCAGTGACATGATGCATCCACATGCCGATGCATAAAACACCATCGGGTTCGACGACGACGGCGATTTCGAGGTGGACGTGGAGCTGCTGTCGATGGCGTGGTGGTTGTTTTGGTTGGAGATCAAAAGGGACAACGACACGACAAACATGGCGCTGACGATGTAGTTCGTCACGCGAAAAACTTCCCAACGTGGCTTGTTCGACGAGGAATTCCGGCTTTCGGCACGAGGTTCTCCTTTAGGCTTCTCTGGCTCCATGATGTAGCTGAGGAGGCAAAAACATGTCAAGAGCAGCAAGCCCCAGAAAAACTCTTGAGTGTTGTCCACCAAGACTTGCACGAGCCATGCGAAGGTTTCTTCTAAGACCGATCGGACACCGTCGGAACTGATGGCGACGGCCGCAAGCACAATCAGCATCATGGTGAACCACGGCGCTTTTCGAAAAATGGCATGACGGCGACAGTAATGGGGTGCTCATCCGGATGATGTGGTGAATCTTTTGGCACGTATCCGGATAACGCATTCGTCAGCTGAATCCTACTATATGATTGGTTCGACAAAACCATTTTAACCAATCAAATTCAGAGAGCCGTAAAAATACACATGCGTTTTATTGTCAGATCCTCGTGGTTGCGTAATAAAACGTATTTTCAGGATCTGGAGCTGTAAACTTTGCGCGCGCATTTTCAGACTTCCTCCCGACGGAACACGTAGCATGATGTCAGCGCCGTGTAAGCCCCGTCTTCCTCATGACGACCATCCTGAATTCAATCGGTATGGAGATGTTGGCCTCAGTAGATGTGATCTCACGTTGGAACATTGTCAAGCAAGTCGTCCAATCTGCGATCTATGCTTGGCCCCGTATTGGGTGTGGACGTACAGTACCTGTTGAGAAGTGCAGCTAGTGGCCATGACGCAACTTGTTTTGGGCGTAAGAAAGAGGGAGGGACCCCTTCTCGGATGCAAAGACGATGTGAGGAAGTGGTCCTGCTACGGTGATCATTCGGCGTGGTATTGAAACGCTTGAGCAGGTTCGTGAAACCGACCAGTTTCTCAAATTCACATATATATATACTACACTAGTATATGCAGCTTCTGGGCAAGTTATGGTTTGTCGACATGCCGATGCCGGTGGAATGGCATCCGAAGTGGGAGGTACGAGACGAAGCAGCTCTATATACGTGGCGTCGTTATCTTGAACGTTGTGATCGTAGACGCATTTCCGAGATACCCATCATTCCATCCTCAAAGACGTCGTCGCAAGCCGCAACAAGCTCGCGTTCAAAATTGACCACGAGTTGCCCCCCACGAACCAGGAGCATGACGACACTGTCAACTTGACGTGTGTCGAATCGGACCTTCAGCAGTACCTGCACCTTGTCGACGGCCTCAACGACGTGCGCGCCACGCTACCACGACAAAACACACCATTCCAAACATGGACGTGGAAGCATGCTTGTCTCAATCAACCCACAGACCCAACAGAGCCGTACTCGCTCGAGTTCTACCTCGACACCGAACGTGGCATGGTCGTGTTCGCCATGGCCTGCGTGTGCGCTCTGCAAGCCGAGCAACGTTCATCGGTACCACCCTTGGACGACGACACATCCTCATCATCAACCACTGTGAAAGACGTACGTCCGTTCCAAGGTTTGAGGAGTCATCGTTCATAACAGTCCTCTTTTTGTGCAGACTTGGCGCCGCGCCGCCGGGCTCTTCCATGAAGCCACGGCACGGCTGCCGCCATCGTCGCCCCTCCATCCGTTTCTCCATATCTGGGTTCAATTGTGTGTGGTACACGCCCACGCAGTGGAAATGCATCACGTACGTCGTTACCACCGGAATCGGCCGTCCTTGTCACACAATCCTGTTAGGTGCAAGCCGGCCTCGACACCACGTCGCATGTCCAAATCGCGCGGTATGAATCGGCCCTCAGTCGCGGCGGCCATTCTGCTTGTGTCGCAGCCCAATCGTTTGTCGCGCACATGTCGTCACCTACCTCCACGTACGTGAGTGACGTCGTCGCACATTTGTGAAGCAAACTTCGAATGCCATAAGTGGATTGACATGTTTTTTGAATCCAGGACGACATGCCAGCAAATGCGGTGGCTCGTGTTGGTGTACAAAACGTTGTGCAAAGCCTCGTATTGCATGAGCGAAGTCGTGCTGTACGAGTCCAAGCACCCAGGTTGGGACGACATTAGCAATCAAAATCGCCTTGCCTACATCCTGTGCTTTGTGTATTTCACCCCAATTTTTGGACTTGAGAGAGTCCTTTCGCCAATTAGTAAAATTCGACTCCATCATTTTCTTGGTTTATGGTTATTTTAGTATTGTCGATTTGATACAAATTTGGGGAGGGGGTGTAATCGAATCGCGCCGACCAAACCGATCCACAATCGATCTGATTGGTTGAATTTCATTGAGAAGGTTTTGATTGGCTAATAATTTTGAGCTCATCTGAGGTAGCCAATCAAATCGATTTAAATTCCAACGAGAAACCACGCCACAACACAATGAAATTTCACTCGAAAGCACAATAACACGAGATAATGTTATACAAATGTTTCTGGGTTGGGAACGTGTACTACTTCCTACCGGTAGGTCTTTGTTCGAATTTAAACTACAATGATCAGTATATAGTAGATAAGCTTGTACAAACTATCCACTACAAAGATCAGTATATATATATGATTTGTTGCCCAATACATGTAGCTTGGTTTGACTTTGGCTGTGATTCATACTATCTATTCTCTGAAGACATTGAGTTTTCGACTTGATTTGACAATATGTTGCTTAGTTGTTTCGTCATCCATCTCGATCGATGCCAACGGTTGTGTTGAGGAATAATGACGATACTCGAATAGACATTGCACTGTTGTTCTGTGACGCTGTGATCAAGTCCAAACTGCCCATGCCGCCGCAATACCCGCATCGAGCGTGCGTTTACTTTACAAAACTCATGCAAACGTTAGTCGCAGCGCACCACGACTCGGTGGCGCATGCCATGGACATCAAGTCGACATTGCAGGGCACCGCGAAATCCGTCTCTTGGACACACGCCCTTCGACCAGGTACTATTAATGTGATTGCCCTTGTTTTCACCAAAGCAATGTTGGATTTTTCGGTGCTGATTCTTCGCCAACTCTTGTATCGATCGATACATATTTTTGGTTGTATTGTGTGAATTCGCTATAAACTTTTAAAATTCGCGTGTTGTGTCGAATCCATATTGAATTCCACGCTGGAAGTTTTCTGATTGGTGTTGAATATACTTGTCCTTTCGAGCCAATCCAATATATCCACTCAAAATGGGATATTAGCCAATCGAGTCGAATATTTGTGATATTCGAGTAGTCGACGAGGTCTGGAAATTTGAACATCCACAATATTATTATTCGTTTTATATGCAAAGTTGATTACAGAAGTGATCAACTTCTACAAATAAACAAAGCATTTAGTAGGCACACGAATTCCGATGATACACGAATTTGATGGCGAGTTTTCCTACCATTTGTCCGAGATTCGCTCGCTTCAGTTCTACTTACTACCGATCTGTCGTGTGGTATAGAACACGTACACTCGTTCTTGTCGATGGAACCATTGCAACTCCAGTCGCTCCAGCCCATTGATGTTGTTCTTCCCGATCACGTCGTTGACGCGCCCGTTCGTGCGGCGATACGCCATGCGTTCATGCAACACCCCGACGCGCTTTTGATCCCCAATACAAGTAAAAGCCCCGTCGAGCGACCAAATTCATCATCTCGCACGTCCAAAACCGTCGTGTATCAAGACCACTCAACTAGAAATCCCCACGATCCGTCGACAACATGGGCAACTTCCCCACTACTTTGCCCTCTTCAAGTCTCACCAGCAAAGGGACCACCTGTTGTCCATTTCGATCCCAACACGTCGACGTCTCGAGACATTCGCGTCGCCATGCGCGCCCACAACCTTGGCCTTCTCCCCGACTCCTCTGCGAAGAAGAACCGCTTATTCGAGTGGGAATATGGAGTGGAACCGTTTACCCCTCGACTGGACGCCCGTCAGCTCACTCGAGGTCTATCCCTTCCCGCGCTTCCTCTAGCAATATCATCGGCCGTGGATGCCCAACATACCACCACCCTTACTCCATCCCATGGTCGTTCTCTGCTTCCGACCACGAGTACTAGTAGTACTAGTAGTAGTACCGAAGCCAACGACCAATTCGACAACAACGGCCACCATCACGTCAACGACGACAATATCACGCCATCCACAGACGATTTGCCGTTGACGTTGCTCAAACTGGATTGCCTTGTCGGCGCCGAAACGTTCAAACAGGACCATCATTCTTTATTATCCAGCATGCATTCTTCCCTGCCATCCCCTTGCGATGCGATGGGTACTACTACTACTACTATACCCAAACTCAATCGCAACATGGTCACGTCGACACGAAAATGTTGTGCGTTGTGCACTCGTCCTTTTCCCGTACGTCGTGATATATGATGTTTTATATATTTATATATTTTTGGAGAATTTAATTTCTCAGGCCGAGACTGGATGCATGTCAAATAATATATTCTGACAGAGTATTATTTCGTGTTCCAAGTGGGAGATGACGATTGTTTTTATGAGACCTCTGGATGCCATGATACCATGAGAAGGTTGTAAATATTTATTGATATTTTGTATTCAGAAGGTGACTTTGAATATTATGTCGTTGCCACGAATACCCTCTGGACTTGCTTGGGAGTTTGTGTATATGATCTAATCTTTGGCATTTTGGAGTAAATATATATATATATACGTGAGCTGACTTGCGCTTGTTGGTGGACTGAGAAATGTAGGTGGTGAATCTTGTGGGGGTGGTGCTAATGAAGCGTATTTTGGAACTTCGGGCAACGTGGGGCCTCGCCACTGCGGGTACCCCCAAATGTGCCCCCGCCTCGTACTTGTATCGCGACGTCCGGGTCTGTGTGCTTTGTACCGACATTCTATATGGACAACCCGACTTCCGTTTGAACTCTCAAGCCCCGCCATCCACAACGCTCTCATTGTCGTCGTCCAGCCCTTCCATCTCCCCCTCGTCCCTCCTTCCTCTCCATCCTCTTCCTACATCATCGTCGTCTATTCAACACACGGCAAGTATTAGTAAACACGTGCAGCACCTGCGGCGACTCAGTTTATCGGCGCACACGTACTCGACTACTACCACTCCGACCGCCACCACTGTGACCCCTCCGCCAGGTTTTGATAAAGACATACTACGACAACCACAACCTTTGACAAACTCGACTACGAATTACGTTGTCGACGAGGTTGGGTACATGATCCACCAACGCATCTTAAACGACGCGCTGTTGCTGCGTGCGCCATCTCAAGTGCTCCCGTGTGTGGATTTGACCCAGCGCCGCCATCGTGGCGTCGTGGCGTCCCAGAGCTCTGTGCTCATGCTGGGCGTCGCGTCCAATGCAATCAACCCTGTCGACACGCATCGAGGAATTCACACACACGAAGAACAAGGTACGAATACTAGTATTGTGATATTTCGCTGTAAACTTGCAACATTCGCGTGTCAACTCAATATTGAATCACGCTTTTCTGATTGGTTGAATATACTTGTCAAGTCCTACTAAGCCTATTTCTTAAAAAATATTATGTCCTTTCTGTAAGAACCAATCAAAGCCACTCAAAATTGGATTAGCCAATATCACGTCCATGATTCATGATTCGATTCGACGGCGAGATTATTCGATTTGACGGGTCTGGAAAGTTGTACCGAATATTGTCGATTTGATATACAAATTTGGGGAGGGGGTGCAATCGAATCTTTGCGCCGACCAAACCGATCCACAATCGATCTGATATGGTTGAATTCCATTTAGAAGGTTTTGATTGGCTGATCATTTTGAGCTCATCTGAAGTAGCCAATCAAATCGATTTAAATTCCAACGAGAAACCACAACACAATGAAATTTCACTCAAAAGTACAAAATACCACAATACTTGGAATATGTCCCACGGACGACAATAGGTCGTTTACCTCAAATTGAGACTTTTGTGTGTATGCGGTTGGTTACTCTGCCCTCACTCTCGATCGATCGATCGATGGATACCGAAATAGGTGTCCTGTGCTATAATTAAATCTATATTTTTTAAGACATATTCTTATAAGGAATTTTTAAACCAATCATGTTTATTAAAAAAACAATTAAATTTAACTATAATATTAAAAAAAGTAAAAACGAAGCTGGTATAACTCTAGTTCCACCGTAACCTGCAGTTTTGCGAGTATACTAGCGATTCCAACTTTATATGATATACATCATTGTGCATGTGTATACCTAACAAGTTGTCGTGTGTGGGGATTATTGTAATAAAGGCACATACACACACTCACTCTAATGATAGTTTGCTCCAATCAAATTGGCTCAAAACTTCCTTTTGACGATGGTTGTGTACACATTGTTGGTTCGGTCGTCGATTCCTATGTTCATGATTCTCCATGTCGCGCTCCAGCGTCGAATGAACACAAAACAATATTTGTCCATCATATATTATTGATCTTTTTGGTATATATTTCCGGGCTTGGTTCCATCGAATCACGCCGACTAAACCGGTCACGAAGAATCGCTCCCATTGGTCCTTCTGAAAATGCTTCTCGCTGATTGGTCACCTTTTTTTCTCGCTACTTTGTAATTTTTGCGGATTCAGGAAAGCCAATGAAAAACTTCGAGGCGAGATTTGGGATCAGTTTTACAAATCGCGCAGAATCGGGAAATTTGTAGCAAATTATGCAAAGTCATAATAATGTATGGGCTATTTATTGTACATGTGTTCGTAGCGCCATGGTGGGAAGTGGATTTGGGCAGCCATTGCGAGATTTCGACTGTGGAAGTGTGGAATTGTGCCGACAGCGACCCCCAAGTGGCCGCGCGCCTCTTTCCGTGCCACATTCTGCTGCTTTTGAAACCTGGTCACCGCCGACCCCTTGTCGAGTTGTTGGGCGTGGCCGTCGACTCGGTCGTGCTTGCAGCCCCGGTATAAAGTCCCGCTGTACCCGATTATTCTTGTATATTATATTCTTTATACGAAGTACTACTAGTATTTTTGAAGGCCGAGTCAATCGGGATGCCATAGACAATGATGTTAGGGCAATTGATGTTTTGACAGACATTTTATTCCCTTTTCAAATGGGAAGTGAAAAAAAGGAAATAGATTTGCAAAACATTTTGATGTGACCTTTGGATGCCGTGATGGAATGACAATTATTGTTGGAATATCATGTACGTACATACAAATTGGACAGTTAAAACTTGTTTATGTCAGAAAACAATGCAAATTCGACGTATGTTATGTCAATTATATTACATGTCAGATTTGGTAGCCCATCACACAAACGCTGACAGTTTGAAAAGTTTTAATATTTCTGAAAAGTTGCAAAAATGGATAGTTTCTCGCATTTTTAGTGGCAGAGTTGGTTGGTTCCTCGAACGATGATATTAACATGTAGATTGACTCTTGTTCACGTAGAGTCAACCGTTGCGATGGCGACCGAAAACAGGCAGCGTCTGCCGGTACGACATTTCTTTGTGCCTTGAATGTCCCTGTGTTCTGCATATAGATTGTAAAATTCATGTGCTCTGGATATATATATATATTGAAATATCTATGCTTTTATATTTCAATATACAGTATCATTGATTTGGTACGAATGTTCGGACCCCTATCAATCGACCACACTGATCACGAATCGCTCCGATTGGTCAATCTGAAAATGCGTAGTCGCTGATTGGCTATACTTTGTGGTTTTCTTATTTTACTTCGTGCTCCTGTGTAATGGGGGAAACCAATGAAATGTCACGAAGAGATATATGCCCGGTTATATATATATATAACAACGATTCCAACTGGTCTACTACTGTACCGACGACGGATAAACAACTGTATGTTTGGTATAGGTACGTGCGGTTGGTTGTGGATAAGCTCACGTATTTGCACGTCGAGCGGGTGCATGTATTTGGCACTGCTCTCAAACACGACGACCTTGTCCCCACAACCAACCCCTTGCGACCGGCCACCGCTTCTACAGCCGCCGCCAAGTCCACGACGCTACCGTCGTCCCCTGCATCGAACCTTCGTCGCGGGCAACGCCACCACACTCCCGACAACCATCCCAACCTTCCCCATCATTCTATTCAGCCGCCGTTTAATCATATAAGTATGCGCTTCCAGCAAGACCGACGACATTCATCAACATCATCGACGTCGGGTAGCCCCCATCGACCGAAAAGCGCGGGTTTTTTGCTGCCCACGGCCTCGAGTCACATGCGAGACCAGCTCACACATGCTCTACGTGACCAACTCGCCATAGACGACCAGGTCAACCACCCGTTGATGCACTCTCCCCACTACCGCCAGCACCATCGTCTTCCACCGTCGTCGACATCATCACCGTGCCAGTAGCTTACACCTCCATTCTTTATGCATCCTTCTTCCAATGCTGTCCAGTGCTACAGACGTCCATATTATGTCTTCATTAGCCGAGTGGTGGTGGTGGTTGGGTTTTTCATCTCAAAATGCCGCTGCGAATCGACGGCGATGTGCACGGACCCGCCGACGTGAGCATCACGTGATCGTTCCACTTGGCCACTCCTTGCGCATCCGACACGAGGCCCTACATCCACAGTGTCACAGATTCAAGAAGGTGCTTGTTTCAGGAGACGCACCTCGCCGGCAGAGACCAACACTTTTTTCTTCTCCACCTGCGCAGGCGTCCACGGCTCGCCGCCCGTCACGCCGTCGTACGTGACGCGTTCGCCGACGACGGCGCCGGCGGGGGGTTCCACGAACGCGACGCTCTCCGACCCGTCGGCGTTGGTCGCCACCGCGCACAGCACCATGCCGTGGCTCTTGAACCCGACCAAGTTGCGCGCCTTGAGGTTACACATGACGAGGACGAGTCGGCCTTGCATTTGTTCGAGCGTGTAATGCTTGACGAGCCCGCTCGCGATTTGGCGCGGCGCGTCTTCGCCAACGTCGATTTCTTCGCAGTAGAGTCTAACACATCACCATGCAACATGTAAACACACAAACGAAATGTTTTATAAGGATGATAAGGTACTTACTTGTCGGCCGTCTCGTGCTTCCACACGTTGACAATCTTGCCCACACGAATGTCCAACTTGGTGATCTCCGCCTGCTCCTCGGCGGGGGCCGCGGCGGCAACGGGCGCCTTTTCCTTCTTCTCCTTCTTTTCCCGCTTGGCCGGTGCTTGGGCCTAACACATCATGCAGCCCAGAACGTTAGGTGGGGTGGCGGTGGTTGAGGAATGAATGAATGCATACCTTGGGGGACTTGGGTTTGTCCACGGGTTCGTTGGGCGCCAGACCCAAGTTGGATTCCAAGGTGGCGATCACCTACACAGCATGCATGACATTCCTCCATCTTCCATTTCTCATGGCATGGACGGTACCGTGTCGAGTTGTTCCGCGGCGCTACTCATGATGTTTCGTCAAATGACCGCCAATCGAGACAAGTATCCGGTTAGTCCATCTCGTCCGGATGAGAGCATAACCGAACGACCGACATTTGGATGTGGTGACATTTCTTGAAATTGAAGTAGACCACTGGGACCGACGATAATACGTCAGTTTGGTGTCAACCACCACACCGGAATGAGGCTGTGCAAGGTTGTGTGGCTACATATGTAGCTGTACTGTTAGATGATTAAATGGGGCCGAACCACCCAAACGACACTCGGACCAATGGCAAAGAAAGTAATGAGTGCCATAATAATACCGCGGACGGCATATTCTTCAAGGGAGAGAGCGGCGTATGTACATGGCCATTTCAATCCAGTGCATTGCGCTCTAGCGCACATATACTATATCATATTAACTGGACATCACAATGGAATTACAGCGACAATCGAATGCAAACACAAGCACTATCTTGTGGCGAACAAGTTGTGTGCTTGTGTTTGCATTCGATTCAAACGCAACCGTCGGTGGGTTGTGCCAACTCGATGGAAACAGTTCCATCCTCAATTATCGCACAGCGTTAGCAATAATACAAAGAGCGTTCTCATTCATGAAGTCGACAACCATCGGGTTATTGCTCTCATGCGCAAAGTGCTACCCTCTGGTCTTGGCAAGGAACGCATGCAAAATGGCGTCGATGTCGTCGATCGAGTCTTCTAGACTGCTGCAATGCATAATGCCTCGGTTCGTCTTGCAGGCTTCACCGGACAAGAAATGCTCTCGATGGCTTTCAGGATGCAATTGCTTTCCCCCAACGCCGCCATGTGTTTGCTGGATTTGATGTGACAGCGGGGCGTGGTAGTGCGCGGTGGCCGCCAGGGGAACAAAGCAGCTTTCAACCTGCGTACCATCAGCAGCATATGGTAGTACTTTGCCCTTCCTCGTGGCCTTCCTGGCTCTTATCGCACCGTACCTGCAACTCCATGCCGCCTCCCCGCGGTTCCTTGGCATGCTTCTCTGGTATCGTCACCGCTACAAACGAGCTGCTACTTTCCAACTGATTGTTGTTTCCTGCGTCCATTCTACAACAAATAATATATCCCCCCACAGACAACAGTCAAGTTTTACTTGCAAAAGTGCAACACGTTTGTCGTTTATATGCGACCGTACATACCCTAACTCTTGCTCGATATCATCCGCCACGGGTGTAGCCGGTCTAGAATGCTGGCGGCGATACACGTCCTTTGGTATGGTCTGGTCTCGAGGTGACACGTTGGTCTACAAGGACTAGGTCACACCATCCAAAACAAGTGCTCGTATACGAAACTACTGACAGCACTGTAGACGCTGTTCCCTTTCCAGGCACTGGATGTCACCGATGGGGTCGATGACGCGAGCATGAAATTTGGCTTTTGGTACACTTGCTACACACCACATCATCATATACCGACCATTGGAAGTTGTAGGCTCATATGAGGGAGAAGAAGGCTCACCTTTTGCGCCATAGTTCTCAGCTTTCTTGCATCTTCAAGCTATAAACAAGTCTATGAGGCCATCACTGTAGAACAACCACCTATAATGCACCTCTTGACGTAGTCGTTGAATCGCATCTAGTTCTGGCGTCGCCGCAGGGGGTCGCCATGGGTTACTATTCATTTGCGGAATCATCGGGGCCGTGTACAGTGGGGCGTTGTTGAACGCTGACTGCATGGGCGACTCGTACTGTGGCACAAACGTCGCAGGAGAGCCTGCCACGTCATATACCGCGTTGTTACATTGGGGCGATCCCAGGTTGAAAATGCATGGTTACCATGTGTCGTCGTCGGTGGGTGGACAGAAGGGGGAGGGGACTTTACAGGGCTGAGGTTGTTTCGCTGGGGCTGCGATGTTGGTTGGGTCTTGTCGGGCGAAGGTGGAGGGGGCTGCTGCTGTCCTTGGTTCCCTAGTTGGGGGTGGTGCTGTTTCATGTTGTTGTTGTTTCCCCGCATGCGATCCTATGCACAATGCGTCAATGAACTGTTGGCGCGTAACAGTGCTTCAACGATATATGTACTACGTAGTAGCTAGCCCCCATATGCTAGTGTATACATGGGATCACTAGGTACCATTTCTTCTCGCTCAAGGCGCTGCTCGTCGAGCTTTTGCTGCTTGAGCTGTTCCTTTTTTGCGTTTTGCAGTCGAATCTATCCTCCAGCGTATACGTCATCGGTGTTTGATGCATTTTGCATCATCCTGTACTACTTGGTTGAATGGGTGGTTGATTGATCATACCTGTTCTTGCAACACCGCCGCGTAGTCCATGCGAAGGTTGTGCTTCTCCGTCGCTTGTTCACACGTTTCCCCCGTGAAGATGTTGTCCATCCCCGCACGTCGGCGAGCCCTACGTCACACATACATACCCACACCAGTTAGCCACTTGGCCATCTACAAACTACTGGGGCGGTGTCGTTCATATGATGCCACTGTACTCAAATGGCTACGGTAGTTGGCCCAGCATGCTACACGAAGTATGTACGTACATGATGAGGATGAATACACCAAGTGGGTATTTGTGGGTCCCACAAGGTACTACTTCGGTTACGTCATAACGGCATATATGCCTTTTTTAGGTGTTGGAACTGTGTTGACAAGCCAACATAGGCGACGAGGCATCGACTACATGAAACGTGGCATAGCTTCAGCCCAACGCCCTCCTTACCTCAGAAGACTTTCGTTTAGGGTTGAAAGGGATATTCGTTTCAAGCACATTTCACCTCCTGTTGATGCTATCTGTGATGCGAATATGCTCTTGATATTTCATCGTACGTATTCCCATATCAAAAACAGAACCAACGTCTCAAAATCGCGAACATTCTTAAGTAGTACTGTAGGTACAGTAGTTATGTAACATAGTAATACGTGGCCGAGACCAGGGCAACATTGACCGTTGCGCCAAACACAAGCTTAAGCACCACCGACGACAAGTACAAGCCTCCGATGGCCACAATTGGATACAGAAACCGCTCCGTGTGGTGCAAGAACGGCAGAGCTATGCTCACATGATGCCACGTCATATAAGGACAACCACCCAAACAACGATGGATGGGACGTACCCATATACCCGAGGAACGTAATGTATACGTAGCTGCCACAACCGATGGCGTACAGGGTGTTGGCTAGGACAAGCGACCCCAAAGCGGAAGAGAGTAACCAGGGCAAGAGCACAAACTAGCCACCACCCCATGTCACATCTATGGCGAGCTACTAGTACTACAACTACTACTAGTAGTAGTAGTTGTGAGCGAACGTCGTACCTGGAGCACGTGCACAACGAGAAAGAAGATGAAGAATGCGTTGCAGTGGATGTCGAACGCATATTGCCATTCCACGGCTTGGGCCACAAAGAACGTGTCCAACGACGTCGCCGGGCGGCTCGAGCTAGTACTACTAGTAGTAGTAGTACTCGTTTGACCAATGCGAAGGAACTGGTTGGCACACCACCACGTCAAGGTCGATGTGACAAGGCCAAGGATCAACCATTCCACCAGCACGTCGCAAAGCAAGAGGAACGCCAGCGACGATGTCTTCTCGAAGGCTACAGTCCATGCCAACGACGCCACCACGAGGAAAAGCACCTGTGAAACCGCACAAGACTCCCATGAGAACGACCGTGCATGCAACATGCAAGAAGGCCCAATGTAGGTACTGGAGTACCTGGATGACGGCAAATGCGGGGTCGTCGCGGGCCCATCGGTTCTTGGTTTGTTTGCGGTAATACGCGCTCTTGTAGACTTTGGTCGGCGAAATGCACAGGGTGACCATTTGATAGTATGTCGCTTCCAAGTCCATCTGCCGGTAGTCGAGCACACGCCAAAAGTACTCGGGCAGTGCAGAGCAGTGTCGAAAGACGGGCAAGGACGCTGCCGAGCCCGCAAGGCTAGTGGAGGATGATTGGGACGGCCGTGACGCAAACGATGACGTCGTTGGGAGGAACGTCGAGGACCGCTTCTGCCATGGACTGCTGCTGTTGCCACTAGTCGTCGTGGCGGGGGTAGTGCTCTTGGAGGCAGCATATAGACCCCCTTCCCCATCGTCCTCGGTGACGAAGATGCCAGCGCCGCTGTGATGCGGCAAATTCACAGGCTCCATCATCGTATTGGACGTGTCTGCAGCAGAATCGGAATAACACGTGTAGAAAATGATCCGGATACCAAATCCATTTAAAAACCAAGTAAACCATGAACGAACCCTTGATTCTCGATATGGGACAAGGAATCCTTGGCAAACTTTATACAACTTTATAGTACTGATTTCTCCCCCAGATCAAAACGGGTAATTATTAGTAATATAACGTTAAATTATTATTAATATCCTCGAAGTAAGTTCACTTGACAGTGAGTATTGCAATAATGTTACAATTATGAGGAAACCAAGTGAAAAAATGATCATCATTCCTGACACATGTTGTTTTATACTACCTTCAAGAGTCGTTAACTACCATGATTATAAGGACCTGATTTCACTCTTTTGTGAAATCAGGTAGGTTCGTACCGTAGTGAATTAATTATATTCTCTACAGTATTTATAGTGTAATACTTGCGTTTGCTTTTACGTAGTATACCTAAAAGCAAACGCAATGATTTGTTTTGGCCAAGGTATTATCAATAGTACACTCGTGGCATGTGATAATGTCGTGAGTAGTAACGTTATTGTGGGTTTTGATTGGTCCATCGATTGTCATCCTGCGATGTGGTGCTAACACGTTATTACTCCGGTTGGTCCTGTACTTCGTCTGCCGATTGCACAAACACGCTGGCGACGTTCAACTTTCGCCGCTTGAGTTTCCAAAACTTCGTCGCCCCGTCGGCACTGCCATCGCCGCCGCGGCGCTTGCGCGGCTTGTCCACGGGATGCATCATCGCCATCATCCGCATCGCTCCATGCTTGCCTTTGCTTTCACTGTCATGGCCGTCGCCATCGCCATTTGACACCAGGCTCATCTTCTTGGCCTCGTCTCTCTGTCTCGCCTTGGCACGCATGCGACTGCGAAGCTCGGCCTCTTTCAACGCTTCTTCGGTCGCGACCACCGCCGTGCGGTTCCGCCGCTCAACATGCGCCAGCTCTTCCTCCCGCTTCCGCCGCTTGTCTTCAATCTTGCGCTCCGCCTTGGACAGCTTGTCCATCTGCGCCAAACGCGCGTCCTTGGCCGCCTTGTCCCGCGCCGCCGCGCGTTCGTTGGCGGCGCGCACCTCGGCCTCCGCCTCGTCCTTCTTTTGCTGTTCCAGCTTGGCGTGGTAGTCTTTAACCCGCGCGGCGTCGTCCGTCGCCGTCCGGGCCTTCTCCACTGCTCGCGACTTGTCCGATTCAATTTTCGCTTCTTTGTGCTCCATCACCTGACGCCGCAAACGCTCTACAATGTCAATTGTCACGTCGCCCCACAACTCGGTCGTGAGCTCATGGAGTCGTTTTGCAGCGTTGTACACGGTCCACTCGTCCTTGGCCTTGTCCAGTTGGTTGTACAGCATCGCGTTTTCAAACGTGAGTCGAATGTCTCCAATAAATTCGCCGTACGATTTGTACACGAGCGCGTTGAGCTTCTCGCCGACCTATATATATATATATATATATATATATAAATATATATATAAATATAAATAAATAAATATATATATATAAATATATATATATATATATATATACGATTGTTGGGCGGTTCATTCAACCACCCGCCACAGAAAAAAAAATTGGAGTGCACACACACAAATTATAGAAACGTCTTTCAATGGATAAAGTGTACACGATCACGTAAAAAGAATAATTTAATTCGTCCAATGCCAAATCATCATCATCATTCTATATATATATATATACATATATATAGAATGATGATATATATATATATATACATATATCTAGAATGATGATATATATATATATAGAATGATGATATATATATATAGAATTAATATATCCGTACCGTTTTGAGATCCATGGGCTGCTTGACAATCTCGTAATAAGTCGGAGGCAGGTCCTTGAACAACACACCCGCCGGTTCCATGAATGGCCACCTGTCTTTGACTTGCTTTTGACTCATAAGAGCCCTCAACACTTTAACGCATTCTTTGTTGGGTTTGCTTTCGGTAAACTTGAGCGTCTGGACGGCCGAGAAGCGGTCGGTGCGCCACTGGCGCCGCAGCGGCTCCGCGTCGGGCAACACGTTCATTTCCACGCACAGCGAATCGAATAACCACCTACATTCATGTACATACATTCGATGGGTTTGTTTATACGGATGCACAATATTCGAATGTGTGAAGAGAATGAATTTTTCAAGATATTGTCGATTTGATACAGTAGTACAAATTTGGGGACGGGGTGCAATCGAATCTTTGCGCCGACCAAACCGAATCGATCTGATTGGTTGACTTTCATTGAGAAGGTGGTTTTGATTGGTTAATAATGTTGAGCTCATCTGAAGTAGCCAATCAAATCGGTTTAAATTCCAACGAGAAACCACAACACGAAATTTCATTCGAAAGCACAATAAGTCAATCATGGTTTTGTTGATGTTTTTTCTGGTAATAATCCAAGTGATGATATACCAAAGTATCATAACATAAAAAAAGTAACTGAAATAGAATATTCTCAACATGGATCAAAAACGAGAGATGAATGGTATGACGACCATCTCGCTCCAAAAAACAAAACATGTTGACGTCGATTTTATAATCATATCCATAAAATTTATATATATATATATATTGTAGCATGTCACCCATCATACATCTTTTGTCCAAAAGTGCAAATTCCGAATAAACTAACATTATCCATTCGATTCAAAATCGTAATCACCCACCAATCGGGAGACACTGGTTCGTGGCCAATCAAAACCCCGAACATGAATCACGTGGCCAATCAAATTCCTCCATCACCGATACTTAATGAGTGTGTATGGGGCGACACATTCGTTTTGACATACCAAAAACCAGACTCCAACAACAAAACTCGATCGTAGATGGATGGGGCAAAGCAGCAGAAGCACCATAAACGTCCAGACTTATATATATATAATATGTATATACAAGGAGGTATATATATATACAAGGAGGTATATATATATACAAGGAGGTATATACAGTACAGTATATATATAAGGAGGTATATATATAATGTATTTATATATATATAGCCCAAACATCAACGTTTTAGACAATACATACCTCAGGTGATCGGCAGTCTCACGCACACGCACAGACGCAGCGTCCGGTCCAGCGTTGAACGTCTTGGCGTTGTCGCAGATCAGCCGCCCGAGCCGGACAAACTCAACGGGGTCGGCGATCGCGTGCGTGATGAGGAGGTGGCGCAATGTCCCCAGATCCATCGGTTCCGCCACAATCGACTTGTAAATTTTGGCCAGGTCGGGGAACTTTTGAACGAGCGGCGCATCAAAATGCATGGCTGTGACAAAGTCCAGCTTGAGGATACGCGACACTAACCGCTCGCACGACGCTTCCCAAGGTGACAGATCCAACTTTACTTTGGAAGACAATTTTGAGGATGATTTCGACGGTGTCGCAGACGTGGGCGGCGCCACGACGACGACATTAGGCAGAGGCGGGCTGGGCGTGGGAATAGGCGGGCTGGACAGAGTGTTTGTCGCGGTGGCGACTGCTTCGACAGAGTGTTTGTCGCGGTGGTGGTGGTGTTTCTTTTTGTCTTTTTTTTTGTCTTTTTTTTTCTTTTTCTCTTTTTTGTCCTTTTTCGAACTGCGCTTTTTCGTCGTGTCGTCACCGTCGTTGTTGTTGTCGCTCGGGGTGTCGCGGCGACCTAAATATGTATTCACACAATGATGCAATCCACATGACACATATATATATATACGACAAAGCTTCATATGACCCCAACAGTATATAAATATATTTATACAGCTGGAAATGCAGGGAGTGGGATAGGGTGGGTTGAAATGCAGAGAGTGATAGGGTGGGTTGTTGTGTTTCGTACGAAAGGACCAAATGTGCTGAAAAGAATTTGGCCAATTAGAGTGCAGGAAAGCACACAATACATCTAAATAGTGTGATTCGCATCTCAACTGGTCCATTTTTATATACAACTATCAGTACAAAACACATCGATCGGCAATTTTGTAAACTCAAAACATTTCAATCCGTGTGTAGTATATATATATATATATCTTCCAAATGGGAAAATCCCCCATTCATACGGAAAATGTATACAATAAATGATTGAAAACGGCCAAAAAGCGGAAATAAACAATACTAATAAATATGTGTTTTATGTTTCAACGTGTGTATTGGAATCAAATTTAAATAAATATCATATACATCGTCCATATTGTAGAGTCACAGCAAATTACCCGATGACGACCGATTCTTCTTGGACGAAGACGAGGCGGCGATGGCGGGGGTTCCAGGGACTTGACCACTCTCCTTATATAATGTCTCTGTTATAAACAACCCAAGACACACAGTACACATATATATAAACATATATATATAATATATATATAATATATATATATATATATAAACATAAATATATATTATATATATATATGTACCAGGTTTTGATATAATTGGATAAAACAATCGCGCAAGGTTGTGGCCATCGTGCGAATGTCCGCGCCTTCCACCGGGTCCGAATTGTACTTGAGGCAATTCGAAAAGATCAAGTGCACGTCGGCGGAAAACTCGGATAGACTCGTGTACCGGTTGCTTTTGAGTTTACGCTACATCACCATGTTGTCAATTCGATTTGTATGTTTAACCAAGTCGACTGACCAATCAAATTCCAGAAAACAATATACATTTGGCCAATCAAAAACTCTTGCAATCGTGGATGAAGTGTGTGCGCTCAGAAAGAGTGGGAACGGCTTTACACAATTATTTACATACAAAATGCAGGACAAGTCAAATCGATCGATGGATTTAGCCAAAATCAGAACACCAATCCAAATGTTGGCTAAAGCAACAAGAACGCAATCATCAACACGACTCTTCTGTATGTGTCGTTGATCTGCACTATGATATACAAAAATATAACGATATAAGTCAATACAATCTTAAATATAGTATGCATATGCTAGCTTTAAATCCAATGTTCAAATTTAATTGCGTTTGCAAAGGTACATAAATATGGTAGTTGTCAACCAGATAACGAAAAATATATCTTGCTCTACGGAAAACCAAGTTGAGAACCATATACCCTTGCAAGGAAACCAACATATCTTGGTCGGTTATGTTCAGTCGACTTTACATCCTTTTCCAGGTTGGGACCTTCAGTACAATATTATATAAATTGTAGGGACGACCAAGTTGTTTGGCCAATCAAAGATATAAAAATCAATACATGTTTTTTTCGTCCTCCAAACCCATCCAAAAATAGTAATATATATATATATATATATATATTCATTCGACAACTTCCATATATTTGTCGATGATATGTCTACACCACGACATATATAAAACGTAACTATACACATACTTATATACCATTCAATCCAAGCAGCTCCAACCAACAATTCTTCTACCATTGGAATAGTCGTACACTAAATCGTTCAAATTGAATCACATCGTGCAACGGCATGATATATAGACCACTCGACTCACATCTCCACCATTCACACATAATCACCATCAAGTATGTACACCAACTAAGTACTTTCCGTACGTCGATTTTGTTGAAGTCCATGGGCTCGGAGACAATCTTGGCGTAGTCTGGATACCGCGTGATGTCGACGGCATGGAGGAACGGGTACGCAGTGTGAATGTCTTTGCCCATCGCGCCGCGCATCTTGTGTTGGCGGAGCGTCTCGAGCATCTGGAGACACTTGTCCTTGTCGGCAAACTCCCGTCGCGACGACGACGACGACGACGACGATGTGCTGGTGGCGCTGGTAGAGGTACTGGGTTTCGATAGGTCAGTTGCATTCTTTTTCGACGACGACTTGATATCTTTTGGAGAGATCGCAGTCGACGACGGTTGTGCAGGTACAGCAGCGGTGGTGGTGGTGGCAGTGGCGGAAGTCGTTCGTTTCTAAAGAAAATAGTGTGCTTTTCAGTGAAATTAGCCTATTTTGGGGGATGGATTCAATCGCCAACTAAATTTACTCGGGCAAAGGGAGTATGATTAGAATGTAAAGGTTGAAATTTGATGATTGGCTAAAAAGAAAATTGATTGTAGTACATTGCAGTCACAATGGTAGTACCTCGTCAACTTTGTTTTATATGAAATTTCAAAGGTCCGGCGATTCTTCGGCGGTTGATTCAACCAATCAACAAACGCCAACGGGGGACATTTGGAGTAGATCACACACTCAATACAACAGGCACACTTAGAGACATGAGCTGAAAGAAACAACGGATAGACAGACAGCTATTTTTTTAATATTATTTTTTTATAAAAATACTAAAATATTTGATTATTATCAATCAAAAATCAGGAATTCTGCGAGGCATTCCAGAAAAACCTAACAACTGCATCATTACACCATGCATAAATGAAACCTCCAACTCATTCTATTATGAATGCCATCATAGTCCGAAACCCTAAAAATTTATAGTCTATCATATACTTCATTTTTTTAATTTTTACAAAATATGTTCCATTCTAAATATTAACTATTTATAAATACAAAGAATAGACACATACATGAGAGTCATCGCGGACAATGTTGTTTACCTCGTGGCTTGCAGTTTTTGCAGGGAAGAGGGATGCGGACATGGCCGATCCAAACACTTTCACTGCACTCGACTCCATGGTCGCCAGCAGCGTCTTCGCAGCGTCACAGTACACCTGGCCGTCCACGCTGGCCTTCCAGTACTTGATGCAATTGTCAAACACGAGCCGGAGATCGGCTACGAACGCTGCCACGTCACCATACTCGCCCAAGTGCAATCGGGACTAGACATTTCCACCGAGTGAAAATTGATGGATTCGAACAAGGAAAGAAATGGCGACAGAGAGAGAGCTAGAACATTTTTTCAAGTAAACGTATGATGGTTCTATTTAAAAAATAGAAATACAGTCGATGGAAAATAAACGATATATATTATCCATGACACGCCAAGTTCACAACGACTAAAAATATGTTGTTCCATTGTTAAGTATACCACGTATCAACGCAAGAAATAAGGCGAGATAGAGCGAGAGAGAGAACATTACTTCAAATAAAGAAATGATCGTTTAAATTAGAAATACAGTCGATCGCAAAAAAATAATTATTCAGACGTGATTAGATCATCAAAACTTTGCGACAAAATCAAAAAAACTCCAATAGTTAGATACCACGCATACTCAACGCAAGATGTAGGACATTCTAAACAAACTCAACGCATTTATATATATATATATATATCGTCTTGACAACCCAACCAAAGCCAATGTCTTTCGAGTCCAAGCCAACATTATGGAAAATATCAACATATTTGACAAAATAGAATGGGAATATTACCGTGACTGTGCCAATGTCCATGGGCCGCTTGATCACTTTGAAGTAGTTAAACGGGGCTTGGTCTGGCGAAGCAAAGTACGTCTATATATACACACACATCAAGTCAATTTGAATAAATTATCGATATGACAAGTATTGGTATGAATATATATATATATATATATATATTGTGCTTTCAGCCAACTTTTTGGATATTGTGCGGATTCACCAAATCCATCGGTCGATTTTTTGTACTGAATTTTGTATGTAATTTTGTTGAAGCCAGCCATTCAGATTGATTGAAGTCACACACTTCAAACAATGGCTCGCTTCTGATTGGTCACTTGAAAGTGTTCTGGCTTTTGATTCGTCAGTCGATTTGGTTCTGCTCATTCGATTGAGAGTAAGCACCCCATTCCAACTCGGAATCGACAATATATACATAATATTGTCCTTCATTGGACCAATTTGATGCTCCATATTGTTGTGTTTATTCTATACTGGAACGGCATGCCAATTGAATCGACACAACCAAATGTACACAAGAATAGGCAGAAGAATATTGCCAATCGAATTGAACAAAACCACCATCCTCAACATCAAATATATGGCTTTAATCAATGTGATTGGCCTCACCACAGGACATTTTTTTTCCATACAAAATTCAGTACAAAAATGATCGATCGATAGAGTTGGCGGTTCCGTACCAAAGTCCAAATTTTAAAAGGACAATTAATATATATATATATATATCACTATCCCCCACATACACACAACCGCGTAAGTGTTGGTTGTGTTTATTCTACACTGGAGCAACATATAGAATGAATCGACCGACACAATCAAATATACACAAGAATCGGCAAAAGTTATGTTATTGAAAATAGTGTGATGACAACCACAATCTAGGACATTTCTTTCCATACAAAATTCAGTACAAGAAACAAACAACCTATCGATCGATATAGAGTTGGTACAGACCAATTCAAACACAATTCAGCACAACAGTCCAAATGTATTTCAGTACAAGGACAATATATATATTCTGAATTCGCTATAAACTTCCAAAATTCGCGTGGTTTGTCTAATCAACATTGAATCACGCTGGAAGTATTCTGTTGAATATACTTGTCCTTTCTGTAAGAACCAATCAAATCCACTCAAATTGGATTAGCCAATCGCATCGATGATTCGTGATTCGATTCCGCGGTGAGATTATTCGATTCGACAGGGTCTGGAAATTTGCACCGAATCCACAATATAATATATATGTGTACATTATCTCATGGAAACCCACATATATATATATATATACAACTATGTCCAGTATTCGAGATTTGTACCACGATAGGATGCTTAAACCATTGAGCAGTCTCGATGCCGCCAGGGCTCCGATGAGCGAGCACATCCTGAAGCACTTGATGGCACTTCCACCGGTCAGTATGCGCCATTCCTGTCCACGTCGCATTGGGAGTCTGGTCAAACGACGCTTGCTCCACCAGTTGTTCGAGGACGTGCATCAACTTGACTGCATGTTCGCGAATCTTGGCGCTTAAGATCACTTCCGAGTTGTACACGAGGCAGTTGGCAAAGATCAGCCGCATGTCCTGCACGAATGCCGCAGCGGACGCGTACGCGCCGGTCGAGAGCTTTTGCTGGACGCCGTACAGATGCATCCGATGGGGGATCTTGACCTTGTAGTCGACGTACATGCCCACGTCGACGGGGTTGAAGAATGGAGCGGCCATGGCGACCCCCATCTCCTTGTACTTCATGATGCGCTGGACAATGCCATGGCACTTGGCCTTGTCGTCGTCCGACAGCGAAGATGATGACGACGGCCGATGCGATAGCGTGGTCGAAGGTGGTTTGTGCGACGATGGAGCGGCAGGGGATGGCTCGGGGGAGACAGAAGGAGACGGCTGTGCCGCCAAAGTCGTGACGTGGCGTGCCAGTTCCCCGGCATACATCATTTCGAACCCCTATCGCAGCCGCATCCTTGAGTGTTTGGGTTCGCGACCAATCGTGGAGTTTTCTGATGTTGGCCAGACGTATATCATGGTATATCGAGGCGATTATTTGTACCTGCAAGAGACGCTGGGACGTTTCAAACAGCGTGGGATCGTACACTTTCGGCGCGTGGTCCTTGAGGTAACTCTGGTACAACAGGATGTTCTGGAACACCAGGCGAACATCCTTGGAGAACCGCTCGCATGTCTTGAACCGACAACGAGATGGCTTGCTGCCCAAAAGCTTCTGGACTACGTCGAGGCCCATGGTCTTGCGCGTCAACTTGGCCTTCAAATCGGCGGGCTCGACCGCGTCGATGTTGGCGTAGGTTCCGTCCAGCAAGGCAGATCGTGCCGCCGTCGACAAAGATGGACTCTGGAGGGTCTCGTGACCAAGTAGCATGGCGAGGACTTGCGTGCACGCGGCATGGGCCGGTTTGCTGATGCGCTCCTTCTCCTTATTCGTTGGAGACTCACCGCTCATGTGTCAAATGAAAACTGGGTCCAGAATTAGCAAAATGGTCCGGTTAATTTGTCTGGTGTATCCGGACATTCGTCGAAGATTGGGAACGCCCCGAATGGACGAATCGGCAAGCAAGTTGATCTTGGAGCTACTGCAGAGCAAGGACGATGCCATCGAAGAGCTCAACGAAGAGAAGATGGTGCTCATGGAGCAGCTGGAGCAGGCATTGTGGGACCTCGAGCATGCCATCACCCACAACAACAGTGTTGCGGCCAGGGCATCACTCGATCACGATGACGTTGCGCTTCACATAGATGGCCAGTTGCGTGCATTGGAACACCAGGTGTCGGATCTGAAACTTGATGTCGCCACGGCCAATACACAACATGGGATGCCCGTCATCGACCATACCACATCACACCAACAAGGCGGCGTCACGTATCCGTGCTCGGAGAATGCAAGTTCCTACACCGACTTGGACGAGCAGCAGCTACATCACGTGGAGGAAATGGAACCAAAGCCGACGCAGCAACAGGCTGTGTCTACGCTTGACACCGACAAGCTCCAACGACACTTTGCTTCCAACAAGGTACAGACACAAGATTGGATCCTGTGATGGTTATATCTGCTGGTAGTGGTTCGTGTAACCACGTCGCAGTGGCCATATACCAGTTATTTGCTGGCCATAACAGTCACACTGCGTGCCTTGTCGTAATGTACTTTGTCTTGAGCTTTAGAATAGCTGACATTACCCACCACAACTAACGCTGCATGTAGACGACGTCATCCATTGTTCGCGCGGCAAGTGTTGGTCTCGACCTGGTGCCCCACCCTGCGGCGACCCAAACCATCCAGAATGCTACGCCAGCCATCGCCGCACCAACGAACAGCACGTACAGTCGTCCGTCGCTAGCACCTCCAGTAGCCGTGGCACATCAAGAACCCCTTGATGAATCAGCCCATCTCCGTCGTCAACTCGACGCACTGACATTGCAATGGCAGCAATCTCAAACTGACCATGGAGTTCGCATTCAAGCGTATGAGAGTCAAGTACAAACCCTGCAAGTACGAAATTGTATAAGTACACACAGTGCCGTTCAAAACCAAACGACGCCTCGTAGCTGTGACGATGTGCTGCTTTGATTCTTGTGATGTGTGCGTTGGCGACGTAAATGTCCACTGCTGATGATGGGCTGTCGTAGGAAGAGCTGGCCGAGAGCCAGCGCCAGCTCCATGCGTCCGAGACTGAAGCCATGACGTTGCTGCAATCACTGCAGCGAAGCTCTGAAACTGTGCGAGCCATCGACATGCAGCACCAACGAGCTCTGGCCGTGCAAGCACATGAACACGCGACCGTCGTTGCCACGTGGCAAGCCAAAGTGACTCAACTGCAGCTCGACAAACAACAACTTGTGCATCACGCTGCACTGGTGGTCCAGGCCGCTGAAGAAACCACTTCGTCCACCAACATCATGGCATCACCTCCCCCCACTCCACGACCACAGGTCAAGACCACTGGAACCACCACAGACGATCTACATGGCCTAGCACTGTCAAGACACGCAATAGCAGCAGCACCACACATTCCCCCCCTCTCAAGCCCAGTCCCAACTGTTGGCTACGCTGAGCCGCAGTTTGGTGTAGAATCCATCTCCCACCACCCATCCAAGCATCAAAGCGGCGGCCTCGATGACGTCGGTTCAACCATACCCGACCAGCCACTAATACACAAGCAGCTTCTTCACCAGCTACAGGATCTGCAAGCCCAAAACAAGTCGTTGGCGCAAGATATAGCGCTTGAAATGCAAACCAGTCGCGTCGGTCGAGACCATATTGCACGACTTGAACGGCAAGTCGACGACTTGGCGGCCGTCGTCGCAGCCCAAGACAACGTCCAAGAAGCGCTGGAGTCCCGGGCGTCGTGTGCGATAGCGTTGGCCGCGCGAGCGCTTCACCCTGCCACTATGGCGGTATCCCCTCCCGTCAGTATCGACGATTGGGTGAGTATCCTAACCGACTTGTGGGAACAACAGTGTGCGGCGACCAACATCATTGCCCCCGCAAATCCACTCGAGAATGTGTATGCGACGACGTTGTGTGTGTGTGCATGCCCTCCACGAGTCCAGCAGAACAGTCTCACCAACTTGCAGCCGCCAATCAAATCGATGGAATGCCACCGATCTCTGCCGACAGAGGACGAAAACGCACCTGACAACCAACACCACATGTGTACGTGGTATTTGCAGGCCAAAAAGTGGCAACTGGACGTTCAGACGTTGCAGCTCGCGCAATGCAGTCACGAGGTAGGTACAGGTAGATAAGTTAGTGCGAGAGTGAATGTGTGATCGTCACTAGACTCCTCGGAATGATGGTTTGTTTGGTCGACCTGTGACGACGATTGCACTGATCATTGTCGGCGGGTCGTGGTGTAATATGCTCAACTTTGATTTTTCTAAAAACTCGTGATATAAAAATAATTTACCATATGACAGGAGACGCTGGCCGAGCTCCGACAGGCCAAAGCGTCGAGTGACTCGGATGCCACCGCCGCTCGCGCCGCGCACCTTACGATGCGGAAAAAGATGTCTATATTGCAAGCTGATGTGGATGCCACCAAGCAAGCGCTGGTGCAAGTAAAAAGCGAGCTCAGGGCGTCCGCACGGGATCGAAGCGATATGGAACACATGGTCAGTCGACTGAGAGACGAAAGTAGTCGGTTGAAGGACAGTCTGCGGCGCAAACAAGAGCTGGTAAGCCACTTGAAGCGGAGTTTCGAAGAGGCAAAGCGTGCCCTGGATGAAGAAAAAAATCAACGCAAAGTGAAACCAGTGGTGGTGGTGGGGGGGGTCGTCGCCCCCAGTAGTCATCCCAGTGCAAGTCGAGTCATAACACAGCAACAACCTGGGACGACAACGGTACAGTAGTACTACGTAGTAGTATACATGCCACACTTGAAAGCCTATAAATGAGTTGTACTATACATGGATGTATGATTGCGACGATGTGTAGGACGCCAATACCCGATGCCATCAACTCGCACAGCAACTGCAAGCCCAAGTCGTGACCCTCAAAACGGACAAGGAGCATTTGCGCACGCGATGTGCGACGTTGTTGCATGCAGTCAAACTCAAAGACAAGTTACTCCAAGAGCACTCGACTGTGGCGGCACAATCAGCAGGCGAATCTGGTGGTGGTGGTGGAGGGGCTACTCTACAGCCGTTGGATGCCAACGCCGCGATGGTGAAGGAGATGAAGCGACGGCTGCACCAGAAACAAGTGCTTGTCGAGGCCCTCAAACACAAAGACGCTGCGGTTAAGGGCCAACTACTAGCATTACAAAAACAGCATGATCGTCTCCAAGCTAAACTCCACTGGTCAAAGCTAGGTACCTACATACCTACAAAGTATATGATTGATTGCTTTTACTATGACCTTCATGGACAATACATTTTCGAGTTAGACGCAATAGCCCCATCGATCGTCGTGGAGCCGACTCAAGCTGACGTGGACCTGCGCAGATGTTTGGACGGCCTGCGCGCTTGTGTTTACGATGTCGCACATGACCTCCTGTTTCCTACGTCGGATTCGACTCCAGTCCAGAAACGAATCGACGTGCCGTCGACTCCTGGAACAGTGTCGCAGCAAAAGCTCCAAGCGTTGGGGCTCACGTATTTTTCACCTACCGACTTGGAGGCGCTGACTACAGTCCCAACCAACCAAAACTCGGGTACTAGTCACAGAAAGAAAACCCAAGTGCTCGATGCCCTGGAACAAGCCCTCGAAGGACGCCCGGACGACTGCCGTCACGCGTTACTTGAGGTGTTTCATGCCGCCACCGACAACTCATCGCCACGCTTACGCCCATAATAATATGAATCCACGACCGGAGCTATTTTCTAGAAATGAAATGTATATATATGGGGTGGGGATAGTGACACATATTTACTTTGGGGACATCCTATATGAGTCTGACGTTCGGAGATCCGTACTGATTCAGTAGTAACGTTACCAGTATGTCCTGCTAATACGTGTTTACCTGACAGGAGCATTTAACAGTAAGACGAGCAAGTCAGTGTCCATGCACTGTACGCCAGAACGGATGGTGGGATCGACTCCATCCAGGCCTGCATTGCGCTTAATCACAAGGATTATACATACAGTACGTATGATGAGAGATGCCTACAGTACTATCTTAGTGCCTTCCATGACAGCCAACGTTTGCATCATATCTTTTAATATTTGAATTTTTACAAAATCTTTTCCATTATAAATATTATAAATATTAATATCTTTAGGCATTATTACTAAATTTTTATTAAAAAAATGGATAAAAATGTGGATTTGCCATCATGAGGAAAAAACATGGCCTCTTCCGATGATCGAAATCGGGACCTCCTGCACCCTAAGCAGGAATCATACCACTAGACCAAAGAGGCTTTCTTGAACTATGCTATTTTTTAGTCAATATATAGGAGGTGGGATCGGCTCGTTGATATGATTGGATACGTACTGTACGTATATGATGACTGACGAAGGAGCAAAAAAAATAATTGTAAAATTGGTGTCTTCAACAGTATTGCCGAAGTTTATACTTCGAAGTACGGTATTATTGATTTGGTACGAATTTCCGGACCCTGTTCAATCGAATCACACGGACCAAACCGATCACAAATCGCCCCCATTGGTCAGTCTAAAAATTATTGTCGCTGATTGGCTACATTTTTTTCTTTTTACTTACGAATCGCGCAAAATTGTGAAATTTGTAACGTAAGCAACCAATTTATGGTAACTCGACGAATTAATGGTTTGGCTTAGAAAACAGCGTTTATAGATGTCACATACTCTGTGTAACATCTGGAAAATACGCATGTCCGATAGGCCAGGATCTTGGCTCTACAACGCAGTATTTTGAGCCCAAATCCGATTCCTGGGTGCCAAGAAAACAGCGATGCCAGCCAGCCTTCAAGAAAAAGTGACCATAAATTGGTTGCTTACGTGTTACCAAATTCATAATCTTCGAAGTACAGTAGTACTACGTAGTAGTGTGGTTGGCGGTAGAACCCGGCCAGTTCAACTTTCCAAGTGCTTTGAAGATTGTATGTGTAGTGGGATTTCCACCGAGGAAATTTAAATAAAACCATCATTGCAAGGCCTTGATGGCGATTTGAGTATCATGTTTAATTGGCTAAAATTATTCAGCATTCCACCAATCGAACACATTGTAACGTTACATACGACATGTCGCAAATATGGACAAATCGAAGCCAACACAAATTCTGACATCGTCAATCGATTCAGGAGGGGGGTTTACCTTAAGAACCCTCCTACCGACTTCAACAACCTCCTTCAACAAGCACACACAACACCTGACCATCATACTACCATATATTATATCTCAATAACTGATGGTATCGCTTTATCAAACACCTTGACTATAGTACCTGTCGTAATACGATGTCTTAAGCATAGCTTTCAACGGGCCCATAACCCCGACATCGAGCGGCTGGCATCGGCTGGTAGAATTTAGAGGCAATGGCTCCAACACGCTAAACATTGTCTCCGCCACCTTGTCACGGGACCTCTCGGAAACGTGACAGGCCAGGTTGTCGACAAGTAGGACTGAGGAGTCCACCACATGCGCCGCCAACAACTCGTCGAGGTACTGGTCCCAAACGCGGTCGTCCATCCACGCGTTCTCCTGGACAGCATAGACATGTCCAAGAGGGTACGTGAGCAGCTCGTTCGTCTCGATCGTGCCTCCAGGCTTGCCCTTCACGATGAACAAGATGGGCAGTTTCACTCCTATACATACACACGTTAACACATAAGGAGCGCATACCGTCTGCTCGGATTGTCAGCACTGCTGTCAGTCGCTCAGAGTGCTTGTCCGTCTTGGTGCACGCACTTGCTTGGTTGGCCAATTTCTGCCAACGTCAAGCCCGGGGGCTGTCAAAGAACACACCGGCCTCGTCCACGTTCAGGATTTGGCTGCGAGGGTAATGGCCGTACGTCGACCAAACGTGAACGGCGTTGCCCAACCACACGTCGTCCAGCACCTTTTGGGTCACCTTGCTGACACTCGGGACACGGTGGCGGAAGCGGTGTCGAGCGGCGAAGCGCAGCATGAGGCTGCGGAACGATTGGTACGCCACTGCTTCGTTCAGCTTGGACCCCAGGTACTGCACAAGCCACGCCTATTGTTTGCTGTTCACCCAACGCATGAGGTGGAACACCCTGAGATGTTCTTCGGCGCCACGCTTTGCGCGCATGTACGCCAACAGCTCCTCTTTGAACGGAAGGATCTCACGGTGGCCTTGGCCCCCCATTGTAGCATGGCGTTTGCTCGCCATGATGCGCGGCTCTCTTGAACGCCAGTCCTGCCATGTCGCTCGTGGGATCTTCTTCTCACGGCAGAACTGGCGTTCGCTTGTGGCGCTGGACGCGCGAAACTCAGACAGGAGCTGCTTGCGCTGGCCGTTCGAGTACCGATTCTGTTTGCGCTTGGTTGCTCTCATCGCAAAGTGCGTGTGTAGATTTGAATTGCATCAAAGTCTGGATTTGAATCTAGCCAATTAGAGGCAATCGACTTCGTGATTGGTCTTTGATTATTCACGTGATTTTATCCTATCAAATCATAAGATCATACCTCCCCACTTTTCATTATTCAATAAAAAAATGGAGAGTGGCCCTGGCCGGGTTCTACCGCCGACCACTGTACTTGTTTACAGTTCAGACAATGTACTGGTATAGTATCAGGTTCAACCCTCGTTTTCGGTCATTATACATTCCTTCTGGAGAAATATCAAGCGAAAACCAGGCCTCGATGGAGTCTACCCGAAGCCCGTGAACATGCCTTCCTCGTCGTTAACGTTACTACTAGTACAATATACGTAGTCAACGGCAGGACTGCTAAAGCGATCCGCCTACGTAATCGTTCCATATTATAAAGATTCAAGAAAGCCTCTTTGGTCTAGTGGTATGATTCCTGCTTAGGGTGCAGGAGGTCCCGATTTCGATCATCGGAAGAGGCCATGCTTTTTCCAACATTTGATTTTTACTGCTATTAATAGCTACTCCGGAGTACTACCAGTAGTATTTGTACGAACGAAGCCCCGGAAGAGTACCTATAATAGTACTCGAAGTATTACATATCATCAACACCTCTGCCCGAATTAATGAATGATCGACATCTTAATTGTATATGTAACGTTATAGCGTATCCATCGTTCACCCGTAGCAGTCGCCGCGGCTGTACGAGTAACATTACGCCTTGTTCGATGTGCGTGCTGTTACAGTGCTGGACTCGATTGCTCCAAAGACGTGGGGCTGACGGCCGGACGCCATGGAGTGACGCCTCGATTTCGGTCTCGAGTGGTGCAATTGCCCAACAACACAAGTAAACTACAGTACAACTTGATGTCAATGGAAATCGTATTCTTGTGGTCCACACAACAATCTCAACACGTTATCACAGTAACATGGCTTTCAACAAGCAATTCATTTGATGGATAATTTCAGTTATTCAACAGCCGCTATGTGCGGTAAAGTGGAGTAGAGGACGTGGGGGAAAGCTTCCGAGACATGCCGCATATTCTTGGATGACAAGATTCGTCAAGATGGCGCCAAACCGTTTCGGATATCAGGAGAATTGGCCAATCAAACTCGCTTAATGCATCAAACTGCTTGCAGATTGGGCCATCAATTTTGAACAATTCACCAGCCTTTCTTCTACAAGTAAAGGGCCGTCACCTTGCCGCCATTGTGGTAATTCCTCAGACTTCCATTTTTTCACTCAATATCACAGCACCATGATGACTGGCCAACAATCTGGCCAAAGCAGCAGATCATTCATTGACGACTTGGTCGATATTATCAGCGAACCTGTACTTGCACAGACGCCAAAGGACCCCATCCCGATGCTTTCGAATGTCAAACAACATCTCCACGATGGCCCCAACGATCCAGTATGCATTGCTCGTGATGTATCTGTTTGATGATTGCAATTTCCTGATGCTATTCTTTAGAAGGCTGCTGTTGCCTACCCTTGTCGATCCGTGCTTCCTGCGGGTTTCTGGTCTCATGTGACCAACCCCCACGACTCCCCATCCACTTTGACTACACAAGCTCCATTACAACATGTCAATATGCTTGTGCCCCAACCAGCTGACGCTGCGCCATGCCATGATACGACCCAACATGACAAACTCGACCAGAATGACCAAGGCAACGATGGAACCACAGCCATTCTGTACGATTACCCGCCTACTGTCTTGGCGAGTCTATGGACCAAGGATGGCTCCCATGAACAGTCCAAGCAAAGCAGATGGCATGATCATCAGTTACCCCCCTCGGCTGCCAACGTGGTGGTTCATGGCTGGGTGGAATCTAACGGCGAGGAGTCTGGTGTTTCAGATTCTGGCAACTTTCCACCTCAAACACGAACGACGACCACCACCGTCGACATTGAATGCAACGAGACCAACGCAGTTGACATCGCCTTGTCGCAGTTTGTACACACCAACGTCGACGAAAAAGATGCAGAAATCGATCGCCTGACCAAGCAAAACGAATGCCTCGTGCACTTACTGCGCAAAGTGACGGCCAAAGTTATGCAAAACCGCACCGACTTGGCGTTTTACCGCAATAAGCTTCGGGTACTAATGCGACCCGTACCCAAACCTGCGACATCGGAAATGTCCGTGCAGACCCACGATGACGATCTTGCTGACGAAGTGGATGGAGGGCGCCCCCAGTCGGCGGACGTCGGGTCCCCCCAAATCGAAGCACTGACGTGGCAACTCAAGGTAGCGTCTGCGAAAATCCTCTCCCTCAGCACATGCCTCGACGCAGCCAAGGCCCAGTTGGACGCCGACTCGACGTCGACGGCGGCCTTGACGAAAAAGTACCAAGCTGAAGCGGTAGCGTGGAAGGCGCAGTTGATGGAAGCGCAAAAAGAAGCGAGTGCCCATCGCTCGACGGTGCAGAGTCAAGATGCGTTGGCGAGTGTCTTGTGTGACTACGTCGGTCGATGCGGGATCGCGATTGATCCATCGATGCCTGCGACGAAAGCTAAAGCGCTGCTGCAACCCCACAGAGTCGTGAGGCGAACACATAAGGTCGTCGCGGATGGCTTGTACGACCAATTGACCGACAGCATGACGAGGGAGCTGGCGTTTCTGTCGAAACTCGACGCGTTCGATCCCACCGACTCGACAGCGTGCCACAGTTTGCTCAACCGGCGCCAGCACCACCGCGGTGGCAGCACACACGACGATTACGTACGAGTGAATTGCTAATTGTACACTATACAATGGGCATGTTTTGAGACTACCTTTTCGGCCTGTCACTAGGAATACTAAAGTCGTGACTCACGGCGGGATTGGCGATACAGTGTCTTCGAAAGGAATATGTAGTTTTTGATAATATAGTATGTGCATGACATGCACTGCCAGTCGGTTGGCGACGCGCAAAGAAACTGTTTGTAGTATTTGAGCAATATGGCCTGGGTTTGGTGTGGTTGGGCTAGTTGTGGCCAAGTTGGTTGGTCATATTGTCCTGGGCGTGGCATCGGTCACATATTCGAGCGAGATCGTGGAGGCCCCCGCCAAGGACGTGTCCTTTGTGCTTGGAGTGGGTGCTACACACACTTTCGCCGCACCGTCGGCAATGATGTCTTCGATTCACGATCGAGAACGCTGTGAAGCACAGCCCACACATGGGCTTTTCCTTCCACCTCGACGGCAATGTCACTGGATGCCGCACGGCGCAGTGCGGGTACCCCGCCGCCGCCAGCGCCGCGAGCACTTCGTCCGAACACTGTGTCACATGTCTCAACGCCTTGCCGCGGTGCAACGTCTCGATGGCCCCTGGAACGGCCTTCAAGTACGAGTACACGACATCAACCGGCAAGGCTGGGTGCATGCACATGTAGTGCAGAAGACTCATGCCATGTTCGTCCACTTCGTGGCCCAGCCGGGGCGATGTTTGGACGGCGGCAAGGACAACCTCCCATCGTCCGGCCGATACGTCTGTCAATAGCGTCGCTGACAACGACCACCACGCATGCGACGACGATGACGACAATGCCAACGCCAGCATCAATCTGAACGTGACTGACCGTTTTGGGATAGTGTGCAGCAGAGGGAATTCGAACTCTGTAAGACTGGTTTTGGCGGTTACGGCGGTTTCATGCCACGTGAGCTGCATTCTCCAGCTAATTCGACCCAGTGATTATAACAAAGGACTGTAACATCAAACTAAGCCTTGCTTACACTAATTGTTGAGTTTACTGTGTGCAAGCGCTCAAATCTTTCGAGACTACATACTATGAAGGCGGCATGTTGGACGTTTGCTTGGCATACTGTACATGCTGCAAAGTCGTTTCTCTATTGTCTGGGTGTACTGGAAATACTGTGAATTCGATACACTTCGTAGGAATGCATAGTCCAGGAATGGGGTGTAGAAGTGTATATTTCTCTTTAAAGGAGTTTAGACACTTTGACCCATGTCAATCTACAGCGGAACGCCTTGTGTTGACGATCGCTGTTTACAACGTGTCTACGCTAGGTGACTTCCAGCCAGTGGCAAATCCTTTCGTGCCGTCAGGACCTTTGGCCATTCGCGCCGCCGCTGTGCCGCCGCCCCCGTTTTCTTTCATGACCCGTCGCAAGCTCGAGTTCACACCGGTGCCTTTCCGCTCCGCCCCCTACGCCGACATGGCAATATCAGCATCCCAAAGCGTAATCCCAATCCCATCCTCAATACACATATTCCACACACATGTTAATATACACATATTAATATGTGTGTAGAATATGTGTATATATATATATTAATATACATATTGCATATTAATATGTGTGTGGAAAATGTATATATATATATATACATATTGTCAAGTCGATTATTCGAATATATGGAATGAGTGCGTGGGGTGTGTTCAATCGAAGGAGACAAACCAAATCGCACAGACAAAATCGACCGACCAATCAAAAGCCAAACCATCGAATTAGTGCGTGACTTGAAATAGTGTGAATGACTGACTGGTTTTGCATGCAAAATTTCAGCACAAAACACAACATCGAGCGCAAAGATCCAACTGTCAGCTTAATCACAATATATACATACACCTCTATGAATCATAAATAGGTCAGACACGTGGCTTACTTCGACGCGCACAATATGCGTGGCCATGGCCGGTTTGTCCCCAAGGGGCTGCGCGATCGCAAACTCCACCTTATCGCCCACATTCAACGCCTTTCGGTCGTGGTGTCCGCCATGCAGCAGCAGCAGACTCTTGTTCACGTACGCTACCCGTTCTTGGTCTAGAGCTGCGCTTTGTTCCGATGACGTGGCAGTCCCAGCGGCGGCCACGACGATGGTGCCTCCTTGGACATTGACCAGCTCGACCACACCCGTTCGCGCGCTAGACGACACCAACGTCACTTGGGTCGCTTGCTTGCTCTTGCCCACGACTTGGCACGTCACAATGTCTCCAGGACGGAGTACCGCAGATGGATCGACTTGATCTTCGACATGGTACATCCATCCGTGGCGACCGCCATCACCACCGTCGTCTTCACCTCCGTCGTCACATCCGCCCTGGTTGTCGTCGTCGGCAATCTCATCCGCCGTACTACTATTGTCGGCTGCCACACAGAGTTGCTTGAGCTTTCCAGCCGTGGACGTAACTGCTGATGTCTGGTGTTTTTTGTGGTGGTGATGATGATGCGATTTCTGGCTGCTGCGATAGCTCGCGCGCGCAACGATAGCTTGGTCAATGATACGCACTTGCTTGGGTGGAAGCGTTCCTTGGGGTACTTTGGTAATCGCCACAGCCTTGGGCTTTCGATCAGCGCCACTCTTGATTGTAAACGTGACCTCGTCGCCTTCGCGGAGCTTGGGTGTGCTCCCCTTGTCCGCGACGTCGGTCACACGGAAATACACTCGCTCTCCGTCCGTGGACTCGATGAAGCCGTACCCTTCCGTCTTGACCAGTACCACCCATCCCGAACTAGTAATACTAGTACTGGATTTCACCACCCGAATCGCCTTGGCCACCAAGTGTTGACCACGTTTTGTGCGTACGATGCTGCATGTGACCTCGTCGCCTACTTGCAACTCATACCGGGCGTCGTGGAGGCTCTCGGGGGCAAAGAAGTCGGCGTCGGCGTCGTGCGGAGCGACGGCCGCAGTCCAATCTGGCCGATTCGACAGGACGATCTTGACCTCCCCCTTGGCTTTTCCATCGTCGGCGGATGGATGGCCAACAACGATGGACAGACCCACCAAACGCGCATACAAGTCGAGCGCGGTGCGTTGCGCCGGCGTCAGTTGCTTCAGCACGAGCGCCACGTCGTCATCTGGAACGTGATCGGCAAATGTTGTCTGGAGCTGGCGGCGAAGTTCGGGGAAAGGTTCCAGGGGACATGTGGATGTTTGAAACGTGATGCGGCCGTCGGGGGCATACCCAGAATCCGACTTGCGGTGGGAAGGGGTTGACGCTGCCACGACGACAACACCCGTCGTCTGTTGGTGCACCACGACTTCCCACACAATCGTGTGCTTGGGCAACACTTGGACGCGAACAGCGCGAATGCCGTCGGACCTGGCTCCACCAGCCGCCTTGGGATTTGGAATTACATCAAACGATACTTCGACCCCTTGACGTAACGACAGAGTCGGCTGCGACGACCAGCCGCCTGCAGACAGCAGCACGTCCGACACGCGAAAGTACGCGTCCCCGGGGCGATCGACGCATCTACCACACAGGACTCTGGCATGAGCATGTATGTGGATATATCATATTGTTACGGCGATTCGAAATTGAAGTGTTTGGGTGTAACCACATCGGCAGACGACTATCGATATACGTACGACCAATCAAAACCCTGATCAAGAATCCAGTAGCCAATCAAATCCACTCGTCGACCAACGCAACATCGAATTAGTGTGTGAACTAATTTATTAGTGTGAAACTGGACGATCTTTCCATACAAAAGACAGTACAACGAACCAATCGATCGATAGATTTGCCGATCAGCACAACAGTCAAAGTTTCAGGACACTATGACCACCATGAAACAAGTGGTAACGAGCTTGCTATTTATTTCCACGAGCCACCAAAACAGAGAAAATGTATGGACGGACACACGATGTGTTATTTGTAAACCAACAACAGTCGATGCATTGCAAAGTCACTCATGCGACGAGGTAATAATACATGTGTGACAGCGAACAACGACGGATAGATGTACAGTACACACAACGTACTTGATAAAGCCAAAATCATCTTTGAGGGATGACACGGTGCCAACTTCGCGGCCATCAGGGTGCAGTTGATGCCAGCGCACGTGGACTGCGAATTGCATTCCACGACGAAAGTCTTGCAACACATCGTACATGACGACGTCGCCCGCCTTGGCCGCATACGACACTTCCGACCATTGTACCTACCATAAACAAACAATATAGTACATCGCTGTACAGGATCGCGTCTATCCATATTGATACACTATGGGCATGTCGACTAATCTCTTACCGGCAAGGTGGTGGTGGTGGTGGTGGGAGGGTTTGACCTGGTGGTAACGTCATCGTCGTCGTCTGCGACAACGTTAACGATGGGTTGGATCTGGCCCAAGCCGCCATTGTGGTTGCCACGTGGGGTTGTGTGTGATTTAGAGTCGTGGTGGCCATTCGTTCGACTCAGATCCTTGGGGGCGACCACCACCGTGCCTTGGACATTGGTGGCTACCACCGCTTCAAAAACCACAGGTTGGTCGACGAGCTTTTCGACTCGAATGGCGGTGACCCGAGCTCGTCCAGACGCTTTGGTCAAGTGTTTGGGCGGCGTACACTCGTTCGGGTCTTGCAGTTCGTCTGGCACGACAAAGAACGAGACACTGTCCCCTTCAGCCAACACCATTCCCTTCTTCTCCTCGTTGGAAATGGCAAACGTGGCGTCTTGCAGCCGACTCAAACATCGAATGGTGCCAGTGTGTCCCCCCTTGATCGACGTCACAACCCCCGTCTCCCGCACCAGCGACGTCAGCACGGCTTCGATGGCCGCGTTGCGCTTGGCTACGGCGCTCAATGTGACTGTCAAGTCCACCGCGCGCTTTAATCCTGTTTGCCGATGGATGGCAATGCGGAATTGGACATCATCACCCACGCGTGGAGGATGGGACCCGCTCTACGTAGGCAGATTAGTCTCGAAAACAAACATTCCCAAGTGATTACTATCTATTTTCTCGACTGGAATAACCGTACATATGCACGATATATATATATATATATCGTGCATATGTATGGTTATTCCATGTCTTGGATGGTCCATGATATATATATATATATATATCATGGACCATCCAAGACATTTAATCACAGCTCGTGTAGGAGTACACCACCCAAGCTACATATCTGCATACACGAATCTGACATGTTTGGAGTTACACAATATATATAGAGGCACAATTACGAACGACATATATAGTGGGCAATATATAAAGAAACAGAAAACGTGATGACACGAGTAAACAGAAGGAGTGGCCGTACCGGAAAGCTTTGGGCATTGAATCGCACAATCGGTTTGCGAAGGGGTGTAGGTGCGGGGGTGGTCGTTGCTTCAGAGGCTGCCACGTCCTTTGACGAGTCTGCCGCGACGACGACGTCGATGGTTCCTGTCGCGTCGGCAGATTGTCTGGACGAAGAGGTCGAATGATAATGGCTCGGTTTGTGTTTAGGAGGCAAGCTCTTGGTTACAACTCCGTGTGTGAGTTGGTCTGAAACGTCTTCAAGAACGATCGTGCCTTTGGCCAACCGTTGGATATGTGTGGCACTTTCTTTGCCAGTACGCGGGTGTGTCGTCAACTCAAACGACAATTCATCGCCCACCTACATCACATGGCATCTATTTGTTAGCCAAAATCGACGACTGCGGCAACCACCCCATCCTCATACATGCAGCAAGTCACAACTCGAAGAATATTCACTAGAAATATGAATGAAATACCCACCTGGACATGCGAAAGCAACGTCGATGACGTGTCTGACGGTTGTTGTGCCGACGTTGAGGCGTCGGTAGCTCGCGCGGGCACTTCGGATTCGTGGAAGAACACGTCTTGCTTGAGCTCGAGACAATGCAGGAAACCAAACCCACCATCCTCTCGGAAATTCGTGACAAAGCCTTCGTGTCGCGGGGCGTTGGCGGCTTGACCCCACCGGCCGGAGGGGGCGGGCCGTTGGCTGTCCTGGTGGTCGCGGCCGTAGCCCCCGCCGCGTGCGCCATACGACGAGTTGCTGTCTTGACGATCGTACCCTCGTCCATTGTTGTCTTGTCGACCAAATCGACCCGAGTCCTGAGAGTCGTAGTTTCGGCGACCACCGCGGTCGTCGTAGTCTCGGCGACGATCTTGATAGTCACCCCGTTCGTCGCGACGGTCGTACGAAGCACCACGAGATGATGGATGGTCGTCTCCTCGGCGAAAGTTCGAGGTGTCCGCACGAGGAGCAGGGGCAGCTGCTTGCTGCCCTCTCGTTACCCAGTAGTTGGACGCCGCTGGCGCCTTTGCGGGTGCAGCGGGCACGACAGGTCGCGAAGGGTACTCATCCGTCCTTGACGAAGAAGGAGCATTGGTCGTACTTGGCACACTGGCGTGCTGTTGCGGCACGGTGAGGCGCTCGTCGTCCTCATCGCATGCGTCGGCCCAATTCCCAGATTGTGGCTGTCGAAACATGATGGCACACAGGAAGTGCACTTCCATTGCATGGCCCACCGCCGCTGGTATCCGGATAATACCGGATAATCCAGAACCTTGGCATGCTGAGTGGTACAGTATGTATGTAGCAAGAATGGGCTACAGAATTTTGAAACCATTTAGGCCAGTGGAAATCAAAGCGTGGTATTGAATGATGCCAACGACGTGCTTGTTCTCGATGTATTGTCAAATTTCAAACCCACTCAACTGGCACACATCTTACCGTTAACGTTAACACGTTAGCCGAAGAACGAACTACACAGTGTGTTAGAATACCAGCATGATGGCATGTGTCCAGATCGAATACGACACTGTACTCGAGCCCCATACACTCAACCAGGCTACGATATATATGGCGTCAGTCATCATGAATCCACTTGATAAGATACGACAAAAGTGGCTGGGGTTCGTATTGCCTCCAATTTCTTCTAAGCTTAACATTGATTGACAATTTCGAGTGCTAAATCATACTGTAATCTCGTGTAAATTATATAAGCCCACTTGTAACCCTAAACACAGAACTTGTGTGCTTTGGCATATTATATACTTGAGTACATACAACAAGATAACAACAATGTTATCCTAAATTGGTGGGAAAAATGTCAAATATGAAACTGGCTTTTTGACTTTATGCAAATCAAGAACTATCGACTCAATCGTTCAACGGAATGGCCGACAACAAGTGGAGTTCGCCGTCGCGTTCGAGGCACTGTCGTTTTTCCACAGGCTCTTCAATCACAAACAGCCGCCAAATCTTTAAGTCGAAAATGTAAAATGTGTTCTTGGAGCGGATGGACAAGATGCCATTGATGACTGCCGACGCTGGGTCAATGTAATACACCTACCATCAAACAATGAGAAAACGTGGTTCATGGATTGAAAACGAATAGAAGATAGGTATACGTGTAGATTCATAACGTTATACCTCTTGGGCAATCCAACGCTGTGGGTCAAACACAAATTTGGCCGACGACGCCAGAAACAGCGAGTTTTGGTTTGGTGGCGGCAGCGACGGGTGTCGAATTCGCTCGTACAAGTAACAGAGCAGCACGGATCCAATGCAAATACCCACCAGTGTCATGAACCGAACAAAGCTTCCAATGGCAATGGTCCCTAAATAGGAATACCATAAACAAGTTAGACTAGTCTGACAGCTCATACATATGCACTGTACCGTTGGAGCAGACAAGTTGATAATCCACTTGAGTAAACTCGCACTTGCGGTCCAAACTCGCTGTGTGGGTTGTTGGCGACGCAAACGACAGGATGGCGGAGAGCCCCCACACCATGAAATTGCACTTGACGATGTACGCTGTCGTGTATTGTTGGGTCAGAACCATGAGGATGTCATTGAGGACAAACACGAGCCACGACACCTCGGACGCGGCCAGGAACGTCTTGAAGTGCCGAATGGCTTGGTCCGTTGCGGTTTCGCCCACGACGGCGTTGGTCGACACGAAGTGGTACACAAGATTGAGAGGCTCCAGTTGCAGGACTTGAGTACTGAGCAGATTGATGGCTGCTATGCTTCGAATGAACACGAACGTTCGTCCAATCCAAACGATTCCCGCGACTCGATTCAGTTCAAACAAGTTGAGCCCTTCGACATAGCCGCGATTCGCCAATAGGTAGATCATGGCCAACGCCGCGACACAAATCATGATGCATGTCACGTACACGCATGCGTACCGGATGTAGTAGGCGACGTTGACTGGTATTTCCAACGGGTTCACCAGACTGCCGAGGTCCACGATCGTCGTTGTGATGACATTGATGGAACCAACGTCGCCTTGAAACGACATCACTTCGCGCGCAGCAATCGCCCAGTCGTACGCCAACAGCCATCCAATGTAGTGGAAGGCAGGTAATGCCGAGTCAAAAAGGTTTTGGCGAACTAGGGTTATGTTGGACTCGGGTGTTTTCATCACATATTGGGCAATGTTGACGTCCAGGACGCGGATTTCTTCTTGGACAGATACAGCCATCGCTCTCCACTTGGTCACGACAGACGAATCGGGGAACAACGTGGTGTTGAGCAGAAACGCGGTGGGGGCTTGAATGAAATCGGACAAGCACATGTTGGAGAAGGACTTGATTTGAGTGCAGATGGCGTTCGATTCGTTGGTGGTCACGTCTGGCCGGACGATGTTGGCGCCGACAGATGCGATCAGGCGCGCGTGCGTCGGCGGTGTCGTGAGAAACTCGCCCATCCCTAGCCCGCACGCTGACTCGGCACCAGTATACAGGTACACTCCTTCACCCAAGGCTGAGGCCGACACGGAGCTGCATAGCAAGTTTCCACCCACGGTATACACGTACCCCGCATCTATCCACGACGCCGGGACGTAATTCGCTTCCATCTTTGCACTCAATAGGGAAAAGGTGACGCTTAACGCTTTGGATTTGGTTCGCATGATGGCAATGTCATCTTGCACTTGAAGCACCAGCGCCGTCAGCGACGGTGGTGGGGGCATGTGCTTGACGTCGACCGAGCCGAACGGCCCAATCACGTTGCGAAACGCACCGTACGTGTCTCCCGTCAAGGCCGACGGTTGTTGGATGGTTCCGTTGCCTACCAGAATGGTTTCCATCGATTGTGTAGCGAATGCAAAGTTGGGGGTATTTCGAATCAAGCTGGCTCCCCCCATGTTGCTCGTGGCACTGGTGACCGCCCACAGATCGGATGCGAACGTCCAGTACATTTTCATGCTCGTTTGAGACGTCAGCTTGAACGTGCCGTTCGTGTACTTGAGGGTCATGGGGTACGACAACCCAAACGCGTTGTGGATGTTGAACGTGCCGATGATCCCTACAGACTTGTAGTTTTGCCAGTCGACTTTGTATGCTGTAACTCCAAACGACGTCCAGTGTTTGACTTCGTCCGATTCCGACACTCGCGTGGCCTTGACCGTGTTCCACCACTGCGAGCCCTTGTCGACTTGGCTCAGCGGCGCTGCGAACGCAGTCGTCAGCGAAGTGCCCCAGCACGAGGCCAAACGATTCCAATTCACATTTCGCAGCATGCTTTCCAAGTAGACTGCGCCGTTGGCCGTGTAGTTTTGATTGCACCGGAGTTGTCGTTTGGCCGAGTTGGCCATTTCCCACGTCTTTTCAAAGTTTAGCCAGCAGTACTGCGTGGAAATCCACGGCGCCAAGCATGCGTCCATGTTGCGGAGACCGCGCACGACTGTGGCCACGTCCGATCCGTCCGTCGCCTTGACACGTGTCACGTACAGGGGCGTCATCAGCACCGCCACGGCCGTTGGCAGCGACATGTTGTAGTCTGCATCGCCGATAAATTTGGAATCGTCCAACGCCACCGCTCCTGCTTTCGGGCGTAGAACCAATTGCTGGTTGTACAAATTCGCCACAAATGCATGTTCTCGCGACGCGTTGTAGTTGGCCCACCAGAAATCGTTGGCCATATTCGTTGAGGTCAATTTCAAGTACGTGACACTCCCAAAGATGGTCGCAAACACGTAAAACAGTCCCGCGATGGCAACGATGCGGTTGGCTGGCGCTGATTTGATGAACGAAGACTCTAAAGGAGACAGGGATTGGGTTGGAGCGGATTTGACTTGGATAGATTCGCGGCGATGGGCATTGTTCAGTTGTGGGGGAGGAAACACCTTCTTTCCCCACTTGACAGTTCTCGTCGCTTGCGGGTCTTGGACCAAGAGCCAAAGCTTTAAGTCGAAAAAGTACGACCCAAACGTCAGTAGGCCGCACATGACACAAGACGCGCGGTCCACCACCCACGTTCCCCCGGCTAGCGTGTCTTTGCGCAAAAACGCCATGGCTGTGCCAGATAGCAACAGATGGCCGTTCATACCTTGCGAATTGGACGGTCGGTTGCATTGCCAAAGCTTGACGCCGACAAACGACCCGAAAATGCACGCCAGTTGAATGATCACCAGGGTGATAGCTCGGGAGGAGCTCCCCAGCTCAATCTGACCGCTTTCACAAGACAATCGCATTAACCTGTAGTCGGCCTCGCACTTTCGGTTGATACTAGCGGTGATGCGGTACGGACTTGCGACATCGTAGACGAAGTAGATGATCCAGCCGACCCCCGTGCTGATGGGCGCAAAGTACGGCGGGGCGTTTCCACTCAAAAGCAACAGGATATCGTTGATCACGTACGAAATCCACATGGCTTCACCGCTTACAATCATGCTTTCGATGAACGTTCGAGGTGTAAACTCAAATTGGGTGTACCCGTGGTGTACCCCAAACGTCAGTGGTGACGTACTCAGGAGCACCACTGCCGTCATGCCGCGCACCAAGAGCAACGGCCGGCCCAGCCAAACGGCCCCCACGATGCGATTGAAGCGAAAGAGGTTGCGACCGACAATACGAACCCGAACGAGGACCGTGTATCCAGTGAAAATAGCCCCCACAGAGACCAAGATGGCACTGACAACGACGGAGACGACCCACAGGTACTGGCACGCACTCTTGGGCACTTCCAACGCATGGGCCTGGTTGATCACAGGCGCATACTTGTTGGAGACGAGGGACAACGTGTTGGAATCGCCTTCGAACGACACGACTTCCCGCACCCCCACTGCCCATTCAAATAGGTACACCCAACCAAAGACATCCCACGCGGCTGGCGCCGTCGTGAGGAGGGTTTGCGATAGGAACGCATCATTGCCGTCGGTGGTATCGACGGCAAGCTGAATTGTGCCCACCCCCAGCGCGGCTATGTCGGCGCGGACCGCGTTGATCTGACCCTGCAACGCTTCTTTGGCAGTGTAGTCTTTGATGAGGATGGTGAGTGCAGTCGCAGCGGAGGTCACGACTGACGAACATACAGCGGCCAACAACGGACACATGGAGCAAATAGCGGCCGCGTCGACTGGCGACTGCAAGTTGGATGATACCAACGCAAACAGCATGTTGAATTTGTTCAAGAGAACCGTGTGGCGTTCTTGCTCGGAGCAGGATGCGTCAAATGAAAAGGACGACTGGACGTATGGAAGGCCTTGGCGAACGGGGCACGAGGGGTCGCCGCCCATGTACAAGTACTGGATGTTCGTCCACGATGGAGGGACGGGGTCTGCATTGTAGCCAGGAATGGCCATAAAGGCCTTGTTGAATTCATCGTTGGATTGAGCCAACACAGTTACAAGCTGTTGAAACGTCGATACGAGTGTTTTCAACGACGGAGGCAACGCCACCAAGTACAAGTCGACAGACCCGAACGGCCCGATGTTGGCGCTGACCATATTCACGCCAGGCAACGGCGGGAATCCAAAATAACTTTCAAAGTCTTTGTATAAGCAATCGCCAGGCTCGGGGTTCCAAGGGGCCTTGCACGGGTCGCAGGCGTAACCAGCGGGGTCAGCCGTGTAGTCGGCGTAGCTGCAAGGCGGCGTAAAGCGCTGGTTGTCTGGATCGTTGCGTACAAGACTCAACCCCTGGTCCCCCCAAATGTTCATGTCGTTCCACGGCCCCCAGCACATGATCGCCGTGGACCACAACGATCCTCGATATCCATATACCAAGTTCTTGATGGAAATCGCTTGGTTGCCCCCGAAGGCATTTTGAACGAAAATCTTTTCGTCCATCCCCCACGCGAACAAGTTGTTGTATTCAAGCTCAAACGTGGTGATCCCCATCTTGTTCCAATACGCGACTTCAGTCGCCACGTCCATGAATGCGTTGTTGGTGGTTTGACGAATCCATTCGAGACCTTTGGCAGATTTGCGCAATGCGTTGCCCATGGTCTGGTTAAAGTTGTACTCGTTCGATTTCATGAAACTTTGCCAATTCACGAGGCGCAAGGGGACCTCAAAGTACACTCCCCCGTTGGCAGTGTAGCGGTCGTAGCATCGCTTCTGCCGCCGCGCCGTGTGCGCCACTTCCCACGTTCGATTGAGATCGATCCAGCAGTATTGCGTTGGTAGATCAATGGGGCCATCGGTGTCCCGCAGGGCTGCGATGACGGCCGCCAGGTCCCCGGTGCCCCCTTTCAGCGCCATGAGGGGATACGCCGTGGCGACTTCAATCGGCGTGTAAAATGTCGAGTAATCCTTGGCCAGACCATACGATTTGGATGTAAAGTCGATCGAGCCGGTGCCGGCTAGATTGAGTTGGTTGTTGAACACGTCAATGATGTACGACTGCGCCCCCGACGAATTGAAACCGGCCCACCACAGGTCGTTTAACATCACTGGAGATAGCAACCGGAGGTAGTACACGGTCAAAACCAGCGTAAACACAAGGTACGACAGCCCCAACGCCGCTTCCGCCATTTCGGTCTTGGTCATGGTCATGTCCTTAATACTTGGATCACAAAGTGTGTCTTGACGCGAGAGAGACGCACGTGGAGGTATCGACACGGACGTTCGGCGCGGTTTCGAAGCCGGGACAGTGTCGTCCGTCGCCGACACGAGATCACTTATACGTTGCATCACAACGTCGCAAGGCAGCACGGCCCCAAATTTGGCTAGGGGAAATGGAGGACCTAGCCCCACGCTGTTGAAACTGGGGCGGTGCTGGTCCATGAAGGTGGTGGTCGCAAACGTGTCTGCTTGGTATGTGTTGGCACGACGGACTACGTGTCTGAATGTATTTGGTTTGAAAGGGCATGAAACTACTGGGTTCCAAAACGGCTGCCATAAAACGACGAGACAATCGTAATCATGTGACGTGAAACCACCACCATAGCAGTTACTTGTACATACCGTTGCGTTAATCGATCAGAGTACGCAATGTCATTTTAGTCACTCGATATGGCCACTCGTCACCCGGAGAAAGGAGTACTTATTACACGTAGCGGCGAGAAACTAATGTAGCCATCCCATCGGCAGTCCTAAGTTTAACTCAACATGAAGAATGGCGACTGGTACCTTGAAGACTTCGTTTCGTGCGACTTCAAAAATAATTCATCTGCAAATACCGATGTCGCTTCACCCGAGTGAATTTGTCGAGGCTCGATAAATGGTACAGTGAATTAGAATAATAATTTGGGGCTCAAGTTTACTATTATAGTACAACACTTTTTGCATTTACAGTATAGGGGGGTTAACGTTCCCAATTCACGTAGTGCTGGCAATTGTTGAATTGACCAGTCCCGCAGGTGGTTGATTTGCCAGCAAAGTTTTACAACTATTTCATACGGCGTATCCGTCGCGCATGGTGACAATGTACAAGTTGGCAAACTTCTCAAACCGGTTCTCGACCGACAAGTACGGGTCTGGAAACTTGTGGCAGGCCATGGCGACCATGGCTTCCTGGAACGCTTCGAACGTCACGTCTCTCTGCATGAGCTCCGTCTTGGACAGAGTTCTCCCCTGGCACACATGGCCCACGACTTGCATCACGCGGTCATTTGTAAACGCAACGTCCTCGATCTACACATCAGCCACACCAAAAAATATGCTAAAGTTTGGTCAAATATGAGAAATCATCAACGTACACTTTTGTCGGCAACAAACTTGACCAATGAATGGCCTGTCATGCGCAGTTGTTTGCGCATTTTCTTGTTGCCACCGCCATTGGCGTCAATGAACGAATACTATGAATGCTCGTTGGGTATTTATTTTATGTAGCCAACAAATATAGTATTATAAGTAGAGGACACGTGCATGTTATGACATGATAGAACAGGGTGCTCCTCGTAGTACCTTGCCGAACAGCGTTTTCAAATCGTCCAAATACTTGATCATGAGGCTTCGGATCCCTGGGCTTTCCATCTAATGGTTTATTTCTCGTCATAGATACTGTATTATATATATATATATATTGTGCGTGTATATTATATACTGGTATTAATATTGTCGAATCAATTCGACACTGAAGAACTGCCTGAGCCAATCAAATCACGTCATGTCGTATTTCTGCCAATCCAAGCGTTTGACCCCACGAAAGCATTGGGCAAAACAAATATGTACTAATATTTGTATAGTATAGTGTGTACAAGATTAAATGACTCGTCAAGTCCAAATTTCGGAGAAATTCACAATACCTGCTTTCGAAACTTGTCTGCGTCGCTTTGGTAGGCAAAGGGCAGTATTTGGTTGTCCACGAGCAGGCAAAACGATTCCGACAGCGCTGTCTTCTTGGTTCTACTCACAATCGACCGTCCAAACGACAACAACCATCACCAACATAGATTGTCAGCACGCAACTCGATACGAAAAACACTCGGCATCGTTAATTTGACATCCTCAAACTCATTTTTTTCGTGTGGTTCGTACACGCCGCTGTATCGCTTTCGCGCAATTCGAATCAGTGCTTCGATGAATTCTACAGGGAGCAGTGCCCGGTTGACATCCACGACTCCATTTTCAGCCGCGGATTTCTACCCTCGTTTAAGGATTGTCCGGATAATATTATTATCACAACACTTCACTTACAGTTTGAGTGACGTCGACTAAAATATCCGCCATATCCGCGAGTGCAAAGTTGGCATCTGGGACGTTGCATTCCTATGTAAGGATGCAAACCATTGTAAACTGCCAGACCATCAACTAAACACATGGAGTCAAGTATATTCCAAGTAAATAACACAATGTACAGAAAGAAGTTCGAGGAGGTCGCCTTGACTCATCACGGCCACGTCGTCGTCTGCATTGGTCGACCGCGATGCATACCTAACTCGTTGCGCCGTGTGTAATAAACTTGGTCAGCAATCATTATCTCGATGGTCATACCCACCCTCGGTAGATTCGCGCGAGGTCATTAAAGACGCTGTTGAGGTAACCTTGCAGCATGTCCAATTCCCTGCCCCAAACCACATCGCATTATAAATCACTAGTCTCTTATAGACTAGTACTTGCACTAATTGTATTTATTCTAAACTACAGCGACATGGAGAATGAATCGACACAACCAAATCGTACACAAGAATCATCGGCAGAAGGATTTAGCCAATCAGACATTGCAGGAAACCAAGGTCAATATATTGAATTAGGTCAATCAGTACCATCACCACAGGACAACAAACATTTTACATGGAAAATATAGTACAAAGACTCGATCGATAGTGTTTTGGCGAATCATGAGCAAACACAAAAGTCCAAATATTGGGTAAAAATGCATTACCATTTCGAGTCTTCATTGGCAAACAGTACGGACTTGAGTTTTTCCCGTGGCACGACCAAGAACCCTTCGTTCTCGGCACTCTTGTCGGCCGAACACATAAACCCCGACTTGCCATGGGCGAGCAACGACAGCGTCAGAAAGCACTTGCGCAGGACAATTCGAGCGCTTTTCCACCATAACACGTGGCCGTCGTGAGCTTTGCGCGTATCGCCGTCGAGTTTCTTTTTCAGTTCAAACAGATGTGCCAGTGCCAACTTGATTTTCTTGGACACGGTTTGGTCTTTGGTCGTGGCGTCCGCGGCATCTTTGAGCTCGCGCCACTTGGCTCTACAAGGGGATTGGCTTCCGAGTTTTGGCATTTCGGGGTTCCAAACATATGCGATACCGTTCAAATGTCAAGTCGCGGGATGTGTCGGTGACGTGCTGGTGGTGCGCATCGTCCAGGTTGGGAGACGATGTGCAAAAGAGATATCCCAGAAAAACCAAGTTGAAGTCTGTGTCTCCTGCGAGAATGTCGTCGGCTTGCACAAACTAGATAGATTGATGGAATCAAGGCAACCCAATACGATTGTATATATTTTATTCGTGCGTACTTCTGACGGCAGCCACATGGCTTGACCAATGGTATTCATCATAAAGTCAATGCGCCGCTGGTCGTCCACTTCATGTGTCATCAATGCCTGCACACACACACGCAGTGCCATTAAAGAACATGGTGGTATTAATAGTACGAAAGATACTGTAACATTCACATGATGAATATGGATATTGTCAAATAGATTATTCGAAACTGGATCATCCACCAGCAACATCGAATTTCTAACTTGATGGATTAAAGAACCACCTAAGCCAATCAAATCGCGTCCTGTCTATTTTCTGCCAATCAAAACGTTTGATTCAGCCACATTGGGCAAAACCACATATATACTAATATGTGTATAGTATAATTTGTACAGGCTTAAATTAGATCAATTGAACTGCAAAATTGGATGAAATGCACAAAACTATAATAGTTACGAAAATAGTTCATCGACATGTACATCTGAACTATAGATCATTGAAGAAATGAGAGATCATGCAGGGCGAAGCGTACCACATATCGCTCGGCGGCTTGGTCGGTCAACGCCATGCCATTTTCACGCTGCAGTGGATTCATGGAGAAGTCTTTTTTGCGGGACTTCACTACCAATGTCCAAGTCCTTTAAGTAAACCATTCAATATGAGGACACTTCCATAAGCATACTTTTGCACATGGCGTCGTGCAGCGTCAGGGTAAGCACAGCATACGATTTGCCGTCCTAGACATCGTTACGTATAGTTATATCGGGGGGATGATATATTGAGCGGGAAACATTCAGGGCTGGGGAGGGCGCATCCTCTTTACTTGTAGGTTGGTGTTGCAGTTGTTGATGCGGCTGGGTTTGATCCAATCCAAGGACGATTTACGCACCATCGCGTTGGCCTAATCAAATATACTACGTGACTACCAATATATATATATATGTATAATATATATAAATATATATATAAATAGATTTCTTACCCATTGCATGAGAATGCGATCAGCTCGATCGATGGTCGCCACTGACATGGTTCCGGGTGAGTCAGTTTTGGACTTTTTAGGCGACGGTGCCTTTGTCGTCTTATCGGTGAGCTTGTTTTCCTTGGCAAACTTGGCCGTGGGGTCGTACAGCAGCGGATGCTCTGCAAAGTCGAGCGAGTTGACGACATCTCCACTCAAAATGTCGGCTAGATTTTGCTGGCCTTCAAACAGGCTATAATCTTCGAGTTGCCGCTAGTAAACGTAACACCCATTTGCTTGTCAAAACGTTCATATATTGCGCAGATATATTTGGCACGCTACCTCCATTTGCGTGAGCATTTCGTTGGCCATTTGAAAACATGCTTTTTTGTAGTCAAACAGCTCGGCTTCCAGTGGCGCCAACGCTTCTGATGCTTTGGCTTTCGATCGGAGGTCCTACCAGCCCGTCCACCATTGTGAGCGACCAGACGATCGATCGATCGATGGATTGATTCGATTAAGTACTTCAATCGTGGCCAACGCCGCGGTCAACTGCATTTTCACCGCCGCCAGTTCCTTGTTCTTTTCCGCCACACGCTGTCGTTCGACCTCGATCGTCGCGTGCAGCTTGGCCACCTTTTCGTCGTCGAGCTGCGACCGCACGTGGCTGTGCTTGGTCAATTCGGTCACGGTCCCGTGGAGCTGGTCCGTTTCCAGTTCCAGCGTTTCCACACGTTTCTACAAGTCGTTTGCATAATATGGCATTTCAGTCGAGTGAAAGTACGCCCTCTCCATGCAAGTGGAGTAAAAAATATATTGTCGATTTGACACATATTTTCTCGTTTTGTAAGGAAAACAATAACTTGTACCTGCTTTTCAGCTGCATACAACATCGCGCCGTACGTGCGTCGTTCATATGTGAGCATACGCCAGCCGAGAAAGAGACGCTTGACTCGTACACGGGTTTGGAACCGCACCACATACGCTCGATGGTGTCGCTTGTGCTGCACGTAGAACTTCCACACTCTACCAGTTCCAACAGCCAACGAGGATATTAGAAGCGCATTCTTGTGTTTGTATCAAGACGAGGTTGTCATGCAATAAATACTAGTATACTATAGGAGTGTTCATCACTTGCCCAAAGATCATGCGGCTCATCGTGATCGACATGTGATGGAACGCCCGCGTGGTGGCCTTGGCAAACAACCATTCAACCCCTTTCGCTAGACTTTGCTTGTACTTTGTCATGTCGCTCTTCTTGCATTCGGAGAAGCATGTGAGGCACATTTCGGGGCTTCCTCCGCACCCAAAGCACCGATGGACGGACGACGAAGTTTTGATTTGGAAAAATGGTTGGTGGTGGTGAAGGTCGCTGGGATGTTGACTGAGCAGTTGTTGCGACGGTTGCCGCGACACCAACGACGCATGCGCGTGCGTGGACAACCGTCGCAAGTCCCCGCTACTACTCGTAGCGCTGGACTTGGGCCGCCGCTCCAACGGCTCCAATATGGCTGCTGCTGCGGATATACTTGACGTTTCGGGCCCTGCCCGACTTGACAACGAAGGGGCCAACGTTGGTCGCATCGACGACGACGACGTGTGCGGCCGTGCGTTGTCGAGGTCGTCCTTGAGTCTCCGCAAACTGACCGGAGTTCCGTCCCCCTTTTTCAGTAGCGTAGTGTGAATGTGGATGCCATGGCCTGCGACAGGCGTCGTGGTACTGTCTCGCTGCGCCATCCGAGAATTTATGTACGAAGTCGAGCAGTTTCATCAACGTGAAACTGCCTTGACTTGAATTGGTGTGCACGAAAGAAAACGGCGGTGTCAAGTAGAAAAACAAGTGCTCAACATATTTTACTTCGAAGTATTAATACTACTGTAGTAAATTTATGTCTATTATATATATATATATTGGTATTCACGTCATAAGATCTACATATTTTTTGCACATACGTTACTGTGGCCCAACGCGATGGTGCGCCAATCGTCGGTGGATTGGACCAAACCTGGTCATATTACTGTAACAACTGCACAACACCAACCCTCAAGTAAATAGGACGAACCCCCCGCCCTCCACCCTGAATACATTCCCCCTCAATATATCATCCGATATACAAACATTCGTCGCTCGTGGGCAAGATTAGCAACGATCAATGACACACCAAATGACAACGTATGGCGAGGTATTCGCGAACAAGATAATGGTTACTACACTGGCTAAAAATCCAACATCTTTCAGCATATTAACTCGATCATGCCAAGTCGTTTGCTACTCGACGGCTGGCTGTTCGAGCTACCGGAATGGGTGTACTCAGTCCAGGGTCGACGTATTTTATACATGTTGTGCATATGCAAAATGTATCTGCAATCAACAGGTCGTTCGTGATTGACTAGTACTCGAAAATGACTACAGTAGTATTTGGGACGTGTTATCCAGTTATACTATAGGATTCTAAGTCAATTCCGTGTCGTGGGTACCCGACGACAACGACGTTGGCAACTGCGTCGGGGCTGGCAACATCTTCACCGCTGCCTTGTGCACTGCAAACCCAGGACAGACTTGACCGCCACACGCGCATTGGCTACAACTCCTCGAATAAAACCCCCAAACATGAATCAATCCTACATACACTCTTCACGTACTGTTTCAATTGCGTGTCGGACCATGTATAATGGCCGACCGTAGCTCGGCACTCTGAGTTTGGACACATCAAGTCGCCGTTCTCTGGGTGCAAAGAAGACCCAAACCACACCAGTGGCTCTATAAAGATGACATCACAGCCGCTGCTACCCATCACGGCGACAAACTGCTTTTCGTCCTCGGCTACCGCCGCCGACACGCGGCGACTATCATATACACACCACAGTATTAATGTCAAATCGAATCTAAAACTGGAGCCGCCCTTCCCGCAGATTCATCCAATGTCTGAAGCGAATGGATCAAATAATATCGCCTTTGCCAATCAAATCACACGTCCTGTCGAATTTTCAGCCAATCCAAACGTTGGATTCGGCGCCGTCCTTCCGCATTGAGCAAAAACACATACTAGTAGTACACTAGTATACTCAACTTTGTATAGTTTGTACAAGATTCAATTGGATCCAATGCTGTTTGGCGAAATGGACTCACAAGTCCAAATTTGGGCGAAATGCACAATAGGGTAGGGTGCATTATACTACACTGGAGTGACATGGAGCGAGAATAAATCGACACACAGCCACATAATGGTATTGTTCATTCGATTCGAAATTGGAGTGTTTGGGTGCTCAATCGAATGAGCAGAATCACCAAATCGACAGACAATCGATATATGACCAATCAAAACACAAAACATGAATCAACTAGCCAATCAAATTCACTCTTCGAATTAGTGTGTGATTGAAATTCGTGTGATACGGGACGATGCAAACGTCAGTAACACATAGAATCGATAGATTTGGCGAATTCAGCAGCACAAAAGTCCAAATATTGGGTAAAAGGACAATTGGAAGAATTGGCGCACAAGAATTGAGCCCACCATCCGATTGCAGGAAAGGTTTATATCATCAATTTCGAATGAGGGTACGAAAGGACACTGTGAATTCATGTGATTGCAATCCCCACACATACAACTGTTTACATTCGAAAATAGATGATTCAAAAGTATTGTACATTTGGCACAAATTTCAAGACCCCGTCGATCGAATAATCTCGCCGCCGAATTGAATCACGAATCATCGACGTGATATTGGCTAAATCACAATATTGTGCTTTCGAGTGAAATTTCGTGTTGTGGTTTCTCGTTGGAATTTAAATCGATTTGATTGGCTACCTCAGATGAGCTCAAAATTATTAGCCAATCAAAACATTCTCAATGAAATTCAACCAATCAGATCGATTGTGGATCGGTTTGGTCGGCGCGATTCGATTGCACCCCGTCCCCAAATTATATATCAAATCGACAATACAACCACGACGACTCAATCGATTGAGTAAATTTGGCGACTCCACCACCCAAGGCCAAATAATGAATGGTCAGGGAAGAAGGCGACAATACAATCATTCTTCTGACTAATGGCAATAATAGTACGTACATTTGGTGGCGCGAGCCGTGCTTCTCGAGTGCTTTCATCTGGTGGCGCCACGTGTGCAACTCGTCCGACATTACGTCGCTTCTACTTGTCACGACATTGGCTTTTCGAAACCCAAACGACGACGGCCGCAACGACGTCCACGATCGCCAGTGCTTTTTGCTCTGCTGGATACTATTGCCGAGATTTTTGGACGTCATCTCAGACGATGGTGGCGAGCCCGACAACCCAGCGTTGTGCGGCAAGGGCGGCGGCGATGAGCTTGTGATGTGGCCACCACTGCCGCCGTCCACGGGTCGACGTCGTCCGCTAGCATCGTCGCCAGTCGTCGCCGGTCGAATCGCTTTTTCGTCGGCCTGTGTACTACCTATGACCACGTCTTGAATGGCGGCCCCCAACGTCATATCCAACGTATCATCATCGTGGCAAGTAGAAGGCACGACCGACGCTTGCAGCATGTCATGGTGTGCGGTTTCCTCGTCGTCGTCGTCGTCAAACCCAGTGTCCGTGAACGGGCGTCCGAGGGGCAGCGACGCCCCTTGCCGGCCCCGGGGAGTTTCTGGGCACGAAATCGCTCGCTTTCGGTCAATGGCCACGGTCCACAGCGCCGCGTCCGTCGTGCCCGAGTGTCGAAGTACGTTGGCCGCACAAAACAGCAACTTTCCACATGCGGCACAGCCAAACTGCGAGCCCATGGATCGAAGCGGCGGCACGAAGGTCTGGGCTTTCGGCGAAGTTGGTCGGGACAAGTAGAAGCCGCGCGGCAACGTCCCGAGTAACATGCGCATGTCTGCTTTCTTGGCAGAAGAAGAAGCTTTGGGGGGAGGGTACAAGTCGACATCGAGTTGCTGGCTGCGTCGCAGGCGAGCCCGCACAATCTTGGTCTGAAGCAATAGCTGATGGGCAACGTATACATCGCGCTTGGCTTTTTCAAAGCACCGGAGTTGATCTTCAAACCCTAGAGTAGTAAGATTGTGTTTATATTCTACACTGGAGCGAGTGACATAAAATCGACACAACCAAATAAATGGACAGAAGACAGAATCGACAGAAGGATTTAGCCAATCAGATTGCAGGAAACTATCAACAACGTCCAATTAGTGTGTGTGAATTCAATTAGTGTAACGTTAGCGCAATACCCATCATCGTTGTATGTCAATGCATATAATATTGTGTTTATTCTAAACTGGAGTGATATGGAATGATCTCGACAACACAGCCAAATAAATGTACACAAGCATTGAGCAGTCAATCCGATTGCAGGAAACCATCGTCAACGTTTAATTAGTGTATGAATTAAAATAGTGTAATGATACCAATCACCACAAGACTCGTTTTTACATACAAAAGTCAGTACAAACAAGATATCGATCGATATAGACTTGCAAAGAATCAGCACAAAAGTCAGCCACATTTTGGGTCAAAGGATACCATATCATGTAACGACGTTAGGTTGTGCCCTAGAGGAAAGCATACCCGAATTGAGGGACGCGACAGGTCGAGCAGTGCGAACCTTGATGAGCGCCTCGTCGAACGACGTGCCCAAAGTAGACATGAGGTAGGCGACGACGATGGCTGGAGAACGAGACCGACCGCCAGCACTATGCATGGCAATATACATATATATTATATATATATGCTAGTAGTATTTTGTCAAGGCGCTTCGAAATTGGAGTGTTTGGGTGGTGCTCAATTATTGAATGAGCAGAATAACCAAATCGACACACAATCGATATATCGACCAATCCAAACCACCCAGATCATGAATCAAGTAGCCAATTAAAATCATCCACTCTTCGACCAATGCAACATCGAATTAATGTGTGACTGAAATTAGTGTGATATTGGAAACACTTTTTATATACAAATGTCAAAGAATCGATCGATAGATTTGGCAAAGAATCAGCAAAAAACTCCAAATTTGGGGGCAATAGACAATATATATATATATGGTTAGTGGATGGAAGACAGACGCCATGACAGGATGGAGCGTTGTACCAGTGGACGAGAACACCGCCGTGTTGCATGCCTGATTCGAGAAATACCGTTGCGATGGGTACGCAGCTGAGGAGGTTCGTGTAGTCTTTGTCTCGTATGTCCACAGTGAGGTATGTGAATTCCTAAACACATCATGACGAGTGAGGACCGTCCAGTCGTAGATAAGAAAATAGGAGAGGTAGGACGAGGTACTTGTGGATATGTGGCGACGGTGCCGGAAACGTTGAGGACATGGGAGATCTTGCGCTCTTTGATCGCCTCAAAGTTAAACGCAGCGTGGACAGAGCCCACCCACAGCTTTGGGACGACTTCGCAAGGCAAGTTATCCTGATCGAGTGCCATGTCAAGTTGTAGAGTCCTCGTCGACAGGTGGTACCTGGACGAGGGAGGGTTGCAGAGCAAGACATGGTGGTTTGCTGCGCTGCGCTGATAAGCTCTTCTTCATGGCCACGCTTGTTGTCGTGCCTGCTGCTGCCATGCCTCCCAAACTGGTCCGTGCACGACTGCCCACCTCGTTCGTTAACGGCTGTTACCGTGGCCGTTTCGGACCAGATTTCAACCAATCCCAGCGCAACCGGTCGGATTCCCGCAATGCCATTGGTGGATTCGAGATCTCCACCATTTTAGCCCTAAATTCAACGAGGGACTTATTACCGTACTTCTAGTTAGTACACCTGCAACACCAGCAGCTTGGACGAGCTACATATTGTCTAGGTTCTTGACTTCGGCGATGGTCACCACAGCATCGTTCCATTCACATGTCCACCCAAACCATACCGTAGTATGAAAAAAGGATTGCCTGCACAATCTTATTACCAGTATATGTGAATGAATTCGCTAAAAAATCTTCCAAAAGTCGCGTGGTGTTAATCAATATTGAATCAAGCTGGAGTTCTGATTGGTTGAATAAACTTGTCCTTTCTGCAAGAGCCAATCTAATCCACTCAAAATTGGGATAGCGTCGATTCGTGATTCGATTCGGCAGTGGGGAGATTCGATTCGACCGAGTCTGGAAATTTGTATCGAATCCACAATACACAAACGAATGTTTTCGAAAATAATATTCCTTTTTTCTCGCAAAATGGGATAAACAAAAAATGCCATTTTCAAAATGGAGGTAAAAGGTCTTTAGTATGGCGTTTTGGACCACTTCAACGAGTAAATCCCACGTGGAAGTATGGATTTGGGTTAAACCACTTCAAGCAAGACATGGTTAATTTTGATCAGATTTGCTAAACATAATGAACGGTATTTCAACCGGTTCAGTACAGTGCTACAGAGTAAATTCACACACTACATAAGACTGTACGTGCGCCATGTATGTATGGTATGCTTGTACACATCGTGGCCGATGGCCTACACACTTTTCAATCCCACGGCACTCATCTCAAGCAACTGGAACTGGGTGTATCACACTTCGAAGTACTGGTGTATTATATATTATAGCTCGTCATGAGGCGCGGCCGATTTGAAGGCGTTCTCGAGGTGCGCGATGTATGCGTCCGTGCAGGCTGCGGGCGTGCCAAACCCGAGCACGTAGTCGCACCAGGCTCGCTCTTCCACGAACTTGATGTGGTTGTGGGATGCGCAGTGCATTTCTACGGTCACGCGGCGCGATCGCCGGCGGGGGTCGTCGCGTCCACCGCAAACTTCGCCTTGGCCATATAGTTGGTGTGGCGGACGCATATCCGAGGTCACGCGGGTTTCAGCTTCGTGCGGAACACCTTGGACGTACAATGGTGCAGGGAACAGAATGGCCACGTTGTCATCTTTTGGTTGTGGTAGCCATGTGTGCCACAGGCCAAGCAGGATGGGCCGTTGGATGTCTGGCACTTTGGCGTCGTCTTGAACGGTGTACTTGTCCCCGACCTGCGCTTGTTTCTACGTCACGCATAGACACAAACCGTGTCACAGAACAGCGTGTAGCCCCCACGCACATATAACTCCTTTGCAACACAATCTTGTCGATTCAAAATTGGAGTGTTTGCTGTCTAATGAGCAGAATAAGTACCAAATCGGCTGACAATCGATATACGACCAATCAAAACCACCCAGATCATGAATCAAGTAGCCAATCAAATCATCCACTCTTCGGCCAGTCCAACATCGAATTAGTGTGTGATTAAATTAGTGTGGCACTGGACGAATTTTACATATAAAACACAGTCGAACGAATCGATCGATGGATTTAGCGAATAATCAGCACAAAAGTCCAAATTTGGGGTTAAACGACAATATACGATGATGGAGAAAGCTCGCAGAATACGCTCGTAATTTCTACCAATCATATCTAACAATAAAAAAGTACTACGTAGTACTGCACAAGAATGAATATTATTACTCTGGCGACATCCCCATACAAAATTTGCTGTAACCCCTGTCGGATATTTCCGGGGTTCTCTGTAAACGATATGATCCACCGTCCATGTACCTACCTGCGCCAGCCGCCAAGCGTGGTACCCTGGCTCGGTTTGCGTGACATTCACAAACGGGCAATACACCATCACGTACGTCCTGGCAATCGTGTTGGACGTGCCGCCCTTGAGCTCCTTTTCGTTCACTTCAAAGTCAAAACAATGGCCCAACAAGGTTGCAAACTCGTCGTCAGCTCCAAACGACGCTGTCGCCAGTGTGGTATACACGTGCAATTGCGACTTGGCGTGCTCAACGTGGCCGTGGAGTTGCTGGTACAGTCGATGGTCTTGATCCGTGGGGGTCAAGCTCGGATTAGAATCGAAACGGTGGGTCAAGGCGTCCAACTGGTCTTCTGCCGCTTCCACAGCATCCTCCCAGTGATCTACCGCTTCCGCCAGCGAAGCCTTCCACGAGCTAACTCTCGACGACGCTGCGCCATGATCAACGTACGATTCCTTGGCTTGTAGACCTTTGACTGCGTCCTGCAGCACGGCTCTCAGTCGCGCCTCGGAGGTTGCGGCCACAGTCGCACATCGGTTCACACACGTCGTCGGCGCTTCGTCAGACCCGTCGCAGCAATCACACACTCCGTCGAATACCCACGACGACGAGATTCGAACTTGCGACAATGTGCACGTGAAATCGCCCACACCACATGCCCCTGTGAGCCATTCGTCATCGGAACCGTCTGTGCAATCGCAATAGTTGTCGTTCAGCTTGGACGAGTCCAATGTCGAAGCACAGGATAATGCGTCGTTCACAGTCAACGACGAAGTGGGACGAGAGGGTGGATTTCGTGCATCAAGGGACGCAAGTGCCATGGAGGAGGACAGGCAAAGAAGGCATGTGATGGCCAAGAACCTTGCCGCAGGTGCCGCCAAGGCAGAAAGGATGGGCATGCTTGATGGCATGGCAATTCCTGATTGGTTATTCAAAATCCTGTGTTATTTAATCTCTGGACTCCTGTAGAATTGTTTCAAGGTCTTTATTGGACAAAAAGTGGGTGAAACGACCTATCCAATCAAATCGTTTGAATAGTACAATTTTAATAGTATTACTATTAATAGTACTAATAGTATTTGCCGTTCGTTACCAGCGTTTAAAACATTTCATCCAATCAAACATAAGTCTTGGGATTGATTTTTAGACCAATGCGCATGCCTGAATTGCTTTCAAGTTGCCGCTCTTTTTATCCGATGTCAGTCATTTTCGTAGGTACTGAAGTGGGGGGTATACATTAGTTTTGCCAGTTGGTCGCATCTATTGTGAGGCCCCTTCAGTTACTACTAGATTTTGTCTATTTTTGGAGCTTGAACCGACAGCGTTATGGCAGTCCACCATGGCGGTCCTATGTCCAACGTGCTCACTGGAGTCGCTAAGGGGATAACTGTTATCGAGGAAGCGGTTATACTCGTATCATTCAGTCACATACTTCAACAGGTAGGGGGCCACCTCGGGCTAGATATGTAGGCTGCCATTGTGCTGCTACGCAGGGATTACTGCCGATGAGTTTATATATTTGTTTTTATTCATATATGTTAAGATATTGTAAGATCGAAGGACATATATGTGCATATGCGTCGTCTAACAGATGAGGTGGCTCATCGTAATGTTCAAGTACACCACATGGTCGGCAAAACTGCTGATCGTGGGCACTTGTTTGCTGCACAGCGGGTCTTCGCCGTTGTTTGGGTCACACAACTTGAACGCCGTCGAGTCCTCCGTGTACCAAATTTCCTGAGACTCGTGCACGAATCCTTGCCATTCTAACGGAATGTGCGGCACAATATCCCGCCAATGTGTGACACGGTGGACGTGGGGCACCACTTGCAGTAACCTCATCACAAACGCTGCATTCCCCACGCGAGGCTCGCCAAACGTGAGCATTTCCGACGCCGTGATGTTGTGACTTGCGTGTAGATCGAGGACGGCGATAGCCGCGACTGCAGCGCCTAGGGAGTGGCCGGTAACGAGCAGTGGGGCGCTCGGATGCAACGCAAAGAGACTCGCGAGGGCCAAGAGTAGCTGGTCGTGGATGCTTTGGTAGACCCAGTAAAAGCCCAGGTGGATTGCCACCTTGGGCAAGGATGGCCACGGATGTGTCTTGACGAACGACAGGTTGTCGATCCAGTTGCGCAGGTCCATGCTACCACGAAACGCCACGACGATGTGGGTGCCCGTGTAGCCAAGGATTCCCTGGAAGTTTTCCTTGGCGTCGTTAATGACGATCAAATCCGGTAGCTTGGAGACGTATTCACACGGAGGACATGTCCAATTCTGCACGTGCTGCTTGGTGCAGTACGCGACAGACACAATCCGACCCACGTATATTGCGTGGGTTTCGTTGTAGGCGAATGGGTCTGGCGTCAACGACGACGTACGGAAGTCGTACACGGGCAAGCGACTTGACAATGCGGAATGTACACCATATGCAAGGACCACCAGAAGAAGCCGCATGCACCCTGCCGGCAGATACGCCATGGGTGTTGGAAGTGGCGAGAAGGGCATGAGTTGGCCAATCCGTGAATTCAACCTATAAAACGCCAAAATATAGGATTCCATATTGTCATTAAAAGTATTTGTTGAAATATATATTCTATTTATATACGAAGTACTTCAAGTGTATATTTCCACTATTAATAATACGCCAAAGTATAGAATTCCTTACCATAACGACTTGGACAAATATTTGCTGGATATGTGCTTCGAAGTAGCCAATGAAATGTTCGAATACAAAACTTTTGACCAATCAAATTGCAGGTGTGCCCGGGTGCTTCTCCATTTCACAAAGAGTACATCAGGATTCACAGTGAGTATTTTTACTGTTAACGTTAGTTCAAGTCAAATAAAGTCTCGACGATTTCACGTGGATTTGACGTCGTTCGTCGAATCTATGGAAATACCAAAGTTAGCTTGAAAGCACAATAAGACATTCGATTCTGCTGAGGGCTCCAGTTTCGAAAATCGATTTGAACTACACTGTAGTTGTTAATAGTATATCCCCCCACCGATGCATCAACACCACCCGAAACAACTGGCATTGCATGCGACGCCAGTCAGCATACAATGTGATATTTCAGTAACGTTAGCTCGTTGTTCACACTTGGACATTAGAGGTATAGCCACGATTGCGTACATCATGCAGAATCTAACTAGCGTTGGACATCGGCCCACTTCGACACAATGTACTCTCCGAACGGCGCTTGATCGGACGATGGTTGGTGCGTGTTGTCCAATAGGGTGTTGAATGTGTCGAGGTTTTGTTCCTGGTGTCTCGTTGGTGTCGTGACTGGTGGAATTTTTGCGTCGAAATCGGGGTAGTAAAAAAATACTAACGACATGCGTTCGTCGTAGTTGACCACGCGGTGGACGGGGGATTTCCAGAGGCCCTCGGTCAGTAACGACAGGTAATCCCCTCCATTTACGAACAACGTGCCGGGAATGTGCGGCACGTCGTGCCAGCTTCCGTCGTGGAACAGCTGCAACCCCCCGACCTTGTCTTGGAGGATAAGCGTCAAAAAGCCCCAGTCAGTGTGCGGACTCGATCCAATGAGATTGCTGTCGCCTTGACCTACATTAAGGTTAGTTTAGTTAACGGCCAGTTAGTGTACAGTGTAGAACGCGTTTGTAAAACGGATATATTAATAACAGCTTGAAGATCGAGATTGTCAAATCAGTTCGAAAGTGTAGAATCAAATAACTTTGGCACTTCGAGTTGAAAATCTCCTAGCCAATCAAATCACGTTCGGTCAATTTCTGCCCAATGTTTTATCGACACATTGGCCATATATATACTACCATTTGTATCATAAATAGTAAACACAAGCTTAAAATCGGGTCAAATGGATGTATTTCAATGCAATGTTGCGAATTGACTCAGAGGTCCAAATTTGGGTAAAAAGGACTAATTGGGGTGAAAAGGAGGACAATATGCTCCTTGTGACAAACTACAACATTCAACGCACTGTATGTAACCAGTCCATGGTTCACCAGTCGATACATTTCGATACATCAAGAGAAATATCCAAAGTAAACGGTTATTCTACCTGTACTAAACAAATGAAAACATGACGTACGGGAAAAGGTAGAGTACGGAAAGTAATGAAACGCGCGCAGGATGGATATTGTATCGCCTTGGGAGCAGAACGAGCGGAAATAGGACGAGGGTTTGTGCAATGCAATGGACAACGCATCACACACCAGACCCGACACGTCCTATACCAGCAAACAAGATTATGATATTGTCGATAATTCGAAATTAGTCAATCGAATGTGAGCAGAATAATAACCACATCGACAGACAATTATCGATCGACCAATCAAAACCTAGAACACACGAATCAAGTGGCCAATCAAATTCACTCTTCGACCAATCAACATCGAATTAGTGTGTGACTGAAATCAGTGTGATATGGACGCTCTTTACATACAAAAGTTAAAGAATCGATATCGATAGATTTGGCGAATCTGCACAAAAGTCCAAATTTTGGGTAAAAGGACAATATCCCTGCATTCATTCGACACAACAAGTATTAATAACTCCTACGTAGAGGTCGAGTATGCTCAACGACATACAGTACTGTAGGCACATGACTACAACAATGACAAACCACTACCAAGCGTGACAAACTCACATCGGCTAATAGAGTACGGGCAAGATGCTAGAAGAGTAGGTACAGTACCACGAGGCTTGTAAACAAAGCTTGAAGGGTCTGTGTGTGGCCCGACGCGAGCTCCGCCGGCCACACATTGGGCCCTTGCAACGGATTCGACGGTGGGATTGATGCGTCCCACTCGTACCCGTACGAGAATCCTTCCTTGACTTCGACGTACTCGGAGCTTCCACTTTCAGCGCCAAGGCCAATGTACCCCCGAACAAACCCATTCGACGACGACGGACGATGGTACTTGTCTTTGACATGCTGGGGCAGGGCAAAGTATGCATGCGCTGCGTCCATCACACGCTCTTCATCCACGGTGTGTATACCATGTCCTAGCCAATGCTGTTCGTCAAGCAAGCCACCGCCGGTCGTGATGTACCTTTGAGGTAACAACATCCGAACGTTGAAAACGCATGGTGCAAGTCCACACTAGCTTGCTCCTTGTTCGCCAAATCCACGATTGGAACGACGGGGGATGATGCCTGACTTGTTATTCTTCGAGCACTCGATGCCATCCATCGAGTTGGAAGCACTCGGAACATGGCCGTCGTGTCGAGAAAACGAAAATACGTCGGTATCTTTGCGAATTCGAAGTTGGCGAATATACTTCGAAGTATGGTGCACGTCATCTATAAACTACCAACTTTTCACAAAATTTTCTGACTTCTATTTCATATTCATTACTCAAAATTTCAGCAAATTGAGACGTAGAATCGACAGATCTCAATGTGGTGAAGAAATTCTACGTCTCAGATTCAAATATTTGGTGATGAATTGGTCCAGAAATAGATATTTAACCTAGCGGTATTTTACATGGGCGCTTGGATATTTGGCCATAGGGGTGGCCGCTGAGATGTATCTTGATTTTTGTATGTGACTCTTATCCGTATATAATATCCGGAGGCAGTTGGGACCTTTAACCTCCCACTGCAGTGATAAAACGCATGAAATGGGTATTTAACGTGTCTGGATTTTGGGTTTAACTACATTAATTGTACGTTAAATAATAAAACCTCCACTCCTCGATTTGGCCAGTTGGAAGTTTTTAGATGACGTGCACCATACTATTATAGTGATAACTTCGAGATGTAAATAAATGAGCCGCCCAGTTATATAATTAATAAATGAACGGATAGAGTATTTCAAACCCGGCCACCATGACCGCCACGGTTGTACTCGGCGTGGACCTGGGTACCACGGCTGTAAAGGCATGCCTGTTATCTGGCCATGCCCAAGTCCTCGACAGCAGTACCATAGACTACTTAGCCCCTTCGCTTTATCCTCCCGATGCAAAACCATCGATAACGGATGTGTCTTGCATTCTCGTCACGGTTCGAGCGGCCTTGCAAGCCCTGGCCATCAGCCAGTTTCCACCCACCGCCATCGCGCTGTGTGGCCAGGTGAGGGTGGCCATACTTCAAGTTGCTCAGTCACAATATGGTGCTCACGGGTTTGGTACTGGTAGATGCATGGGATTGTGTGGTGGTCGGCCAAAGATTTGGCACGAGGTGTCGACCACCTCTTCTCAACCTCATCCCCGACATCGACATCGTCGGCTCTTCCATGGTCATCGTTGATCTCATGGCAAGACGATCGTTGTGACCGAGCTTTTCTCGACGCGTGCCGCCACCACGCCCATGCCGACTTGTCCCCGCTAGCCTCTGGTAACCACAAGGCCGCATTGGGCAAATGCTTTTACATTGACATGTAGGTTACGGATTGGCCACCTTTGCCCATGTCATGCAACACACGCCGTCCGTCGTCAATGGCTTGGACACATGCGGGACGATCATGGATTTGGTGGCCTTCGCATTGTGTGGCCACACGACATCGGCTCAAGCCACGATGGACGTCACGAACGCGTTTAGCTGGGGAATATTCGACTCGACAGCCAACGCGTGGCCTTCCTCGTCGTATGTCCAACCCAGTTGATGGTTCCAATGCGTGTATATAAAGTGTTTCGATAATGTGATTGATGTTAGGGTGGCTGCGTTGGGAATTCCCGTCGAGATGCTACCGCAAGTCGTGCCTTCAGGCACAGTCGTGGGGGTCGTCGTGTTGTCCAATGCTTTTGGGGATATTCTGAATATCTCCAAGGCAAACAACGTGCGAGTGTACGTCCCAATGGGCGATCATCCGTGTTCCGTCTTGGGATTGCTCCAAGCTCAAAACATCGAGTCACCTGTTGATGTTGCCAGTATGTATTGTATACGTCGTACAAACAACGTCATTTGACATTTGTTGATTTGTCCGATATATATATATATATATATATGTATATATGTATGTATATATATATGTATATTATATATGTATGTATATATATATATATGTATATTATATATATATGTATGTATGTATATATGTATGTATATATATGTATATATGTATGTATATATATGTATGTATATATATGTATATATATGTTTATATGTATGTATATATATGTATGAATATTTATATGCATGTATATATATATATATATATATATATATATATATGTGTATATGTATGGTTCAAAATGAGATGATCTTGTGGTGGGTGGTGGTGATAGTGATTAACATTGGCACGTCGGCGCAACTGTGCTTTGTAACCCCCCCACCAACGGACAACATTCCCCCAAGTCTGTTGGGTAACAGCGCGAGCAGCTTTGAAATACGACCGTATTTCTTTCAGCAGCACCTTCATGTGGCCGCCGCCTTGACTGGGTATATATATATATATGTATTGTACACACTCTTACATTTCGAAATTGCTACTATTGTCCTTTTACCCAAATAGTCTGGACGCTTTTGTGCTAATTCGCCAAATCCATCGATGATCGATATATTCTTTGTATGTGAATTTTGTATGTACTGTACAAAGTGGGGATTGGTAATCACACTAATTTATGTCACACACACACTAGATTTCGATGATGATTGATTTCCTGCAATCTGATTGGCTAATTACTTCTCCCGATTCTTTTCTACATTTGGATGTGTAGAGTCAATATATATATATATATATATATATATATATATCCATGTCACTCCAGTTTAGAATAAACACAACAAACTTACTTTTGTTTATAGTGAATAAATAGTGTAAGATCAATATATATATATATGTTTGTCATTCTGAAGGGTTTTTACTGTTTAGTGGTAACATGTTTGCCTACTTTGTGGACAATTGCCTGGCGTGGACAAATGTCTTGGGATCGGTTAATCATCCCAGCAAGTCTGTGGGCGATATCAAAATGCAGCAAGACAACATGTATGCCAAGGTGATTGCCGAAGGTCTGAACCACACAAACACAACGCTAATCTGTCGGCCGACCTTTGGCGGCGAGCGCAACGACACGGCGGACAACAAGGTATTATTGTCCTTTTAACCCAAATTTCGGCCTTGAGTTTGCTGATTCGCGTATCTATCTATCCATCAATTTTTTGTACTGAAATTTGTGTGTGCACATAATGTCAGGTGAATCACACTAACTGAAGTCACACACGAATTCGCGTTGATGATGGTTTTCAGGCAATCTGATTGGCTCAATTCTTCTGCCGATGATTCTTGTGTACATTTATTTGGTTGTGTCGATTCATCATTCTCCATGATGTCGGTTCCGTTTAGAATAAACACAGTACAATACCATAAGGTGAATTTGGTTTGCACGCTAACGTCGTCGATGGGATCAAATAAATATCATATATTGTGCTTTCGAGTGAAATTTCATTGTGTTGTGGTTTCTCGTTGGAATTTAAATCGATTTGATTGGCTACTTCAGATGAGCTCAACATTATTAGATAATGAAAACCTTCTCAATGAAATTCAACAACCAATCAGATCGATTCGGTTTGGTCGGCGCGAAATTCGATTGCACCCCGTCCCCAAATTTGTATATCAAATCGACAATATATAATGCTCTTTTTTTAACTAGGGCGGTGTGATGCTAAACATGCATCTGGGTAATTGGTCCATCGGGGATATGAGTGCGGCGCTGGCTAGGGGTATCGTGGCCAACTTGGTGGCGTTGTTTCCACTTGATAAACAAGCAGAGTTCAGTCGACGCCGGTATGAATCGAATCAATGAACGATTGATAGGATGGTTGATCAAATGATTAACTCTATATCACAATAAATGATCGATTGGACGGTTGAATAAATAATTGTATCTATCACAGGTTACTCGGCAGTGGCAACGCGTTGCTTCGAAATGCGCTGCTGCAGCATTTTGTCCAAGTCGAGTTGGATTCAACGACACTGGAGCTGTGTCCATCCAGTGACGCGGCGGCGGGCGCGGCGGCGCTGGTCGTGCAACTGGAACGAGCTCGTTGTGAACATATCATTGAATAGATGTACCCACACTTGTGTAAATATGTCTTGTACAAGGCATGTACTAATACTGTGCAGTGCTCAACATTCAACGGGTAATAGTATTACCGCGAAATGTTTAATTGAGAAATTCGTAGAGTAAGAACCACTCAGAAATATAATATATATATAGATATGTACTGTATATTTTTAATAAAGTCCTTAATTTTTTTATTCTATTAAAATAAAAAAACAGTGTTCTTATTTTATAACTAAAAAATTGTACTATATTTTAATATGTTTGGCCGCTTCTTCCAAGCCTGTGTGAGAATACGTATAGTAGATCTATATAACCTTTTGCCTGCATTATTGCGGCTTATTATGGCCGAGTGCATACATTATTGGATACAATAAAAAATGCAAAACTAAACGAATTGCATCGACGCGCGCACAAATGGACGTGTCAATCCGTCAAGGAGTTAATTTACAAGTCCAAGAACGAATGCAGAACAAACCTCTGAATACGTATACTTGTACAGTAGCCATAACGTTAATGGTTAAAATGTACGTCAACGAATTATGGTCATTCTCCGAAATACCTATAATCTTGCCGTTGGTTTGATGTATAGGCCATCTCAATATGCATTGTCGTCACCGAGAAACCGACGAACAAAAAAGGCTCGAAAAATGCCGATGACCAGCGCCCTACGTTACTAGTAGTTGTATTGCAACCATTGGCATATCATTGGCATATTAAACGTTAAGAAGGATCGCACGTGTACAGTAGTTGGCTGGATTCGCCACGTAGTCGTCGTAATGACACGGAGACGTAAACTGTTGGTTGTCGGCGTCGCTGCGAATGAAGCTGTACCCGTAGTACGGCCCCATGTAGAAGTCGTTGCCAGGGGATCACTGTAGCAGCACGGTGGTCCACTGCGACCCTGTAAATATGAGATAGACCAAACCACAGGTGGATTCTGCCATGTCGACCCTTGTCATGGACTTAAATCTCGAGACGATTCCTTGTCATCGACGTCAAATGTAATGTTGGGATGAAGAGTCGAGTAGCGTTGGGGAAGGGTTGGGACGGCTGCTTTGGTGGGTAGTTGTTGTTCAGCACCTAATGGTCCACGCAATCGGTGGCATTCACCAGGTCAGGTACAAGAGCCGACGTTATTTGTTGCGGCGATACAGCATTCCTTTTCGCGGCAATGTGCAGCAGTGACATTATTGTGGCTGTACAAGCACACACGCCCTCAAAGTTATGGTTTGTGAATGGTCGGTCGGGACCTATTTATAGGTGGCAAATCAAACGGCTTGGTATGTATTCGCATATGTTAAGAGTCGCCAGTGCGCTCTCCCCTTGTTTTGCACCGACCAGTGTTAGTTAGATATTTGTGTCTGACGAATATCTTGAGGCTAGTCCCTTGAAAATACTTCGAAGTAAAAGATAGAGGAATGCAACTAACTACTAGTGCTGTACTTGTACGCAACACCGTACAGTACAGCGATGATTCGTTGAGCGTGAACTATTCAAAACTACGTACTATACAGCTGAAAACGCGGAGCTGGCAATGAACTTTTCAGGACGAAGAATAGTTTTAATGCTCTTAAATCATCGTCAAGCGGCACATCAGTCAAACTTGACACATCTCATCTGCAATAATATCGTAGGTGGCGCCGCCAGGCCATCCACGCTAAGTGTAGGTGTGTTGCATGTTGTGTGCTGTACGTTGGAAACGTTGATTTCAATTTTCAATTGAGAGTGCAAAGCCATTTGTAAAGTTTACGACGCATATATATTATACGTACAGTGTATACAGTATACTTGGAAGTATATACAATTTCCCAGGTACAGAATTTATCTAGTTCAAGTACTACAGTAGGCATGTAACTTAGCTCAATCTGTGAGCGGAATAGCCGACAGCAAATGGAGGTCCCCGTCCTGTTCGAGTTGTTTGCGCTTTGCTTCCGACTCTTGAATGACAAACATCCGCCAAATCTTCAAGTCGAAAATGTAAAACGTAGTGTTGGACCGCACGGATAGAATGCCGTTGATCACGGCCGACGCAGGGTCAATGTAGTACACCTACCCTCGATCCATTTACGTGCAATAAATATATATATATCTATATGTTGGCATACATATATATATATATATTTTACCTCGTGGTCCACCCATCGTTCGGGGTCAAAGACAAACTTGGCCGACGATGCCAGGAAAAGTGAATTCTGAGGCGGGGGCGGCAACTTGGGCTGTGCCACGCGTTCATACAGGTAACAGATCAAGACTGATCCAATGCAAATGCCCATGAGCGTCCAAAATCGAATGTAGCTGCCAATTGCCACAGTTCCTACACGAACAACAACAAACCTCAATCATTAGACGGTGCCACTTGATGGTGGTGTCCAGACCAACACCGCACCGCTGGAGCACACGAGTTGAAAATCGACTTGAGCGTATTCGCATTTGCGGTCGAATGTGGCCGTGTGCGTCGATGGCGCAGCCAAGGACAAGATGACCGAGAGCCCCCATACCAAATACTTGCACTTGAACACGTACGCTGTCGTGTATTGCTGTGTAAATACCATGAGCACGTCGTTCAGGACAAACACAAACCACGACACTTCGCCGGCGGCGAGAATGGTTGTGAAGATGCGGATAGCGGTGCGGTCGGCGCTGCTTTCGCCTTGGAGCGCCGAAGGGGATACAAACCGCCACAAGTTGTTGACCGACACCAGCGACAGCACTTGAGTACTGAGCAGACTCATGGCGGCCATGCTTCGAATAAACAGGAACGTTCGTCCAATCCAAACGATTCCCGCCACCCGATTCAGTTCAAACAAGTTGAGCCCTTCGACACGTCCGCGGTTCAAAACAAGGTAGGCCATGGCCAGCGCCGCCACGCAAATGATAACACACGTCACGTAAATGCACGCGTACCGGATGTAGTAGGCCACGTTGACGGGGATTTCCAACGGATCCACCAAACTCGTCGAGTCGTACGTGGCCGACGTCATCACATTGATTGTGTCGACGTCGCCTTGGAACGAAATCACTTCGCGATAATTCAGGGCCCAGTCGTACGCCAAGAGCCAGCCAAGGTAGTGGAAATTTGGAAACATCGGGTCAAACACTTCATGCCGAAGAAGCGTCGTGGCGGGCGAGGTCGGCGTCGTGCCATACTGCATGATTTCCACCTTTGTCTGATACATGTCGGCTTGCGCAGTACTGGCCAAATCTTCCCACATGGTCACGAGGGCTGGGTCTGGTAGCAGCGACGTGTTGCGAAGAAACCCCGTGGGTTGGTTCAACAACACGGTGGGACACTTGACAGCCATGGTGTCGCGAATTTGGCTGCAAATGGCCGTGGATTGGTTGGTCGTGAGCGGAGTAGATCGAGTATACTGCGCACCAACAACAGCGACAAGTCGCGCCATGGTAGGTGGGACTAGGGTTTCGCCCAACTGCGAACTACACGACCTGATCCCGCCCGAGAAAACAAAGAGGCCAGAAACCACACTGGCAGCAGGGACCTCGTTGCAAAATATGTTCCCGCCGACCGTCAATTGCGCCGGATTATCGACAAGCCACGCATCGGGGGAATACGGGAATTGCAAATTCGCCTTCAACTTTAGGTACTCGGAGTTGACCACTGCGGACTGAGCGCGCATTTCTGCGATTGCGTCTTTGACCGTTAGAATAAACGCGATTAGCGAGGCAGGAGGTGGAATGCGCTTGAGATCTACCGACCCCAACGGTCCGATAGCTTGCCCAAACGTGGATAACGCGCCAGTAACTAGATCAGAGGCAGCCAAAGTGCCGTTTAGAACGAGAATGTCGGCCATCGATTTGGAGGCAAATGCAAAGTGGGGCGTGCCACGGAGTAAACTGGCGCCACCCATGCCACTTGTCGAGCTCGTGACAGCCCACAAGTCGGACGCAAAGCTCCAGTACATTTTCAAGCTGGTTTGGGTGGACAGTTGCATCGACCCGTTCGTGTACTTGAGGGTCATGGGGTATGAAATGCCAAATGCATTCTGGACGTTGAACGTGTCGATTATTCCAATGGACTTGTAATTTTGCCAATCGGTCGAAAACAACGACACGCCAAACGATTGCCAGTAACTAACTTCGTCCGATTCGGTCATTGTTTGACTAGTAGACTGAATGCTAGCCCACCACTTGGTCCCCTTGTCGGACTGACGTAGTGGTGTACCAATCGCAGTGCTCAAGGACGATCCCCAACACGACTGCAGGCGGTTCCAGTTGACATTGCGCAACACGCTTTCCAAGTAGACTGCGCCGTTGGCTGTGTAGTTTTGGCTGCATCGAACTTGTCGTTGGACAGAGTTGGCCATTTCCCACGTCTTTTCAAAGTCCAGCCAGCAGTACTGCGTGGAAATCCAAGGCGCCAAACATGCGTCCATGTGGCGGAGGCCACGCACGACCGTGGCCATATCCGATCCATCCGTTGACTTGACTTGAGATACATACAAGGATACCATGGTCACTTCTACCCCTTTGGCCAAGGACGAGTTGTAGTCGGCGTCGTCGACGAATATGGTGCTGTCGAGTGACACCGTACCTCCGTGCGGTCGGTAAAGCAATTGGCTATTGTACATCCGAGCAACGTACACGTGCTCTCGGGACGCGTTGTAGTTGGCCCACCAAAAATCATTGGTCATGTTGGTAGACGTTAGCGTCAAGTACGTGACACTGGCAAAGATGGTCGCAAACACATACCCCAGGCCTGCTGCCATTGCAAAGAACCGCTTTCGAGAGGACGTTTCAAGTCTAATCTGGACGACTTTACTCGCGTACATGCTGACGTCTGCCTCGTCATCTCGCAGGGCGAGGTTCAGTTCGGGTGGTTCAAACAGTTTCTTGTTCCACTTGACCACCTCATTAGCGTCTTGGTCGACAAGCAACAGCCACAACTTTGTGTCAAAAAAGTACGAGCGAAACGTGAGCAGGCCACACATGACGCACGCCGCCCGGTCGACCATCCACGCTCCTTTTTCCGTGGTTTCCTTGTGCAAGAACGCAGTCGCCGACCCCGAGAGGAGTAAGTGTCCAGTGAACGCCGACTTGGCACTTTGGGTAGGTCGTACACATTGCCACACCTTGACGACGCAAAACGCGACTGCGATGCATACGACTTGAATTACAAGCAGCATCATGGCGCGCTTCACATTGCCCATGCTGATGGCCCCACTGGTACACCGAATACCACAGATACGGTAGTCCACCGTACACAGTTGGTCCAAGGTGGCCTCAATTTTGTATGGAGAGGCCACATCAATGATGACATACACGAGCCAGCATAGTCCGGTGCTGATGGGGGCGAAGTGAAGCTCGTAATGTCGAGTGAAGAGCAACAAAACGTCGTGGATTACGTACGAGATCCACATGGCTTCCCCACTGACGATCATGCTTTCGACAAACGTCCGAGGCGCGAATTCAAAACGAGTAAAGCCATGGATAACACCAAAGTCCAACGGAGATGTACTCAGGAGAACCACCGCGGTCATGCCGCGCACCAAGAGCAACGGTCGACCCAGCCACACGGCCCCCACGATGCGATTGAATCGAAACAGGTTGCGCCCGACAATACGAAACCGCATAAGGACGGTGTAGAAAGTGAAAATAGCCCCCACAGAGACCAAGATGGCACTGACGGTGACAGAAATGATCCACAGATAGTGGCAGGCGCTTTTGGGCACTTCCAGCGCTCCCGCTTCGTTGATGATAGGGTCGTACGTGTTTGAAACCACAGGGAAAACACCGCGGTCCCCTTCGATCGACACAACTTCTCGAATGCCGGCCGCCCACTCGTACAAATATACCCAGCCAAATGCATCCCATGTGGACAAAGTCGACGCCAAAAGGGGTTGAGTCAGGAACACGTTGCTGGAATCAACGATGTTGAAGGCAAATTGCAACGTCCCGACATTCAGCGTCACAATGTCTGCCTTTGCAACTTGCACGAGGCTATCGGAAGGGGGGGCGACAGCGTTGTTGTTGAACAGGTCAAGTGCAGTGGCCGAAGGGACCACGACAGACAAACAAACCGAAGCTAGTGTCGGACACAGCGAGCATATTGTTCGGGGTGACGCCTTTGATGCCCAAAGCGCAAACAGAGTGTTGAATCGATGCAACAACATCATGTGGCGTGACTGGTCGGTGCAGGCAATGTCAAACGCCATCGACGACTGGACAAAAGGCAGCGGCTGGCGGTCCGTGCAAGAGGGATCACCCCCCATGTACTCGTACGACGGATTCAACCACGAGGGAGGTACCGGGTCGGCATGGTACCCAGGAATGGACACCAACGCATTGTGAAACGCTTGGTTGGACTGGGCCAACTCGGTCAAATGGGTGTGAAATGTAGCGTACAGTGTCTTGAGCGACGCCGGCGCTGGCACAAAGAACGCATCAATCGAGCCAAACGGACCAACATTTGAACGCACCATTTGGACGATGGGTACGTCGGGCATGCCCATCATCCACTCCCAATCCGGCGCACAGTCCCCTGGCACTGGATTCCACGGGGAGTTACACGGATCGCACGTGTAATTGGCTGGGTTGACAAGGTAGTCGGCGTAGTCACATGGGTACGTGAACTGCTGGTTGGCTGAATCACTTCGAATGAAGCTGTAGCCACAGGCTTGTGCCACGTAAATGTCATTGCCAGGCGACCACTGATACATCCACAGACTCCAGTCGCGATCTTTGCCCGTCATGCGCTTGTTGGAAATGGCTTCGTGGCTGCCAAATGCATTCGCGATTGACATGGTTTCCGTCACGCTCCACGTCACAGCATTCATGTACTGAAGTGTAAAGTACGTCAACCCCGCTTGCTTCCACAACGCCATCTCAGTTGGAAGGTCTTTGAATGCATTGGGGGTTCGGGCGAGCCACGCCCTGCCTTCGGGGGTCTTGCGCAGGCCATCGGCCACGGTCACGTTCCATTCGCCTTCGCGCTTGTCCATAAATGTCTTCCAGTTGACCAACCGCGCCGTGGTCTCCCAGAACATGGCGGCATTCTGAATGTAACGCGTTTGGCATCGCTTTTGGCGCATGGACGTGTGTGCCACTTCCCACGTCCGGTTGAAATCCAACCAGCAGTACTGCGTGTCGAGCGCTTCGGGTCCAGAAAATGTCCGAAGATTCGTAATGATCGCTGCAATGTCATGCGAGTGGGCATGCGCAACCATGCGGGGATACGTTGGCGTGACTTCAATGGGGGTGTAGTACGTCGAGTAGTCCTTAGAAATGCCAAACACGGGCGACGTAAAGTCCACCGTGCCATGTGTGACAAGATTGAGTTGCCCGTTGTACACATCAATCACGTACGATTGGGCGCCGGACGCGTTGAACCGTTCCCACCACAGGTCGTTGGACAGCACCGGCGACAGCATTTTGAGGTAGTACAGCGTCAATACCAACGTGAACACGAGGTAGGACAACCCCAATGCTGCTTCGCCGGCTTCAGTCGTAGTCATTGACATGTCCACTGCATTTGGCCCAGTATTTTCCTGGTGATCCGTAGCCCCAATATTATGACGAGAGATGGACAGTCGCTCGGGCATATAGCCCCTAACAGACTTTCTACCCGTTCGATGAGTGATTCCCGTAGGTTTCGTTTCGTCGACCATGTCTCGCATTGACATATCGGTGGGATGAACTTTCCTTGCATTGGACGGGGAAGGGGGCCCCGACGTCAGGGGGTCGATCATGTCAGTTGTGTACGCAAACTGTTAGCGAACTCCCTCAAAAACGTATGATTGGAACGTTTGTAGCGGTTTCACATATTTACCAATGGACGTCCGGGTACAGCGGTTTCATAAAATACAAATATATCGTTTATGAAACGATTTATTTGTATAAAAGTTAAGGTGTAGGGCAAAGATGCCGAACTGACCAGTGGCTCTCGATTGGATTCACCATGGGCGAGTACGGACTACAAAAAAGTCCCAATGTCAGCACAGCAATACCACTGGTATTGCTTTGCTGAATCCCAGCTAACCTTCACACCTACTCACGTTACCCTAAAACCCAGCACACCTACTACTGCATCAGCGCAACCTACCTAGGTCATACTACCTAGGTCATACTGGGGCGCCCGTAACTGTTGCAGACGTAAAGAGAGGAATCAGTGAACCCGGTATTAATAGGATGTGGACGAATACCTTAGCTAAATTTGGAATAGGAAACGAAAGACGAGGAGTCCAGAAGCCAAGGGACACAAAACGAAAACCCACACGAGAGGAAGAAGTAGCATGGCAAGTCGAACCGAGATCAATCCTCCCAGGTCGTAGCAGAAGGCAGCCATGGGGATGGTGGTTCCGATTCGAAACTTCGATTCTGAAGTACTGCGAGGTCGGTGGGGGGACTATGATCTCGACACATGAGACACGAGGGTGTGATGAAGAATGGTCGAAAGCACCGAGCGGTACATCGTGGGTACGACGCCCCCTGCTTCGCCCCTGCGCAACGCATCGCCGATTGTCGTGTTGAAATCTCGTTCGAGGTTGTCCATAAGCCCTGTCGAGTCGGTGAACTGGGACACTGTTTCCAGCACACTGCAGCGATTTCCATGTACCGAGCTTGGCATCGCTTCTGACACACACTGATGTGCGCGACATCCGATTGAAGTGAACCCAGCAGTATTTCGTGTTCACTGCTTCTGGTTCAATGACGTCTCCGAGTCTGACGATATTGGCGGGGATGTCGTGTGAGCTATCGTAGAGAACCATGCGAGAATACATCGACGAACGTGACTTCAACGAGGGTGTTGTAAGTTGAATAGTGTTTTGACAACACATTCGCGCGATTTGTCCAGTTCATGGAGGATGCGTGTCCTGCCTTGTTGAGGTGTTAGTTGAACACATCGATGACGTACGATTGCACCCAACGAATTGACGTAGGTCCACCAAATGTCGACCAGATGCACGGCTTCCTCAACACATTTCGACACGTGATTGAGCCGTTTAGAGCCGTCGCTCTCTAAACGATTCCAGTGTCATCGTCTCTACCGGTTGTCTTGACCGTCGGAGATACACTGGCCGAGTTGACGGTGTACTCACTGCTGCCTCTGGTCATTTAGCCTCCTCATCCATGCAGCTGCCAGATGCGTGGATTGCAGGTGGTCGCCACGTGTACACCTCCTGTGTGGCCAAATAACTCGTTCGACACTTTCTTGGTGTCGTGTGCTGACGCAGGGGCGGCGTGCAATTCGATATAGGTCGAAAAACTTGTTCCTAGCAGCACTTCGATCCTGGTGGCCGTTCAAGGCGATCTGTTCACTAGTACCATCACTACCATCTCGCAGCCAACAACGTCCGAGGTATTTGCAGCGAAGTCAAGGGCGACATAATAGCCAAGTGTCCGATACACAAACAGGCCGTGGATTTCTTGTCAACACAACGCTCATTCCAGATCCTAGAGGCGTGGTGGCCACCTGGGAACGGATGGCCGCCATCGCCCAAATGGACATGCATCGACTCAAAACGGAGATTTGTCGAATACGTACAAGATGTGACATATCTATGCTCTGTCACACCCAACCCAAGTTTCACTTTCTCGAGTGGATGCTTGATTGGGTCATGGCCATATGCGAAGTGCTGTCGTTTCAAGGGAACACGGACTTGGTCAATGTCATCACCACGGCCGCGTACGCGTTGTCTTCGTTGGCAAATCCTTTGGACGTGTCCGTAAACGTGGCGTCCGACATTCGATACGTATGTGTGTACGTCACGTGTATCCTCATCGGCTTCGCGAGTTTTGCCACCGTGTACCGTGTGACCAACCGAGGGTACGTGGAAGGGCTTGCACTCTCGGATTAGGGTCGCACTGTGGGCAGGAGGGTAACGTTACGTCAAGGACAAGATCAGAGACAACGTTAGCCTCAACACTTGGGTGCCGAGCTAAACAAATCGCCGCCATGCTTCAAACGAACAAGAACGTGCGCCTAATCCACGAAATCCTCGCCACCCGATTCAGCTCCAATACACTATGTTCGCCCACGTGTACTTCAGCTTGCATCTTGATTTCGCACACCTGACGCTGGAGTAGGCACCGTCGCCATTGGTCGCTTGAGTAATTCGAATCATACAGGTACTTCGCCACTAAGGTACTGTACAACCTTAATAACGTAGAAAACCAATTTAAGAACACTTTTTCCGAGTCGCTGCGGTGGAAGGAACGAAGCTCAGCATGGATGCATCAGATTCACATTCGGAAAAGTGCTGGATGAGGCCAAAGCGGAGTTGATTCATTGGACATTCAAAAAATTGTGTTTCACGATCTATTTGACAGACATAAATACCATTTTCGAAGCAAATGTACTCAAAATGTGAGAACCAGTTATTGGTGCACACAATTAGCTTAACGTTTGTATGTATACTAGTACTCATTTGCATATTTTTTGTGTGGTTATGTTATGTAATTTCAGCAGTTAAATATAAAATCCAGACAGGTAATGCAATTATACAGTTGTGAGTAACTGTCAGTGACCATTTTTGAAATTGACGCGAGTCCGACATTTTAGGAATCCACAACCAGGTGTGCACGAAAAATTGGAGGTCCAACATCACATGCAAAGGTATTTCATGTAATGCGATGAATTACACTACAACGTGCACAGCGTTCTTGCGGTTGGCTTTGACTTGACCATTAGGCAAGGGCTTGAGGCCCATCATGGCAGCGACACGGACACAGCAACAGCACCGCTCTTCGCTTCGTTTTTCGTTCGGAGTGCAAGTCATCCGTGACTACAGTAGTAATAAGCCTCGTGAGAAATATATACATACGTGTACAATGAAAGTATTTGTAACTTTACCGTCATTCACAATCTCCTCGGCATGGTAGGGCGTGGCCCGCGGCGCTTTGGTGTCGTGGTGGTGCCGGCCTTTGTCGCGTGCACATACTTCATGAGGGTGTTGTAGGATATCTTGGAGAACGCTGCCACTGGATTCCCGTTTCGCCCAGCAAGCACATCTTGAACAGCTCTGTCAAGCTCAACGCGTGTATATCGCGATCGCGGTCGCGGTCGTGTATGACAGGCGCCAAAATTCACTTCGTGTATTAATTAGATTAAGGAGGTTATCTCCCAGTATTTTTACTACATTTGATTGGCTGATTCAAGTGCACCATTAAATGGTTCGAGCACCTTAAATTGGTTTTCTACGTTATACTACTAGTATCTCGCGGTCAAATTGCAGCATGAAGGGGCTTAACAGTAAAAGGACGAAATTTTACAATCCAGTACTCAGCATGGCATGACCACGGTAGCCTCTAATGTAACATTTTTCGCACATCAAACTACTTCGCACTACCTGACTGTGGACTCGCCATTCTTCTCCAAACATAGTGAGTGGCATGGGAGGTCCGACGAATTGCAATTCCTCACAGACGAGGTGAATTCGAAAAAGGAGAAAAAAGATCTCCCCGTCCGGGAATTGAACCCGGGTCACCCGCGTGACAGGCAGGTATACTGACCACTATACTAACGAGGATCCATATTGTAGTAAAGGATTGTAAATAAGCATACAATGCGCCATACTGTAAATTGCCTTCACTAGTCAGTCAAACAGAACCACAAGCTGGTCTATCCTCCAGGAAGAAGAGCATTTTCCTGCTCTACCCATAGGTAATGTAACATGTAATGCAGGGAATGTGGCATTCGCCGAAATAAATTGTATTATAGTTCGTGCTCCGTCCAAAAAAGGACTTTTTTATTCAACCATCAAAATGTATGTCGTTTAACCCAGGGAAAACCTGCTGTTGGCAAATTTAACAAAACCTCCCTATTTACATATCTGCATATCAAATATCTTATTGAATCTAATACTGTCTTCCCCTGTATTCACTAAATTCTTCCTCCGCCAACCTATCATAATCGATAATTACCTAAAATAATATATGGGTTTACATAGGGTTTTCTTTTCCACCACAGGTGCAGAGGTTTCAAAGTCTCGAGCAAGAACTAATTTAGCATAATGCGGCGCCAGTCCCGATTTTGCCCCGTGAGAAGCACTCCGTCGGAAAAGTCAGCCGCTGACGCGACCTAAGTCTCAAGCAGGTCACTGATGGACAATGACGATCATCCTTGTGATGGTAGTCCCTCGTCGCACAAAAAACGGGCGCAGGCAGCAGCAGCAGTACTAGCATCGTCCCCATATCAACACAACGACCTGTTCACGTCGTCAGTGCGCGCATCTCCCGGTGGTGCATTCCGGTATAGTCCCATGGCGCCGTCTTCGATGTCGTACTCGCCTTTCTTGATGGACTCGTATCATTTTGCCAGTGGCGGCGGCGGGGCATCAACAGTGGCGAGTTTTTCGTCGCCGGCAAGCTTCTTCTCGGGTTGCCCGGACGCCATCAGCGACGACGACATGTACAGCTCGTTATCTCATCTTCCCAGTCACATTACCCCGACTGCGTCTTCGGCGCATCATTCGTCGCATCACGATCGACAGTCTCACTGGTCGTCTCCACGCCTAGCATCATCGTCGTCACCACGCCATCTCGACGTCGCAGATGACGAAAGTTCCAATGACGATGGCGAACCGAACGATGCCAGCAGCGATCCTTCCTCTGTTGTCGGGCTGTGGAACTGTCGTGTGTGCACGCGCTTGAACCAAAACGACCAGTGCGTCTTCTGTGGCCACGACAAGGACGCCCCGTTCCGGCCTGTGACCAACGCTGGTGGTGCTGCCACGTTATCGTATACAACGACCAAGCCAACGCACACCGCCATCGGGTACGACGACCGCATGCTTCTCCACCGCGAAGTCCAGGTAACCAACCTCCCGTTTTTCATCGCCTCAACGCGAGGAGTCCACATGTCTAATGGCGCCTCCTGATGTAGCCGCGGGATCTCTTGGACATGCATCCGGAACGACCTGACCGCATTGCCGCCATCTTTACTCAGTGCCAGACCGATGGTCTGGTCCAGCGATGTACTCATGTAAGCCATAATACCCCACTTGTATGTGTGGTATCTCTACCTTGTGCTAGCTGTTCCTGGTGGGTTTCGTTCCTACCTAGTCGCTTGATTCTGGCCTTCACGAAATCGAAATATTCGTTTTACCTGCTCTTCGAACTTGTTTATTGGATAATAAATCGAGCTTGTTTGCGCAATTGAAAGTAGTCCTAGCCACAAACATGATGAGTTGATGGAATGGTTATGTGAAAGTGATATGTTATCGTTTTACAAGTCATGTAGTAAACAAAATATATATAGATGAGATGTTATATCATAACCATGTTCAATATTATTGTTTACACATACTATGATATATATATATTAATGTAGTTGTTCTATGAAGTAATGGATCGTATATTGTCCTTTTACCCAAGCGTTGGACTTTTGTGCTGATTCACCAAATGTACTAATATTGTGCTTTTTAGTGAAATTTTGTGTTGTGGCGTGGTTTCTCGTTGGAATTTAAATCGATTTGATTGGCTACTTCAGATGAGCTCAAAATTATTAGCCAATCAAAACCTTCTCAATGAAATTCAATCAATCAGATCGATTGTGGATCGGTTTGGTCGGCGCGATTCGATTGCACCCGCTCCCCAAATTTGTATATCAAATCGACAATAATTCAATGATGTTGATTTGGTCGAAGAGTGGGGATTTGATTGGCTACTAGATTCGTGTGTTGTGGGTTTTGATTGGTCGTATATCGATTGTCTGTCGATGTGGTACTTATTCTGCTCACATTCGATTGAGAGCACCACCGAAACACTCCAATTTTGAATATCTTGACAATAAGCACTGTTTACTCGTTGGTTGCTCTGCTTGATCATTTACTGCATGTCTATTTGAACGCTACTACTACTACTACATTGTTAATCATCGCTCGATGATCTTTATAGATTCCAAGCGTACTCGTGGACAAATCTGACTTGCTGCGATGCCACGATGCCGACTACTTGAGCCAACTGGACGACGTGTGCCAGCTACCACAACACCACCTAACTCCAGACACATATTGCTGCAGTGACACGGGGGTAGCGGCGCACATGTCGGCGGGGATTGTGCTGTCGTTGGTGGACAAGGTCGTGCACGGCGTAGCTCGAAATGGGTTTGCGATTGTTCGGCCGCCAGGCCACCACGCCGAGCCCACCCACGCCATGGGTTTCTGCATGTTTAACAACGTGGCGGTGGCCGCCGCCGCCGCCGTCGCCAAGTTTGGCTTGAAGCGCGTGCTCATATTGGACTGGGATATCCACCACGGCAACGGAACCGAGCACATGTTTGAAGCCGACCCGACGGTGCTCTACTGCTCGCTACATCGGTACGATGACCAGGGCGCGTTCTACCCGGGCACGGGTGCCCCAGACAGCGTCGGGTCGGGCGCCGGCACGGGGTTCAATGTCAACGTCGGCTGGCCTGGCGGCGGCGTCGGCGATGCAGAGTACCTGGCCGCGTTCGACTCGCTGCTCATGCCCATCTTTCGAGCGTACGCGCCAGAGTTGGTGCTCGTGTCAGCTGGCTTTGACTCGGCCTTGGGGGACCCGCTGGGCCGATGTAGACTTACGCCCCCAGGGTATGCCCACCTCACGCACATGCTCAGTTCACTGGCCGAGGGCAAGATTGTGTTGGCGCTCGAGGTATTGATACATATATATCTGGACATTTGTGCTGAAACGCCAAATCTATCAATCGATTCATTGTACCGAATTTTGTAAGTAAAAAGGTGTTCTGTGGTGATTGGTATCACACTAATTGAAGTCACACACACTAAATTATAGTTTTTTTATTATTATTGCTCAATATACGAGACATCGAGTCCGTTGTTTGTGTGTATTTAAAAAACGATCAATATAAAAAGTGATTACAATGATTTAAGATTAAATATAAATTAATAGTTTTTTTATATTAGCATTCAATATACTATTATAGACATCGAGTCCGTTGTTTGTGTGTATTTAAAAAACGATCAATATAAAAAATGATTACAATATGTTCATAGATTACAGTATATAAAATAATAGTTTTTTTTATATATTATTACTCAATATACTCGACATTGAGTCCGTTGTTTGTGTGTACTTCAAACACGTTCATTATATTCTATTCTACGGGATGCCAATCGAATACGAGTTTGTATATACTGTACTGTACATGGCAGTGTAGTGTGTAGTTGGTATGCCCAACTGGCCGCGTAGACGTTGTCTTCTTTGTGTAAATTTATCGAGTGTCTTGTGAATCGATACATTGATATATACTGATCTCCCCCCTTAAACGAAACGGGGTAAACTTGATAATTTTTGAAACTTTATATTATCCAACCATATCGGAAGGTGATGACTTTTTCAAAATTCGAACACTTGAATCGTTTGGCATTGAAATGGATGACATCATTTCCACTGTGAGAAACTGCTGGAGACGCACTGGCATACTCAGCTCTGACTTGGAGACGCCCAGCGCTTGAATGCATGTATAAATGGTTGGTTCAGACAGCCTGCAAATACCTGTAAGAGTTAATTTACTGTGTGAATTGCATAATTTGCTCCGTTTCGTTTAAGGGTGGAGATCAGTATATATATATCGACGTCAAACGTCGACTCTTGATATTCGTGTGCGTTGTCTGGAATGGATGATGCCCGTCCATTTTTGCGTATATAATATATATTGTGCATTTCGCCCAAATTTGGAGGCTTGAGAGAGTCATTTCGCCAAATAGCTTTCGACTCTATTGGATCGTATTTAATCTTGTACACACTATACTATACAATTAGTAGTATATATGTGGTTTTGCCCCATAATGCGGAGGGGTCAAACGTTTGGATTGGCGGAAATTCGACATGACGTGATTTGATTGGCTCAGGCGGTTCTTTCATCGATTCTGCTGACAGCTCCAGTTTCGAACAATATATGTGTACTGAGCATTCTTTTTCCTTAGGGCGGGTACAATTTAAAGTCCATTGCCACGTCCGCGAGTGCCTGTTTGAGTGTACTGTTGGGCGATCCGCTGCCGCGCCTAGCGGCCGACATGGGTCCGCCTATGGCCAGCGCCTTGCACGCTATTGCCCGGACGAGGCGATGTTTGCAGCCTTACTGGCCATGCTTGGCCGACGTATCCGACTCTTCCGATGACGCAAGTGAAGACCACCTCTCGGATGATCTGCACCAAACCAACCCCCCAAATGTGCGACGGAGGCGCCGCCCATCCGTTGATAACACGCCGTCGTCCAGTGAAGAAGAAGAAGACGATGAGGAGGTGGTAGTGGAGGAACCCCCATGTGCGACAGAGTGCGACCAGATCAGTATATATATATCGACGTCAAACGTCGACTCTTGATATTCGTGTGCGTTGTCTGGAATGGATGATGCCCGTCCATTTTTGCGTATATAATATATATTGTGCATTTCGCCCAAATTTGGAGGCTTGAGAGAGTCATTTCGCCAAATAGCTTTCGACTCTATTGGATCGTATTTAATCTTGTACACACTATACTATACAATTAGTAGTATATATGTGGTTTTGCCCCATAATGCGGAGGGGTCAAACGTTTGGATTGGCGGAAATTCGACATGACGTGATTTGATTGGCTCAGGCGGTTCTTTCATCGATTCTGCTGACAGCTCCAGTTTCGAACAATATATGTGTACTGAGCATTCTTTTTCCTTAGGGCGGGTACAATTTAAAGTCCATTGCCACGTCCGCGAGTGCCTGTTTGAGTGTACTGTTGGGCGATCCGCTGCCGCGCCTAGCGGCCGACATGGGTCCGCCTATGGCCAGCGCCTTGCACGCTATTGCCCGGACGAGGCGATGTTTGCAGCCTTACTGGCCATGCTTGGCCGACGTATCCGACTCTTCCGATGACGCAAGTGAAGACCACCTCTCGGATGATCTGCACCAAACCAACCCCCCAAATGTGCGACGGAGGCGCCGCCCATCCGTTGATAACACGCCGTCGTCCAGTGAAGAAGAAGAAGACGATGAGGAGGTGGTAGTGGAGGAACCCCCATGTGCGACAGAGTGCGACGACAGTAATCTGCGGCGACGGAGGTGGGACGCGTGGGCGGCCAAAGTCGACTTGGCTGCACGAAGGGACCCTCAAATAGCAGTGGATTTGCGAGCCAAGTTACGCCAACGCAAGCGACTTGGGCATGGCAAAAACGCACAAAGAAGATATCACCCGTTTGTGCCAGTTCACCACCACCACCACCACATGCAATAATGATGTCACATATAATAGAAGACAAACCACCATAGATCCCAAATGATTCTTTGTGTTTAGTCGATTATTCGTTCATACAATATAAATCCCAACCACAATATGGACTCCCGTGAAAAACGTTGCTTACCGTTGGCAGGTAGAATGAATCACACAAATACTTATGTGTAGTAGGAAATATGGGTTAACGGTAGCTATTATTGTAACGTTAGCCACAAGACTTGATACTTTTGCCCTTTTGTCCGAAAAATCAGTGGTCATAATTTTTTATAAAATACTAGTATACTAGTAGTATATACTAGTAACGTTATAATATATAAGTCGTGTACAGGCTGAACTAATTTATGAGGCAGGGTGTTGTGTTGCAGTCTATCTATCCGTCATGCTTCAACACAGTGTACTCGGACGTATTTGTTGTACTACGTACATAGTATTGTGCTTTCGAGTGAAATTTCGTTGTGTTGTGGTTTCTCGTTGGAATTTAAATCGATTTGATTGGCTACTTCAGATGAGCTCAAAATAATTAGCCAATCAAAACCTTCTCAATGAAATTCAACCAATCAGATCGATTGTGGATCGGTTTGGTCGGCGCGATTCGATTGCACCCCCTCCCCAAATTTATATCAAATCGACAATAATCTTGTTTCATCATCTACAGTATATCGGGGAGTACTACGACATATATATGTAGTGATTGCGCAGGTTATGAAATCTATACTTGACCTATGAATACAGCCTCAACCAACAACGCTACATGGAGCGCACACCAACCATCCTATGGACCTTTGGCTATTCGTAAATCATGCTGAGTTGTATTATTGGTCGTGTTGACAGGTCAGTCCAACAGCGACGACAGATTCGACCTGCGATGATGGCGGGACCCCGTCGCAGCTTTGGTCGGGGCCAGCGTGAGAAAGTTTGGACATTGCAGCATCCGAAGGCCAATTTCATGCCTAGAGGAGCACATGCATACACATGTAAATTACTGAGTGCCCCATCTCGTCCATCCGTTGGAACACTTGTACGACGTACCCAATGGCCATGTTCACGTTGAGTCGCTGCAGCAATTGTATTAGGGCGGAACGCTGCATAGGTGTGAGCCGGGGACTCGAGATGGGATTCGTGGCGTAGTATATGTACGGTGTTTTTTGAAATTGCATGTCTGTCGTCGATCGCGTCGAGCTCGAGTGGTTGTGGTACCGAAGCACGAGTTCCAATACACTTACAACAGTCGTCGCAACAACGTTGTCTTCACATATTGCACGTGTTGGCTCGGGTGAGGCTTTGGCGGAAGAGAGGGGGCTACTACTCAACGCGTGCACAGTGGTGGCATCGGGGGCCTGGGGATATATGCAAAAAAATACTCAATTTTTGTTATTCTCATGTCATAACACGATAGCCACACAAGTACGTGGGAAAATGTGTATACATATTTTGTCAAGTCGAAATATTCAAAATTGGAGTGTTTGGGTGGTGAATTATTGAATGAGCAGATTAAGTACCAAATCGGCAGACAATCGATATACATACGACCAATCAAAACCCACAACACGAATCTAGTAGCCAATCAAATCCCCACTATTCGTATAGCATCATCGAATTTGTGCGAAATTAGTGTGTGAGACTATCTATACATACAAAAATCAGGACAATGAAAATCGATCGATAGATTTGGAGAATCAGCACAAAAGTCCAAGTTTGGGCAAATGGACAATACCATTAAATAGAACGACACGACCAATCCTGTGGAATCAATGGCTACGAGAAGCCGCGCTTCGATGGCCGACCTATCGCGTGTGAGGCGACGGTGCCGCCGGTCGTCGCCGTAATCCAGCAGCGCTTGGCGCCAGTGCTCGGTCAAGGTCGAGTTCCAAATATCCATTCGCAATGGAATATGCAACCGGGGATTTCCCAACACATGTACGGTCAAGGTGGTCGCTGTCGTAGCCGTTGCTACCTTGTGCTTGGCAAGGCCAGGTAGGACGCAAGTAGATGGTCGAGGGTTCATCTCGGATTGGGTTGGCAGTGAGTTGGATGTTATGGAGGAAGCTGGCGACGCAACACACTGGAAGAGCAAGTACACCACGTGCTGGATGCACCCGCGGAAGGAAAATGGTTGGAATAGGCGCGGTGGCTTCATGTAATAGAGAAACCACAGCGGGCCGCGATGCCACCCCCACGCCACCGTCGACAGCACCATGTACACTGCTGCAACCATGAACGAAATGTGAAAGTACAGTGACGCATGGAACGCATACTCGAGCTACGCATACAGCTCGTGACGAACGAGAATGCGACGACGAGATGATGACGAGTTCGTACCAGCGCCAATTTCACTATGCAATATGCACCTCCGATCACAAACCGCATGGGCAACGAGAGGAAGGGTACGCGCGAGCCATGCAGACAATGCGCGGCGATCGATAGCCATAGAAACGTAGCCGTTGTCTCTGTGATGAGGAAATAGAGCATGAACAGGTGCGTGTCGACTTCGCCATCTGCGCGAGCCGCTTTGGGTTGCGGCGGACCCCATACGGCTCCTGCATGAGACGATTGGCTCAACGCATGGCACTGCTGCTTGAGGTATGCCGGAGAGGGAGGTCCGATATGGTGCCGCGGGTCGAACGGCCCACGGCGTATCATGGATCGAAAGAACTTGACCCAGGACATGATTGCTTTGAGTAGGCTTGTTCAGTTGTTGGACGTTTTTTAACTGGGTTACAGAAGAGCCAATCAAATGCGGTAGAATATTTAACAAGCCAATCAAACGCAGCAAAATGGGGCTCAACTGGATCAGGATTCGATGTATAATCACTTTTAAAGTGTATGCGATCGTCAATGTCAGTACCAATTGTACCAAATTGTAAGCAACTTGTTTTACTGGGTTGAAATGAAAAACTCAAAACAACTGAATCAAAGCAATCGGTCAACGCTAACGCCGTACTTGTAAGCTTATAAAAACCTAACATATATGCGTAACTACACTATTTCTCTATATTTATACTGAATCCAAAAGTTGTTCATACTATACTACAGTGTACAACCTACCCAATATAGGCAGAATATACAAGCTACATTATCGACGAAAGGACATTGGAAATGTGTGCAATAAAGATTGGGCACATTGGGATCCCGGTAAGCTTTTGACCAAGTAACGTTAGCTTATCTTCATGTTTAGATGGACACATTGCAACGCAGGCCACATCAGGTCGACGTGCATGTTTGGGTGGTGCCAGGGGCAGCTTCCATATCGTGTTCGCTCATGAGAACGACGTTGGTTGTGGTGAAAGCTGGCTTGTCGAGCCGAGCGGATTCGGTGGCTTCATGGCTCAAGACATCGACTCCGTCTTCACCAACGCAACGGTATCGAATATTCTTGCGAAGGCCCATGAATGCAAACGCAGCCAACATGGCTGTAAAGTGCCAAATCGAGTGGATCTAAGCAGGAAATGTAATGATCGATGCCTCCAACAACATGAATTACAATGCACAATGGTACATACCAACCAGTACGAGTTGCCCGATTCAGTGAAGAAACAGCCAAAGGCCGACCCCCACAAGGCAACGCCGAGCAACAAGAACCGAAAGTCAAAGTTGTCGCTGTAAAACACGAAGCGTTTCAACGTCCTACACAACACAAAGGGGGGTAGCATCCCAGTGAGCAGATATAGCCCAATCACGGTCATAATATATTGAATTGGAGTTCGTACTCAAACATGGACGTGTGCAGGCGGTGCTTGGCCAACGTCAACTACTCCACACACCACCACTCTGCTGTTACATGTATAATCCAATGAATATTTAAAAATCACCATGGTAGTAGTATAAGTATATCGTCTCGTATTACGTACGTAGTAGCTCCACGTGGCCACGAATTGCACGATTATGACTCCCCCAAGGGCGACCCAGTTCTTCATCGACGTGGCGTTGTACGTAGTCATAAACACAAGGGCCACGAGCACAAACACTTGCATGCCAGCCTACATACCCATGATCCAATACATTAGTAGCTAGACACTGTCGAATGACCGATATACAGAGATACTGTATATTCCCCTACCTTGACATGCTTGAACGCGCCAGACAAGTGGATAAACCCCAGCATGATCGCGTTAAACGTGAACGTAAAATCCATCGACTGCAAAAACGCATACGGAAACATGCAGTACAAGTTCAAGTCGCACGCGTGGTACACCCCCGAAATCACGCCCAGCCCAGCAAACAAGACCGCTTCCACTACATACCCACAACACTATTGAGCCCAAACCACGGTTGTTCTTGGATAGTATATATATATGTATATATATATATATATATTAAGAAGGCACTAATACATCAAACATCCATCCTTCGATACTTGTACTTAGTACGTATATATATATATATATATATATATGGACGGATATATGTTCTTGTATTCCCGCTGATTTATATGTATATATTATAAATCCGTGGGAATGCAAGAACATCATGAATCCGTCCAAATGTAACATTATATACACGTATGTAGGCATCGCTATTTTTATTCGACAAGACCCAAACGTACCGTACAACTTGCGCGTCCACGACAAGATCGCCGCCGGTAAAATGGCTGCGTTCGACAGCAACAACAACCACGTTCGTCCCGTTCGCTACGAACGGCAGTGTCAAGATGCTATAGTAATCGTACGAGAACAATAGCCTGGATGATGATGGGATTCCCATGCTTACTTGAGCGTCGGTGTGCACCAAGACACTGCAGTCTCGACCGCCATACCCATACGCGCACTGGCATTCTCCATATACCATGCCTTGGTACGAATTCTTGACGACACAAGTGCCGTGATTGCTGCACACGTTGTGTGGTGGACACGCGTTTGTCTGCAACTGCAACGCCACACCCCACTCGTTCTTGTTGTTGCTGCGGAACGTACCGAATTGATTAACACTATATATCACTAGTTGGAAGGGACGTACGCGGTGGCTACAGTCGTATCAGGCCGCACAACAATGTACCAGTGGCCAATTTTGGGAAATACTATGGGCGGGAACTCGAGGAATTGAGTCCCCCCCGACGAAGTGGCTTCCTGTTTCAACGCGTCGAACGCCACCACGGACGGGTTGATCGGATCCGACTGGCTGCCCACGCCACCGATGCGACTCGCTTGCGATGCATTGTACCTGAAGTACATAAATATACTATATATATACTATATATATATATAAAAACATAAATATACTATATATATATATAAACATAAATATACTATATACATATAAAAACATAAATATACTATATATATATATAAAACATAAATATACTATATATATAAAAACATAAATATACTATATATATATATAAACATAAAAATACTATATATATTACTATATATAAATATAAATATTCTATACATACTGTATATAGAAATAATATACTTCGTATTTATAAGTTATATATATATATATAAGTCGTTTAACGAAATGGAAGGAAAAAACGTTATCGTACAAATATACTCGCATCTCATCACACGTATTTACGTTTGTGAATACGTACGTGTAGTCGTATTCCGTGAGTGTGGGCCATCCATTGACTCGAATGAACACGGAGAAATTCGACACCAAAGCAGTCGTCGCCATGTGCAGTACGACGTTGGTGCCAGCATACACGGGCTCGACTTGGACGTCGTACGCCACCTAAGAAACAGCGTCACAGACGACGAAGTTAGATATTGAAATAGACTTATGACACCTTTCTTACCACGACATTCGATACGTTCATCGATGGTTTCAACGGCTGGTTCGAGCTAAACGAAGCGTCGACGACATAATCGTCCAGTGGGTTGGCTGCGTTGCGGAGCTGGTTCAACGGAGTCCACGAAGCTGCGCACAAGTCCCCGTCCAACGGATCGCAGGTCTACGCAATCAATCGTAAACCGCACATTTGGTTAGCGCTGTGAAGAATAAGTAGTAATTAAGTCGAACATAGTGTAGTTCATTCATTGGGCAGGTTCTGTCATGCGTACCTCGGTGGTGCTCCACGAGACTTTAAATGGAATGCCCCCAGTGGCTTGATCGATGTTGGGATTGCACTTGCCAATCGTCTCCTCAGGTTGTGGTAGGGCCACGCGCACCATCCATTTGCTAAGCCACTCACGATCGTCAATAAATTGCATTTCACCAACAACCATGCAAGGTCACGTTTTAGAGCCCAACCCCTCACCACAATACAAAACACACACCACCCCGCCTCTTGCTTGAAACAAATAGACTAAACCACACAACCAATAGAACACTTTGCGGTGGTGCCCCCCCATCACTACTTATGGGGTGTTATGACGTCCAAAGATCTATCCAAAATAAGCCACAACACACTGTTCCGTTCACAGCTCCATATTTATACCACAAAACAAAGTAGTCGTCATCTGCTTCAAAACCAGGTACATCACTCGTCGTACCCCTCCCCCTTTTGGGGCTTTCAAATCGTAACCCCCCCCGTTTGGGGCTTTTAAAGGCAAGATGCTGGACGACAACACCATTCGTCCAAAACATCGTGTTCGTACACGAACAATCCTACGTACCCTGATTGCGGCCGGGGGATGTGAAACGAACGCGTAGCAGACGTCCCGTTCCGGACAGGCAATGCATCACTTGGAAACGGCGTGGCCGTGTCCAGATACAACGCCCATGCCACCAGTATCGACGGATCTTGGATGCTCAATGTCACGTCCAACGAGGCGGCCGGTTGGGCCAACTCGAACGAAAACAGCGCGGGCGTCGAGTCGATACATCCGCGGCCGTCTGCGTCGTTGCTGCCGCTGTATCCATGTTGTTGGCGGCTTGGTAGTGCCACTGGCGCTGTGGTACACGCTGGACCTACATAATTGTGACACTGTTGACACCTGTATGTCGTCCAAGAATATGACAAAGAAATATGCGGCGACGACATACCGAGCATGTCGACGTGCTGGCACGCACGAAAGGTAAAGTCGAGGTACCACCACATATTCGTAGATGGACCCACGCCAAACGTCGTGACTGTGCCAGGCATGTTGCCCCCCCACACTGTCGCATAATACCGTCCGTGCTACGAAACGTTATGGTTGCCGATAACGGGGGGCACAAAGGCAACCGTAATGTATACACTCATAAAACCCCGAGCTGGGGCAGCGCAAAGACTGTAGTATATACCTTCAGGTTGGTCAACGTCGCCGAAATGTATGGCGATTTGCGAGTCGTATTGAGCGCCACGTCATAGGACGATTCCGTGGCGAACGCATCCTTCTGGAGGAACAATGTCGGCGGCGTTCGGGCGCCGAGCTCGCTGAGGACCATGGACACGTCCACGGCAAAGACGCCGCGCGGCACTACATGGTATGGACAACCAACTCAAGACAAGGTCGCAATCATGGAACTCAAGATACCGTCGACGACGAAGTACTCGTACGAGTCGGCCTTTACACGACCGTACTAGCAAGTCAAACACAGCCACGGATGAGATATTGGAGACGGGGGAAGACACGTCATTACAAAGTGCGTGAGCCAGTTTTTGTCGACAGCGGCAGTCGTGGAGGCCACGATGGCGATGACAAAGCCAAGGGCGGTGGTGTTTGACAGGATGCGTCTTGTCATGACGAGGACAATTGAGCAATGCTGTTTATATATGTGTTTCGAAGTTACTCTTCGTCGGCCGGCGACACTTCTGGCGGGGGTTTCACTCGACGAGAACATGCCATGCAAGAGTCATTGTGTATGAGTGGGCTTCTCACATGTAACGGACAGAACAACTTTGGTGGATACATGCCTTATAGCTAACTACTGTAGCTAGCTAGCTACACATATCGTCTGCCTGCATGGCGATCTCTTCATATTCGACATGGGACCGTTGTACTCCGCCATGGTGTCGACGATGTGGCATTTGAGAACATGCACCTCCGTGCAACAAACCGGTATGTATACCTTCCATCGCGGCTTTGTCGACGGCTCCTGCCTCGTCTTCCGTGTACGCGGAGCCTAGATTTCTTAGACACCTCTAGAGCTAGCCATCAACTAAACCTCCGCCAAGTTTGCTCGCCATCCCATCCATCATAGGAACGATTTGTAGGAACGATTTGGTGGATTTCAATTCGTCCGTCGACTGCTGCCACGGTGATGGTCGTAATTTCATTTTTACACATACAAAACCAAAGATACATTTGACGAATGGTAAATTATTGTCGTCGATTTGAGTTTTTAAATTTCGAGTGGTCGGATTGGCTGAAATTCCGTGGATTTCCTTCGAGGCCGCATGATCATTGATTCAAAATTCAACCAAACAAGGAACGCAGCATGTCGTACAACAATCGGTTTGGCAATGGCGGCCGCGGCGGTGGTGGCGGATATGGAGGAGGCCGTGGCGGACGAGGCGGAGGACGCATCAATCGTATTCAGAACAGGGGGCCAGGCGCCGAAGTCTGTGCGTTTTACCTTGACGATCGATGCACACGGGCCGGCTGCAATCACCCGCACTTCGTCAAGCGCTTAGGCGTCGCGCACGGTCACACGAGCGCCGTCAAGGACGTGGTGCTGTGGGAAGGCAAGCAGCAAGCGTTTACGTGCTCGAACGACGGCACCATCCGCCTCTGGGACTGCGCGACGTGGAAAGAAATCGCGCAGATTCCAGTGTGCAACGTCGAGCTCGACATTCGACCGACGGAGCGCGACAAGGTAGTACACGAGTCGTCACGGAACTGACCTCGGCATATTAACGACGTGTGTGTTGCAGAAGAAAATGAGCGAAGGCATCGCCGCCCTCCACTTGGAAGGCTCCCACTTGTTTGTGGGGTACGAAGAGCCGATCCCACAACTCCCGGGGTGTCCTGTGGGCAAAATCAAGTGCTGGAACCTCGACAACCCCGCCGCGCCTCCCCTCGAGTTCATGGTACGCTCGCTTCCCTCGTCTCTCCGACTATTTATTCGACATGCGAGGTCAACGACCAACAACTCTCTGTGTCGCAGGTCAGCCCTGAGATGCCGTTTGCTCACTACCGCAACGTGTGGGCTCTCACGGTCGCCAAGAATCCTGCGACAGGTGAGCTGATTGTGCTCAGCGGCTCTGGCGACGGCCGCATCCGGTACTGGACGTTTGACGCGGCCATGGGCGGCTTCAAGTGCGGCGGACTTATGGAAGGTCACTCCCGCGGCATCACGCGACTGAAAACTGTGCAATTGGGCGGCACCATGGCGTACGTACTTCTATATATATATATATATACTTGTTATCTGAACAACGCACTATCGCATACACATCTTGTGGGGGTGGACAGGGTCGGGTTTAGTACTGGCGGTGACATCATTGGCTATAGTATTTTTCGTTCTGTCAGCCAACAACATTTGAATATTTTGTGCTAATATTCGCCAAATCCATCGATTGTTTTTGGTTGAATTTTACCGTATATAAAATTTGACCAGTTTCACACTCGTCAAAGTCCCACACGAAGAATGAATGTGATTGGCTACTTGATTCGTGTTCTGTGTTTTGATTGGTCGATCTTGGATTGTCTGCCGATTTGGTTATTCTGCTCATTCGCCTTGAGCATGCAATTTCGAATCTTGTCTGTCAAGTCATTCGTGGGTAAATATATATATATATATATATATTGTCCCTTTTGCTGAAATGTGGACTTGGCCGCGCTGCTTTGAGAATCGATTCGAGTCAACATGTTAGCGTATTCTATGTATGGTATACCAATTTAAATATAAACAGTTTGATTGGCCCAAACTATACTACTCGATGATTGGCTGAAATGTTTCATTCGTAAAATTCGATTGGCTAGGCCATTCTCACCTATATTTGCCAACTTCATTCGATTCGACTCAAAAGTCCAAATTAGAACCGCGTTGACAATATATAGTATGTCTCGCTCCGATGTGTGCTTGAGTTTGCTTGTTTTCTGGCTATATATATAAATGATTAAACTAATTTCTGGCTATATATATATATATTGTTAAACTCTTTGGCCGGCTGCTTGTTGGATGTCGTCCTGTGTTGCTGTTGTTGCTCGTATATATATATATATATATATATATAGATTCCATCACCGATTGTGAAAACAACGTCATGAATCCGTGAATACAATGTATGTTATATTGTGAATATATAATGTGGGTATATTATTGTTAGCCTAATCTCGTCGAGCATGGATCATACAATTCGGATCTGGGACCTGTCGACATTCAAATGCGGCACAGTGTTGACGTCAGCGAACGAGGGCCATGCCAACGTCGTAATGGACTTGGACGTTTGGGTGAACGGGGCGGAGCAGTACTTGATCAGTGGTGGCCTCGATAAGCAAGTGATTGTATGGAACTTGGCGCCGCCATTTGCTAAAGTGTTTGCGGATACGGTGGACTTGCCAATTCTGTCGTTGAGCGTCGCAACGGATGGCCAGGACGCGCCGCTTTTGCTCATGGGCCACGATGTACGTAGTACATACCGGGTTGTGCATAATGTGCGACGATGTTGTGTTTTGATTGATTTGTGTGGTAGGATGGGACGATTTCCGTGAAGGAACTACCGTCGTTCAATTACAAGATGTCATTTGGGAAAGTACTCAACAACGTCGGGCACACGCAGCCTGTGCGACGGATCATCCCTGGCCCGCTGCATACGTTTTTCACGGTCAGCATGGACAACAAGATGATGGCATGGCAAGTGACGGGCAAAGCAGCCGACATTCCCGTGTCGAATTGACATACGACCTAGTATGTGCTACTAATAGTACATGTAGGTAGAGTATTAATAGTAGAGCGAGACACAATAATACACGAGTACTGATATGGATAACGTTACAGTTCAGTGTGGTATTATTCTGTGGTGTACTCGAAATTTCCTAGCAGTGCCCCAGACAATACTTGTAACGATATTTGCCCACGTCAGCTTATATCGATTAACGTTACGTGCAGCATCATTTTAGTTGGTGCGAGGATGAGGTGCATTGTGGAAATGGAGAAGTAAAGAGATTACTGCCGGGCTTGTGCTAAACAAAGTCCGGTATGTACTATTGATGAAAGATGAAAGTTTGCCCCGAAATCCTTAGCTCTATGGATAAGGAATAACGGTGTGCCTTCAACCGATTGTGTCGTCCAAGCACAGGAGCCTTGGATAACTATTGAAGAAACGTTCCTGTACGAGCCAAACAGGCAGCGATACCACAAGCAAGAGTGTTATATCAATGTGCAAATTAACGTGTAAAGTCAAGCTCTTCATTACCAAATGGGCGGCCAATCGTTCTCACGAATCTCACTGTACGTTCAGCGACTTGAGCAGTCCTTTCATTTCTTGAGTCACCCATTGTGAAGCAAAGTATCAACAACAAAGAAAGTCGTATCGCAAGTTCTGGGAAGCCATGCACTTTTATCCATATATTAGCGCTTGATATTGTATGTATTAAAATCGCCTAGTTAAGCCATCAATCGCATCTTCTCCTCTGTATGCAGCGCCCTCCACGACGCTAGCAACGCGATCGACAATGTTTCCACTTCATCTGCCACGTGGTGCAATCCAAACCCAAGACGCAACCGTGTTCCAAATCGAACGTCGCAATGACATACGACGTCGTTCCCTGAACCTGACGACGTCAATCGTTGGTGTAGTTCAGTCGCTTGCGCGCGTTCCAGCACGATGGCCCGTGATGTATTCTCCGGCAACATTCCCTTCGATCGAGTCAACTGCAAATGCCACGTCAGCATTGTACTCTAGGGGGGCTAGCGACGTGGGGGGCGATTGCAAATCTTGAACATGCGCAATCCAACCAGTGTCTACTGGGCGATTCCAGCTTGCATTCCGTGGAAACACGACAAACCCAAGCCCAGGTCCCGCCGTGCAATGCTTGATGCCACTGCCAACGACGACGAGCGCAGGTGACGTCCGCGGCAATTGCATCGGAACGTTTTCGATGGCCTGCACCACATCGACAAGGCACAAAATGTGGTTGGGGGGGGTGACTGCACACGTCCGCCAAGGGCGCAATGTCCACGTCAGGGAAGCGGAATTGCGAGTTTGAGTACACAGCGCTCACATGCACAAGATGAGGTCTAAGGGAGGTTACTCTGTAGCATACGCGGGTGCCGAACGACTCGAATGGCTGAAGCGGCACCTGGTGCACAATACACTCCCCCGAATTTGTCCACGTTGCCAACTGACGTGTCAGTGACACAAACTCGGCGTCACTCGTGACCACCACCAACGGACGAGTCGTCGGCAGGAGACAGCTAAACACCCGCACGAGGAATTCATGCACGTTACTGCCAAAATTCACATGGTGTTGTGAACAACTTGTTGGCACGTTCGAGCCTACACCGTCTTTATTGTCCTGGGAATCCAGAATTTCGGACGGCGACAACCCCAACGACTCCAACACGTATCGCTCCGCCGTGGGCACGTCGTATTGAAAAAACTCTGGCCACACTTCATTCAAGTCGCGGCTGAGAAGGGCATGGGTGTGTTGGACACTTGCGAGCGCTATATAGGAGCCAACCCCAAGCCATAAGTCGTGAAATGCAACGTATGACGTGGATGCGTCGACAAGGACCTGGCAAACGCCGCGCGAAATGGCGACGACGACGGCGACGAGGGGGTGCTGCGACAGCTGCGCGATGTGGACATGGGGGACGTCGGGGCGACAGACGCCTGCCACATCTTTTGACCACCGCCACCTCGATCGTTGCTGGGATCTTGCGTGGCGATGACCAAGTTGTGGTGCCGCAGCTTGGCGTCGTCGATTCGCGTTCGAACGATTCGCCCTTTCAACATGGATGATTGTGCGTCGCTGAGTTGTTTGGACATGACTTCCTTGGCCCGCTCAACGCACAAGTACCGATGGCAGACCTTCCACCCGCGCTCCAACGCCTTGACCGTCAGCTCCTGCGTGCCACTGGCGTCGGCACCCAACACCATGATGGCCAGCTGCTGGTGGCCAAAGTAGAACCGCCGGACCGCGTTTTCCAGCATTTGCACGGCCTGGAGCATCTGGACCGCGTCCGACGACGGAGACACGTGCGCGTGAAACATGGCCACGAGCTCGGCTTGCAGGGGGATCTCGGTTACGTTGGCTTGGACGTGGCTCAACACCGCAACCACATGTCGGAGTTCTGACGGGTCAAACGGGTCAATATATGACAAGGGGGGACCCCATGGCAACAAGTGTGGAATGCGCGCCGTGAGTTGCCGGAGCCGCACGCTTTGACCACCACTGGCCCCATGCAAGTGGAATTTCAAACTCAAGTAGTCGCGGGCATCCATTTCACTCAACATGGAAATGTGGTCGATCAAGTACTCCCAACAGTGGCCAGCCCACCGATACCGCCTAGTGACGCGTTGCAGTAGGTCCTCGACCGGCTCGTCGTCAAGCGACGACGACGACGCCAATGACGATCTTTGAAGCACCAGGTCGACTTCGGCCTGCGCGGCATCCAACTGCCGCTCCATGACACAACACCATGCTTCGACGATTTGATGCACGGTGGCAAAGAAATGGTCTTCGACAAATTCAGCGTCGGCTTCTCGGCACGAAGTGCGAATATGAAGTGGCAACACCACATCGTCGTACGGGACATGAAGTTCATGCGTCGTCAACACCCCCGGTCCAAACGGCAGCCCTTGAAAGTGACATTGCACCAAGCTCTGGACTCTGTCCAGCATCCCACTGGCGGCCTAGGAAAGAATTGACGACTGAAACATGACGAGATGTGGAGTATATAGGTAGCGTACAGGTTGCGAGTGCCACCACCAGTGATGACGCTGGGCCAAACTGCCTTGGCTTTGCAAAGTAGAAACAAGGTAGTCTGTTGCGTAGGTCGCTTCGTTCAAATCCATGTCGATCATGGACCGAATGAGCTGCAATTGGGTGTTGAGATTCCGCGTCCATCCGTCCATTCGATTGATCTGGTGAACGTAAGATCGACGGGGGGAACGACAAAATGCCCTACCACAGTATCCTCAACGTTATGTCGGGTTTTTGGGATGTTCGGGACATGTAAACGTTGTACAACTATGTGGTAGGGTTGGGGTTATTACGTACGAATGCTGCTGATCGTCCACTGTATCCAAATTGACTTCCAAGAAGTCCATGAGCAGCCGCATGGTCAGCTCAACGGCTCCCAACGCTGGGGCGAGTCGGTAGAGTGGTCCTGGTGCAGGGGACAAAACAGGAACATCGTTGGTTGTACGATTGTTTGATGGGAACGAATTGCCATCGACCGAATCAAATGGCATCGTGTGCGTGGGCGATGTAAACTGCCAGAGTCCCCATGCTCTCTCCAATTCATGTAGTCAGATATAGGCAGCATAAGAGTTGCGATGGAGCGATTCAATGTAAGCTGCGTACGCGCCAAGGGTGGCACTTGACGACACACGTCCTGGCGGGATTGAGGGAGCGGCAGCTTCCATGTCACCAGATGCTTTGTGTTCTTTGTGGTGGTGGATGGACGAGGAATCGTAACTTTTTACTTGAAGAGTCCTACTTCAACTTGAAACTGCCACATCTTTGACGCAACACATGTATTATAATGTTGTCGTTCTGATATTTGTTTTATGCAGAGCTACGTAATACTATGAATGAGAGAGAAGTTATGCTGCGTGCTATTGCTTATCCAATAGTCATATTCGTTTACGGATTCCGTTGCTTGGAATTGTCGCTAGCACTGTGTACAGGTGTAGTCGTCGATTTTACTAGCAAACTACTCACGTCATTCCTATTAGATTTCATTGCTCCACACTGGTGACTCCTAATCTCGTACTGGTTTCTGTATAGCGCAGGCATTGCATCCCTTATCGTAGGATCCAGTATACGCATGGAGCGGTTGAATTATTAGCCCAATAATATCAGAGTATTTCGTCACTGTGCTTACCGCACACACACATACACTGCAATGTGTGCGACAGCCAAACGTCAATTGCATTTTCTTATCATCAAAACCATGATAGGCATCAATTTCCCCGTGAATACCAGTAGTGGTTTCATGGCGTTTCGGAATGTGAAACTGCTAGGTAAAAATAATAACTGGCCACGTAACGACTGCCACCACCGATCGCATTTGGTCGCGTCGCTCGCCGCAATGTCCGACGTATGTACCCCCCTTGCTGTTTCAATGATGAATATTGCATGAGTGCTATGGTACTGACACGCATGCAGGATCTGCACTACTCGGACGACGACTTTCAAGAGGAAAAAAGCCCTCCCAAACCAGCGACCCACGTTGCCAATGGGTAATTTATATACCTACCACTCTATTTCCAATATCCACATTGCCATAGACTTCCTACCCCCGACACGACAGTGGTTCCATCAACATCTGCAGACGTCGACTATGAAGACGACTACGACGAGCCAGAAGCGTCACCCCTTGATGACGCCTTTGAGGACGACCCAGACGACATCGAAATGCATTCAAATGTTATAGCGACTCCCCAAGACTTGTACGACGTCGACGAGTTTGGAGATAGCCCTCCGAGTGTCGTTGCTGTCGAGGTAGCAGCACACACGGCACTGGACGAGTCCTATGGCGACAACGACTTCGCAGAGTCCGCTGGCGCAGAATTAGTTACGACCCCCACAACAATTGGAACCCAACTTGCGCTGGCAAGTACCGTCGAAGATTCGTACAATGATGACCAAGACTTTGCTTCTGTTGTGGCTGGGGATGACGACAACGGGCAAGTTGCGGACATTCCACCTACATCCACCGTCAACCGAGAATCTAGTGCTGCTTCCAACGCCGTCGAGGCATCATCTACACTATTATCCACTCATGCCCAAGACAATGCTCAATCGACCAACGACGTAATCCAGTCCGAAGTGATGCAAGTAATAGCTGAGCTGACGAACCACCACCTCGAGTCAAATGTCGTAGTCGTCGAGGCAGCGAATGAGGACATGTCATGTTCGGGTATTCCTGAATCAAAAAAAGAAGAGGTCCAGTTGCTTGAACCAGCCATATCCCAAGTGACCGAACCTGCCGATGTATTCGGTGTGGAGCTAGAAACAAGTTCTGATGCTCCAGAAAGTGAAGAGCCAAGAGCAAGTCACGTCCTGACCGAGAAAGAACCTCCAATAGAGGCGGTGGAAAGTGCATCAAATTTCAAGCCAGCCGTGCAAGAGCCCCTCAGCACCTTCGAACCGACGTCCACCGTCGACCTAGATCACGTCAATGTCCTCACCGCCCCCCCGCCCGATGTCCAGCCCCTAAAAGAGGCGCTCTCTAAGCAGACAATCGATGAAACGCTGGTTCCATCCACCTCCAACGACTCTGAGGTATCTGTTGTACCCGTCGTAGTCGTTGATGCCACCTCCAATGACAGCGAGGCACCTGCTGCGGTATTGCCCGTTGTTGAGCAGTCTCCAAACGACGATGTTGTAACCACCAACGCGGCTACCGGCGATGACAATGCCGACGACATGCACGACGTGGAAACCACAGCCACTGACGTTTCAACCATCAACAGTATACGCTCAGAGTGTGCGGCGACACCTCTTACGCCTACGGAAGTGCTGCCCCTGTTGTCTATTGACACCCAAGTTGTTGCATCTGCCGCCGCCACCCCCATTTTGCAAACAGAGGGCTATCCATCTGATTCAACGACAAGCTTTCGAGATCCCAACATTACCGTTCACAACGACTCATCGTACTCAACGGCTGCGTTGAGCCCACCACAAGGCACGACCGAGCAGGTTTCTACAACTACTTCGGACATTGAAGTCACTCCTAAAGACGAGATCGTTTCAACGAGTTTCGACGTCATTGGACAAAGCAATGAAAACACTACGGGTGAAACTGAACCCAGCTTTGCACATGGACTTGGACAAATGAATGAAAGCACCACGGGAGAAGCTGAATCCAGCTCTACCGTTATCGAGTCGGCCCCAACAATCCCTGTGAAGTACTCGGATGCAGTCGATGACGTTCCCGCACATGAAGACGCAACGCCGGTGGTTGAGGCAGAGTCTGAGGCAGAGTTTGCACACGGAGCCGCCCCCCAACAGCCGCAAGAATTTCTTCAACTAGCTACCACAAATGCCTTGAGCCCCAACCCTCCACTCGATTCTGCCTTAAGTCTCCCCACCGGACGGAGCGTCGAACAAAATGCCCCCGGGCCGGAAAGATCATCTTCCAATCCCGACACTTTATACGACTGCGATGCCGACGAGGTCGCTGACACCAGTGCTGCCCGTTTGTCGATAGCGACATCAGACGAAACGACCACATTGTCACCACGAACCACCTCAGAAACAGTAGAAGACGACTACATGGCATATGCGCAGACTAGTGTGTTTGACGACGATGCATACATGAGTGGCGGGGAAGCTCCAACGAAACTCTCAGCAACGCCGTCTGGCAACGACATATACAAGAACGTCGATGCCGCAACTGAAGTAGAAGACAATACAGCCGCTCCACTTGTTCAAGACACAGGAGGCGACTTGTCGCAGCTCTTGCAACCAGGCACAGACGTGGAACCTTCCAGCAATACATTTGATGTTCCAATAAAAAAACAGGACGACTGCAAAGAAGAGGCGCCCAGCGTCGAACGAACGGGCGACCAGGGGGCCAAGCAAGTCGACGGGGAGTCGTCTTCCCAGAGTATCGTACTACCACTCGTGGGCAAGAAAGAAAGCAAACTGAAAACACGGTTACCGCCAAAACAAGCACAACTCCAACCCACTCCCATCCCACCAAAGCCGAGACCGCCTCCGCAACAGCGAAAACCAGAGCCCAAAGCCCCCTCAAGCGACTCGTCGAGTCCCATGGCTTCCGACTTCGTCATCCATTCCTCCACTTCGCCCCCTCTCGAAGCCTCGGGAGGGGGGATGGTGTTTCATTCGCCGCAAAAAGACTACCGACCGTGGCGCCAACAAGAAGTCAAGCCCCAGATGTCTCCGCCCAAGCCAAGGGTCGCCCTCAAGAAGAAAAAGGTAGGCATTATTTATTTGTTCATGCACTCGATGCAAATCCTATGATATCCGTTTAGGCTTCCCCTTCGCCGACAGCGACGACATGCCTGTCCTCGCCGCCCAAGTTTCATTTCGATCCCAAAGTGGACAAGATGAAGGAAGAGTGGTTGCTGCTCAACATGTTTCGGCCAGGCGATGCCTCCAAGTACGAATCGTTTTGCATCGTGCACAAACCCGTAGTCGCCCCAGCAACATCCACAGCAACCCACCACCGGCCGTCCAGCGCCGACCGAAACTACCCGAGCCACTCTGCAAGACGCCTCGTGCCGCCGAAACGTAAGCAAGAAATGCACACGTTACAAGCCCGGGAACGCAACTGGGTCGTGAACGGCAGTGTCCAGCACAACGCCATTCCTGCCTACGATTCGATATTGGACAAGTATTGCCACACGATCACGAACCCCCTCGTGCAAAAACAGATTTACAACTCGGTGGAGTTGTCGCCCCAGTTGGCGTACGTGCTGGAAAAACGAGTGCAGGCCACCCGCCAAGCCGAATTGGCGTTTGTGATGGAGGACCATACATATGCCAAGACGTACAAGCCCAAGGCAGTGGCGGACACGACGAGGGTGCCAACAAAGCCGACGCCGCGACAGCCCCCCCAGCAACCTCTCGATAGTGACATTGTCTCCCTAAAGTGGTCCACGGCCAAACTTAAAGCAAGTGGCACCAACTAACTCGTCGTGAATGCAAAACGCGCTTGTTGACTCGCATTGCAAAGTTTTGGGGGTTAATGGCTCGATCGATATGTAAGGTTTGGAGTCCATTGTGGATACGCATATCGTTACTGGGATTAAATGGCTCTGGAAATCATCAGTTTACACATCTAACTGGTGTGTGACTGACTTAAATTACCGTATTTGCCGTTGATCTGCACCATGAAATATAAAACGCAAATATAACGATAGGATGCAATATAATCTTAAATAAAGTAAAGATCTGAAATATTGATATAAAAATAATTTCATTACGTGGTGCAAAGGTAGGACAAATACAGTAGTGTGACTGGTACCATAGAAAATTCAGTACATGTAGAAAAGAAGCGATCCGTGGGTTTGGCGAATCAGCACAAAGTGCAAATTTCGGTTCAAAGGGCAATATATACAAAAAAGGAACTACGTACCACAAAGTGTGGATGGGCGGCCCTCAATTGTTGTAGAACATGTTAAGTAAGTCGACGATGCCTTCAACCAGTTTGTTGATGGTCTTTTGAAGACAGAACCCAGGAAATATGATTTATACATACTGTATTACGATGACGACTAATTAACTACATGTGCAGCTCCCACATGTCCTTGGACGAGGACTTGGCGGCTTTGGCAAGGCGCCACCTGTGCCACAGCATCACGCCGACAACGACCACTGCGACGATGGTGACTCCTCCCACGACGTTCTGGGCCATCACAGACGACTCGTCGAACGTATTGGTAATGGCTATGGAAAGAAAATATTTTAATATATATATAATCCGGTCATCTAAATAAAGCCTACTTAAAAAATGTGAGGTTCAAAACAAACTGCTCCATACAAATCTTCAACAGACCCATATTTCAGTGAAAAATAACATAATTCGATAGTATAGCTAGCGCACGACGACGATATGGACGAATCAATGCCAATCGCCAATCGCGGAAATTCGCAACGTAGACAAACATATATGTATCGAGGTCTACGTTGGAATAATGCCACTCTTCAAATGATTCTCCAACTCGTGGTGATTGATTATGATATTGTTCAATCCCATTGCATAACCCCAGAATCAGAAAGACAAAACCACAACGCTAATTTGCAATGGATGGTCGATTGGTTTGTGCTTATGTCATATTAGTATGGTTGGGTTAATTCTAATTTGGAGTGAGATGGAGAATGAATGCATCGATTTATAACCAAATGTACACAAGAATCATCGGCAGAAGGATTTAGCCAATCAGACATTGCAGGAAACCGTCTACAAAGTCAAATTAGCGTGATACTTCAATTAATGTGATATACCAACACCACAAGGCCCCTTTTTACACACAAAAAACAGTACAAAGGATAATCGATCGGTAGATTTGGCGAATTCAACAGCACAAAAGCACAATACCGGATAACGTAAATTGCCAATTTAAGAGCCGCGTGCCAATTTAGTAGCTGAAAATCGAACCAATCAAATGACAAGAAGCACCGGCGGGAAAACCTCTTTAATATAATGCATGTCACTTTGGTTTTGGCGCTCTCGATGCCTCCAACACGTGAACGTGGAAAGTACTCCAAGGACCTCCTGCATACTGCGGTTCAAGCGGTCATCAATCGCTCGAAGGCCCCAGAAGTCGCGAAAAGGCACAACATCCCCATCGCAACCCTCAACAAGCGAGTGCGAGAACAGCGATCAGGACAAGCTCTAGTAACCAAGCGCCGAGGACCAAAGCCAACGCTACCAGACAGTTGCGAAGAGGATCTTGTCGCTTGGATTGTTGCAATGCAGCGAGACGGCAATCCCACAGATCGGAAGACGATCATCGTAAAGGCAAACCAAGTGCTTCGCCGACTGGACCCAACGGCGTCGTTGAGCGCAGGTTGGTACCGGCGTTTCATCGTACGCCATCCTCAGCTCACGAACCGAGTCGCCCAAGTGATTTCCAGCGCTCGGAACGAGGTGGATGACGTAGCAGTGACCACGCTCTTCAACTCTTTGGTCAACGCAATTGTCACCAACAAGCTGTCGAGCGATCGTGTCTTCAACATGGACGAGACTTCGTTTTCCTCCCGCCGGAAGTCGAAGGACGTTATTGCTCTGAAAGGTTCGAGAAATGTGTGGGCCAAAACAGTTGCGACTAATTTTCATTTTTCAATTGTTGCTTGTGGTAATGCATCTGGGTATTTTTTGCCACCACTTTTTTTGTTGCCTGGCGAGACTGTAGAAAAGAACATTGAGAATTACTGCAGCGTGCCTAATGCTACAATTT